AATTTTCCGTAGCACGATTAAATATCGCTCGAATGTATCGTCTCGGCATATTAGTAGAGCAAAATGTATGCAACTGTTTGGAGACGATTTTAAATGGTACACGTCAAACGTAACGACGATACAGGTATTACGTCATACGTAAGATCGTCATGGAAATTAAAAATTCCTAAGTACTGCATACATTTTGCTTTCATATTTTTTACTAGAGAATTTTTCATAATGGTATTCTTACTCTATGTTACTATTAGTTGTTATACACATGAAAGAATTTTCAAAATCGGTTGAGTAGTTTATTTTTTGAACATCTAAGCAACAAGCTGACAACCCACCTGATGGAAAGTGGTAACCGTCGCTATAACATAAGCAGTACCATGGATATAACAGAGTATACTGTTTCACCCATGATACCCCCCATGCTTTGCCATTGCTGAGGACTCAAATGTTATTTCTCTGTACCCTGTAAATTCACGCCATATCCCACCCTTCAAACCGAAACACAGCCATGAAAACACAACTGCTTCACGGTTGAAAACGAAAACAAAACGAAACACAGTTGTGCAAACACAACTGTTTAACGGTAGAAAATCGAATGGGACAGAGGTGCTCAAGCAAACGACGATCGTACAAAGTCTCCCTTTAGTTATTAAGTTTATCCATTACAAACAAACAATCAAATCTTTCCTTTTTATAATATACTCCTTCAAAAAGATTCATACCATTTTGAATAGACGTCAAATATAAAGTAAGGCGAAGTCCATTTTTTTTGTTTTTACAAGACAGGGGGCAAACGAACAAACATAGGTATCAATCCGAACGTCCAATTTGACGTTCTATGAGAATGTGATTAGATTCCAATACTCTTGCGTCAAAAGTCAAACCGCTGACCTTATACTCGAAATTTATTCGATGTTATTCCAATACGATTCCAACTCGATTCCGTCAAAAGTCAATCTGGTGCAGTGACGTAGGACAATATGGTTTTTCTGTCACTACACGGAGAATAGGAATTTACTGATGATATGTACCTATCAAATATTAATATATCGATCATGGAGATGGTTGTGGAAATCCGTCACACTCGATCGACGGTAATCTCGTATATATTTTGAAGAGATACGTTCTCTCTAATTCCTGAATTACTTATTTGGTTCAATGATAAACGTGTCTTATTTATGGTGACTGTTTTTTTTTCTTGCGAATCTATGCTATGTTTTTTTTTTATTTTTATTTTATTTTATTTCAATAGGTACACATTACAGAGAATTAACATATGAAAGAAATCACAAATACTGTTGTTGTATGATTTTTTTAGTATTTTGCTGTTTATTTTAATTCATATAAAAGCAGCTAGAAATAGCCAATACAGATATACGCTTCGCATGTTTTAGCGTGAAAACGAAACGCACACAAACCCTTTCTCTTCATAATATAGTATGACTGTGGCAACGATAATATGGTAAAAAAAGTGTTCAATGTTTTTTCATCGCTCGTGCAATATTCATGCATGCCGAGGCGTGAAACGATTTCAAACAGATATGGATTGATTTCATTTCAAATTAAGCAAGGGGACGCCATTAATTAAAGAAGGTGGTTTTTTTTTAGCTCCATTCAAATAGAGACGGGTAATGTCCGATATCTATATATTAAGCTGTTATGGAAATTGATGGCCACCCATTACGATATCGCCTATATCAATCGGATATCTATATTCGATATGAATGGGTTCGTATGGATATTGTACAATATAATAGATTTTTTTTTTTTTATGGGTGAAAATGAAATGGTAACCCTGCGCTAACGGGATACGCTGGCGGAGCACCAGTGAAAGGTGATAGATGAGAATGAAAACAGGCCAGTTAGCCCATCATGATGAATTCATAAGAAATTAACCGTGATAGTTTCCAGGGAGAACCGCGAGGAGGTCGACCTGGTTGGGTATATTGCTAGCAATGGGATTCTTAGTCTCCATTACTAACAATCCCTTACCCCCCTATAATAGATATTGCTATATGTTACCTACTCTTACTTCCAAAAGAACGATGTTCCGAATTCGTTTGATTTGTTTAATGTACTCGTAACGCGATTGCGTGGTCAATTTTAAACGCCTTTTCATAGATTTTTAGCTTAGAAAAAGATTGTCAATTCAATATTTATTTGCGATTTGTTTCATGATTACGTCGCCAATTTTGAACCGATTTTGATGTAACTTTTACAATCGATAGGGAGTACTCTATTGTTGGTCCCATATAATTTTTAGACGGTTAAATAACCAGTTTTCGATTACAAAGCAAAATGTTGCTTGTAATGAAAAAAAAAACAGACTTCAGCTTCATCAATATTGAAGAAGCAATTTTTATTATATTATTTAGAAATAAAAGATAACGTAAATACATAATTAGTATTTATATTGCTATAAATTAAATTTTGATTGTGTGATAGTTACAGTGGTAGGTAAGCAGGTTACCTACTACCTACCTAATGTTTTTTGTTTTATAAAGGAATGGTTACATACTAACATGATAAAAACATCATTATGTAGTTTATTAAATATGAAATACCTACGTAGATGAAATAAAAATCTAGGTAGATATTACCTAAGTGTGTGACGCTATGGGAAAGTTCCACAGAAAGAGGGGAATATAACACAGCTGGCAATTATGGGCAACATTATGGAGTGCATTGGCATTCTATAAAATATCGTTTTGCCTACATTAAAAAAATAATTGAGGAAAAGATAGGCTAGTTAGCGTATCGTATTTATTTTGTATTTCGAACACATTACAGTTTACACTGAACGAAAGTGAAAATCTAAGCAAGGCCGCAATCACGCGAAAAAATAATTCTGCTTCTGCTTTGCTTAAAACGTATAAACAATACATTTGATAGTGCTCTTTATAAATATTTATCTTTATTATAAATATGGGCTAACCAGTGTCGCTATCATAGTGATAACGTGACATGATTAAAAAAATTAAGTAGGTAACTAGACACTTTGTATGTAGGTAGATAAATCCATATTTTCTTGTAGCATATGTTTTTATTGAAATACTAACCTGCTATTCTCAAGACGGCACGATCGGCCGGATCCAGTTGCAGAATGGACAAAGGTTTGTGCTTTGCCCATTCTTTCAAGCTGAAATCGTTTTCAAATTCCATGTTTCTGTCATCCAAAACGCGAAGTCTCGCGCGTACCTTCGTACATACTTGAATCAATCAATCTCACTGCACAGCACTAATAAATACAACACATCATATAAATAATCTTAGATAATGTTACTATTAAAAAGTAAACAAAACGTTACACTCATTGTAAAATGAAAATCGATACACTATAGAACAACAGCAAGTGCGTATCCCACACAAAAGGTTTTATCACTGTTAACTTATATCGATTTTGTGTTAATAATTAAACAATAAGTAAACCAATCACAAATTATATTAAATAGGAATCTCAGATCAAAAGGACAGGCCGACAACAAAGTGTTTTAGGTTATTTATAAATACCGAGCGTCATACACCGTACCGGCGGGCAGACATGATGCGACTGTTTAGTTCAGAAATGAACCGCAATATGCCGCTATCATCGCTCAGCTGTTTTAGCGCATGCTCGTAATGACATAATCTGACCGCTTCAAAATGCCACTATTTCTGTACAAATTCCATTGTATTTCATTCTACCATACCTAAGGCGTATAATACTATGTTTTGAGACAGGTACCGCCATCTAGATATGCAAATAAAGATATAATATTCTGCAGTGTTATCATGAGTGTGATAAAAGGTCACATGGGTAAAACAAAATATTGCCAAGTCAGTAAATTGGGTTTTAGCCTAAAAATTATATTTACATGGTATTTATCAATGGTCACCCACAATTTGTTGTCAACTCCCTCGTAAAACTCCAATCTTATTTAGCCAATATGGTTTTAAAGAAAATGTAGAGCAATGCCTCAAAGTAGTATTTTTAACCTTTTATTTAGTAAAAGTCTACGTGGTGGTTAAGTAATAAAAACCATACCGAAACAATATTGAGTTAAATGCAAAAGTGTGAATTTGAAAACATTGATTTTTATTCCAGCATCGAATTAATACAAATATTTTGAGATTAAAAATAGTGATAGTTGATAACATTCACAAATATGAGTTTTATTTTTGACATCAGCCTGAATATATTTTCAATGAATTTGACTGAATGAATAAATATTCGACAATTTCATACTCCTCTAATATTGTCTATAAATAAACTTGCTATAAAAATAAATACATTAAACATTTCAAGGGTTAGAATGAGTACATTTTTCTTTGTATGGAGGATGGGGTATGGTAATTAAATTATAGAATACAGAAACAAAACACCTTAGACCATTAGATTATATAGATAGAGTCTCCATAGAAATGCTTCAAGAAAAGCGAGTCAACTTTTTCATACAATTTTGGGTGATAAATAGTTATGAATATTTCCTTTATAAGTTTTATCTTTATTTTGTGTTATAATTTTTAAATTTTTTAATGCGTAAAAAGTAATTTTATTTATTAAATATTTAAATATAGATACATTAAGATACATTATGTGTGTAAGTATATAGGACACTGATAAAAAAACGGGTCAGCTAATTTGACAATAAACTAACAAAAACTGAACTCGTTTTTGAGACTCCATGCTCTATCTTTATAATCCAAACTTAAACCTTGAAATGGCAACGCATGAGGGGTATCATGGGCGACACAGTATACTCTGTTATGACCATGGTCCTGTTTATGTCTATAGACGACGAATTCTTTGTATTTTAATTTGTAGCCGAATTGTTGTTATTTATAATCAAACGACAATATTTTTAATAAAAAAAAAATATTTGTGTCATATTTAAAGTTTTATACTATATTATTGCCTCTGGTACCCAATTACAAATCATAATCGTGAGCATAATTTATTTTTAATTTTTAATACTGGTATCACTATCACTGGTTACTATGACAACGGAACTGTCAAACCAAAATGTTTACCATGGTTACTTTTTATCCATTCTCATTGCGATATTTAAGATTTAGTTCAAAAAAATATGTCAAAAGTTATTTAATTTAAATTTATTACAACATACAAGTTTTTTTTCTAGTACTTACAATACGAAAGTCTGTGAAGAATAAATTAAAATGTCGGCTTTGTTACGGACTAGATATTTTTTTTATATTTAAAAGTTTTGTCAATAGTTTTACTAAGGAATTTGTGTTAATATTTATTGAACGGTTACATACTGACCTAGTTTGTGTCTTCCCTTTGTTTTGTGGCCTAATTAATAGCAGTTATGAATACTTTACTTGCAATAACATTGCTCTTGTACGTTTTCTAAATAAAAATGTACGTGAAGATAATGTATTAATTGAGCTGTAATAATGAGTCTCAGCGAATAATGAGTGAAGACTACGATATACGAGGTTCAAAGGTGTTATAATTAATTATTATAAGAAAAAAAACCTATTGAATTATTAAATATGCAAGTAGCCTTGATTAAAATTATTCAATGTAATTTATCAACTACAATGATTTATTTTAATAATTATACTTACTTACAATATTATTATCATTGAGAATTAATGTTAAAGGATGTATATTGAAATAACAATTTTTATATTTGCCTAGTCACTTAAATTAAAAATTAAAACCTACTAAATATACTATTTTTCATCATTGTATATATTTGTACGAGGTTTGTCCGGAAAGTACGTATAAAAGTTTTTTAAAAATTTTATTTTACAATTATTCAGGTAAATCAATTTTATCCCCTTCAAAGTACTCCCCCTGTGACATAATGCACTTGTGCCAACGCCGTTTCCACTGTGAGAAGGCTCCTTGAAAGTCCTCTGGTTGTAGGTTTCTCAGCTGCCCCGTCGTAGCTTTTTTTATCTCATTTATGTCCCCCAAATGCCGCCCCCGAAGTACCAATTTGGTTTTTGGGAACAAGAAGAAGTCACACGGGGCCAAATCCGGCGAATAGGGGGGTGTTCGGTCACCGTAATGGAATTTTTACTCAAAAACTCACGGACAACAAGAGAGGTGTGGGCAGGGGCATTGTCGTGGTGAAGAATCCAACGCCCCTCTCGCGCCAATTCTGGACGAACTCGTGCCACACGAGCTTTGAGGCGTCTGAGCACATCGACGTAGAATTTTCCATCAACTGTCTGGCCTGGAGGGACGAATTCTTGATGGACAATCCCCCGAACATCGAAAAAAACAATCAACATTGTCTCGGCCCTCTCTGAATCTTTTTAGCCACTTGTGGACGGTTGGTTCCTTCACAGCATCATCCCCATAAACTGTTCTGAGATCGGCAAAAATTTCACGGCCATTTCTCTTGCCGAGTTTCGAGAGAAACTTGATTACGACGCGCTGCTCTTCAACGGAAGCGGGCTCCATGCCGACGGGGTTTCGTTAAGAGGTAACTTCACAGATGGCGTGACAAGCCAGTTCGCACCGCACGGCGGTCAGACCAGAACTGAAGCATTGTTAGGGACATAAGGAAGGGGTCCTGCGCTTACCTGGCCTCCCCACTCCTCTTTCTCGCATTCCAGAACACTTTTATACGAACTTTCCGGACAGACCTCGTATATGTATTAGATAATTATTTATACAGTAATGTACAAAATATCAATTTTGTCATTATTAATTATTATATTGACTTTAAATTTGTTTTAATTTTTTACTACTTATTTTCTATTATTTGTATGTAAGTACTGTTTATCCTAAGGTAGTCTGGAAGAGACTATCTTAGCAACAAGGCAAAGTTTGGGTGTACATTAATACATTTTTAATGTTTAGTTTTAATTTGATGGAAGTGGAATTCATTTATTTTGATTCATTCTTGCTGAATTGTCATGATGGGTCAATTGGCTTACTGGTACATGAGTACCGTCCTATCAGGATAACGGTGACAATGAATCATCCAACACCCTGCCCATAAAATATCTTTTAAAAATAACACAAATCAACATGAAGCATATCATGGGCGTCACAGTATATTCTGTGTTGCTTAATGTGCCGTTCATGTCTATAGGTGATGGTTACCATTTTGCATCAAGTGGATTATCAGTTTATTTGCCATCACATAAAAAAGCAAAATTTACTATATATACTAGAGATTCTTGAATGTAGTATCTACATGTATAAGTGAATTATGTAATTTCAAGTATGTTAAATAGGAAATCATCATATTAGCATTTAACTGTCCACTGTTGGGGGATTTTGACAGTAGTTGCTTATATATGCTTATATAGTATGCTTGACAGACAGACTGGCAACCGCAGTTAGGCTTTGAAGGTATTTTAAGTAGTACACTGCTGCCCATCCGTCACCCGCCCTTAGTCACCTCCACAGGAAACGAAAGGGTGGCCTGTTCTATGCCGGAATCACCCAGTACTATATAGGAAATAATACATACTACTTTTCTTCTAGCGTCATTACTGTGGGCAAGTTTATAAAGATGTACAAACTCCAAAGAAATTGACATTTTCTGGAAATTTCACCCAAAGTCAGAGGTTATTTGACATAAACTCCCCAGAAAGGCGAGCCAGCATGCGGCGAGATATACTCAGTGCGGTCATGAAAAGGACAGAGTCGAGGTTGGAACAAGAGGAACCTAGAGTCTTCCACGATGACAATCCAATGTACGAGGATCCGAGGGATGTTATTGGTATATAACATTATAATAACAATATGATGATAATTTCTTTATTTGGATCACATTCCATTTTGTGTTAGTACAAGACTTAGAAATCTTTATTGCTAAAAGCCAACATTGAATTCCAATACTGCTATCCACCTTCAGCTGCTCTGGACTCGTACCAATGCATAGCGTTCCAGTGATTCTGAAGTGGACAGTTTGGATTCTCTGCAATTATTTTAGTATGCCGTTGGCACTTCCAGGGTTCCTACACCACAAGGAAGTTCTTCTCATTATAGCGAGAATACCGTCTTGTATGTGCTACCACAAACAAACCTGAAGCACTACACAACTGGGGACAAAATTATAATTTAAAATATATGATTAAGACTCATTATTGATTCACTGTTGCGATATTTTTTTTTAATGGATGATAATGGAATAGTAAACTCAGCTCTGGCATTAATATATACTGGTATAATACCATATATATATATATATATATATATATATATATATATATATATATATATATATATATATATATATATATACTTTATATTTCAGGAGATAAACCAGCGAAACCACCCAGAAAGCGTAACATTCAAGCGGTAGCAGTTTCCTCACCAAAGACGAGCAAGGAAAGTAGGACACTATTAAGGGAACAGAAGAAGAAGCTTACCAAAAAATATGAGAGCCTTATTACATCACTAATGGAAAGATGTGAGGAAAATGTCACTCAGGTTTGTATCATTTTAGATTTGTATCTCATCTTTGTTTTATTTGATCCACATTGACAAGGATGGGATAAACTCATCTACAGTGATAGCAGACTCATAATGGGTGCCTTAACTGGACATATGCCAGTAAGGCATATTGTATATGGGCTTATCATTGGACACACTGTGCAGATTGTATAGTAAGGAATCGGAATCCATGGAACACCTGATGTGCAATTGTAATTCCTTGGCAAGTATGCGTATTACTCTACTGGGAACGGCTTATTCAGAGCCAGGAGACTACAGATATCTTAAACCGCGGGATATCGCAAAATTAATACATAGGATCTATAAAATGATGGTATAAGTCAATGGGAAGCACAAAATATCGCAATTGGTCGATGTGCAACGGCTTCGCTGACCCCATATGCAAATAAAAGATAAGATTGTTTGAACCAGAGTCTTCTCCAGTCTACTCTATTTTAGCAATGAAGGGAAACAAAAGTAGAAAAGGTTCGTGTTTCTTTAGTCACAATATCTAGTCAGATTTCTTGAGCTGAGCACGAAATTTGGGGAAGGAAGGAATTGGTAATAGGGACTAGAGATATAGCGATAGCATTCTGCCATGTCAACCTTCACGGGAAATCCTCTCTGGAAACCATCGTAGTTAATTTGTATAAATTTGTCAGGATCGGTCAACTTCATCCTCATCTTTACATCCTGCTCGAGTGCCCAGCCATTGTATACCGTAGACGAGTGCATCAATCCATCTTTAACCATTAAAAAAGACTACAAAATCTGTGACTATTTGTACATTACAATTAGTTTTTTCTTATTTTTTTTTTGTTATAAGATAAAACATTACAAATTAGACCTACTGACTATTAGACAAGTTAGACCTACTGGAACACAACTGTGAAAACCGCATCCAATTTGCTTCAGTAGTTATTGTGTGATGCCCGAACAAACAGATTAATAAAATGTCTACAAATTATTGTTTTGTCTTCTAATGCTCTTCTAATGTCATGGTTAAAATCTTTGGAATTAAACTAAAATTGTGATAAAAGCTTAATTATAAAGAGAAGTAATTTTTTGGTCATGATCGCTTTGTAATCCAAGCGGTTTTGCTTGTCGTGGTACCTACACGCTAGTGGAATGACGAATTAACTCATCACCGGTCAGCAAAGTGTTAAGACCTTATCATTTGTTTTTAAATATTTTCCATGTATTTTATATTAGTAAAATTTATACAAGTAACAATTGTTTTATATTACAGTTATCAGAAAGGGATTCACAAATAAATAAATTAAAAGAAAAACTCAAAATCGTGCTAGAATACAACAGACTGTTTGCAGAAGAGAATGATCAATTAAAATCACAATACGAGACACTAGTTAAATATGTAGAAGAGTGTAAAGCAGTTATAAAAGAAGAGAGAGAAAGAAATACAACTTTAGAGGAGAAGAAGAAAGAGTTAGAGAATAAAGTGAAACAGTACGAAGTTCCTGATAGAGGTATTATAAAAATAGAAATTATTTTTTCAACCAACTTAAAAAAAATAGGATGTTGTCAATTCGGTTGTATTCTTTTACGTTTGTTCTCTTAGAACTCCGTCAGTTATAAACCTATTTGGAATAATACTTTTTTTTTTTAATTTGAAACGATATACTGAATACAAGGAATAACTACATGGGACAGATAAAGGAAACACTAGGTGTCATGTCGTATAGGGAGATCAAGGATATGGTCTGGGATAGAGCTGGCTGGAAGAAGATGCGTGAATTAGTTGCACCGACAAGAGGAAACTCTTAAATGAAAAAAGAAAATACTGTTACAGATTAATCCCACAGAAGTTTTATCAAAATCGGTCTAGTAGTTTAGTTTTTAAATTAAAATAACTGGTTTTGCTACAATAGAAGTAGGTCTTTATGTGAAACACAATCCTTAATATTTATAGAACTTGTTATATTGTTTGCTATAATATTATTAAGGGACAATAAAAAAAAAAGTAATTATCACTGCATATGAATTTTACTTGCGACTATGTTACGCGATCACATCGCCAATTCTAAACCTATATTCATGATTCTTTTTGTAATTAATAGTGTTTTATTTTTTATACAACTTAGAATGGCAAACAAGCTGACGGTCCACCTGATGGAAAGTGGTAACCGTCGCCTATAGACGTGAGCCGTGGACATCACAGAGTATACTGTTTCGCCCATGATACCTCCCATATGTTGCCACTCTAGAGGACTCAGGTGTTATTCCTCTGTACCCAGTAAATTCACGCCATATCCCACCCTTCAAACCGAAACACAGCCATGCAAACACAGCTGCTTCACGGTTGAAACACGAATGGACAGAGGTACGGCAGCACATCTGCAATGCCGTAGGTGTTGTGGGTGACCATGGGCGGCGGTAGTCACTTACCATCAGGTGAGCCGCATGCTCGTTTGTCCCCCAGTGTTGTAAAAAAAAAAAAAGGTACCCAAGCAATCGACTTTTGTACAAAGTCTCCCTCTGGTGTTAATCTCTTATTAATTTTGTGGCGATTAAAGCTGTCGTTTTTCTTTGTAATTATAAGCACAGTAAAAATGTATACTTATTTATTTATTTAATTTATGTAAAATATACTCTGTTATGTCCATGTTACTGCTCATGTCTATAGGCGACGGTTACCACTTTCCATCAGGTGGGCCGTCAGCTTGTTTGCCATTCTAAGTTGTATAAAAAAAAAAATAATGTATACTTGTTCTGATTATTTTTATAGTATTTTCAAGATCGATTGTAACTGAATACGTTATTTTCAGATAATGCTCCTACAACGGCCATTCCCCTGGTAGAAGTGTGCATGAGCTGCAGCAGTCGCCAGATCATACTGAATCAGGCGCGCGAGCAGAACACCAGGCTTCAGAAGGACATGCAGGCGTTGAAAGATGTTTTGTATAGGTACTGTCCGTTATAGGGGTTTATAATTATCAAGGGTTTGGAGAAAGAGGCTAATAATGGAAGCACATAATGCTAGTAACAAAGAGGTTTATTCAGAGTCGGCAACGCGCACGTAATACCTCTGGTATAGCAGGTGTTCATAGGCTACGGTAGCCACTTACCATCATGTGGGCCGTATGCTTGTTTGTCATCTCAGTGGTATAAAAAATACCTTTCTAAGACCACGTATCTCCACGCGGTTCCCTCTTGAACCCATGGAAATTCCTGGTGAAAGCGTAACGATGGGCTAACTGACCTGCTTTCATGCTGATCTATCATGATGGCGGTGACCCGCCTGCGTATACCGATTATGCGGGCTGGGATACCATTTCATTGGCATCTACTAAAAGAAACCTTATTTCACGCAGCAAGGATAAACAAGATGACATGTTTTTAACCAAACATTTGTATGGTGATATTTTATCTATATAATTTAATTTCACATTTTTTTTTGATGGATGAAAATGGAATGGCAACTCCACCTGCGCTACCGGTATACGCTGGCGGAGCACCAGTGAAGGGTGATCGATGAAAATGAAAACAGGCCAGTTAGCCCATCATGATGAATTCATCAGGAATTAACCATGATAGTTTCCAGGGGGAACCGCGAGAAGGTCGACCTGGTTGGGTATATTGCTAGCAATGGGATTCTCAGTCTCCATTACTAACAATCCCTTTCCTCCCAATTTCACATGTTAAATGTATTTTATTATTTTACAGGTTAAACGTCCAACTATCTCGATATCAAGAGAAACTACGCGCCAACGTACAAGGGTTAAGTGCTGACGGGAAGGACAGTATATATAAACCAGGAGAAAAAATTGATGGGTTCGATTCACTGATCACCGCTAGTCTTGGCTATAAACAAGGTATGATAGCTCTTTTTTTTAAGGGATGATAATGCAATGATAGTCTTGCCGATGTTAACACTATTTACTGGCGGGGTACTAGTGTGTAATGATAGATGAAAATGGCAAGTCACGGCAGTTTTTTTTTTTTTTATGGATGATAATGAAAGGGTAACCCCACCCGCGCTATCGGTATACACCGGCGGGTCACTAGTGAAGGATGATAGGTAATGATGAAGCATGTCAATTAGCCCATCATGACGAATTCAACAAGAATTGTTCACAATGGTTTACAGGGGGAACTACGTGGAGGGCGACTTAATAGGGCATATTGCTAGCAATGGGACTGTCAAACTCCATTGCTCCGCTCCAAGATATATATATATATATAGATATTACCCATATATGGACCAAGTCGTCTCTGTGTTCGCTCAGAAAAAAATACGTTGGACCACTGGTTATTTCTTACACTATGTCACATTGCAAGACTGTCACACCAATAGTTTACTCAGTAATCATGTAAACTGCATGCTCTTTTATAGAATCGGCCACCGACGAAGCACAGTCCAATAAAACCGGTCCTGAAGAGCAAACCCACGGACGAGTGGTAGACTTGTCTGGACTACTAAGTGCGCAGGCGCTGGGTTTGTATTTTTTTTTATTTATTATATTAGTCGTTAATTGTGCACTTCTGAATATGGGCCTCAACATGGGGTTGGGTTTTTTTTTAAACAACTTAGAATAGCAAACAAGCAAAACAACAAGCAATTATACTACGTTATTATAATTTTTTTATCAATTCTGTCATCTTTCCCCAGCGCCCCTCTTCGACGCTTATCAAGAAAATTTACAAGAAAAAGACAGCCTCATACTGGACTACGAGAAACAATTTGAAAATATAAATAAGAAATCAAAACAAATTGTCACCGAGAATAAATCGTTGAACGAAAAGGTCCGAACGCTAGAAGAGGAGCTGGCGCAAACGAGACAGAACTATAAAAAGATGGTGGTCGAGAGAGAGACGGCTGATATAGAGAAGGCTACGCTGGCCGAGCGAGCGGAACGCGCAGAGTCAAAGCTGAAGGAAGTGTACGAACTATATGAAGATAAGAGTAAGTGTTACCACTTTTTTTCTCGTTTTCTTTATACAACTTAGAATGGCAAACAAGCTGACGGCCCACCTGATGGAAAGTGGTAACCGTCGCCTATAGACATGAGCAGTACCATGGACATAACAGAGTATACTGTTTCGCCCATGATACCCCCCATGCGTTGCCATTCCTGAGGACTCGGATGTTATTCCTCTGTACCTAGTAAATTTACGCCATATCCCACCCTTCAAACCGAAACACAGTCATGGAAACGCAACTGTTTCTCGTGTAGAATATATCTGATATAACTTCTTTTTTAGTTAGCTTACATATAAGCGAATTTAAGTGGCGGTGCGGGGGGAGCACTCCTTATTTACCTGGTATCCGTCTTTGAATTACCCGGTTGTCCACCCCTTCATTACTTGGTGTCCACCCGTTCATTGCCTGGTGTCCACCCCTTCATTGCCTGGTGTCCACCCCTTCATTACCTGGTGTCCACCTCTGCATTACCTGGTGTCCACCTCTGCATTACCTGGTGTCCACCCCTGCATTACCTGGTGTTCAGCCCTGCATTACCTGGTGTACATCCCTGAACTATCCGATTTCCATCCCTGCATTTAGCTATGAACAAAGATATGTCTGAAAGTATATACATACGTGTTTTTTTTAAGTGCCAAGTGTTACAAAGATAAAAAGGTGCCAATTCGGAATTAAATTGTATCGATTTCAAAAATAATTACCAAAATCAGTTCAGAATCGTTGACGTAATGGTGCAACTCATTCACAAGAGAATTCAGATGAATTAAGAATCTTTTCTTGGAAGTCGCTTACGAGCGCGATAGAGCAGTTAATCGAGTTAGGCTACTCCCTAATTCGATTAACTGCTCTATCGCGGCAGGACTTTGAATGTGGTCTCCAAGGTTTAATCTATTTTTGTATGAAAACTCATCAAAATTGGTTCAGTGGTTTAAGTGTGAATAGGAAAAAAAAACAGAGTTACTTTCGTATTTATAATATTAGTATAAATTACTAAGGCTGAATCAAGTCTGAAATGATAGAAATAGTGAAATAAATAAGTTACAAATAAGTATTTATGAATGTTTTCAATGTAATGAAAAAATATATATGTATATGTATATATTTTTTTCTTTTTTAGATAACTGGGTTGATGGAAGAAATCTCTTATTAGAGACCAGCTCGTCTTTGTATATTACCTTTCAAATTATATGCATTTATCACTACATTTGTATAAACAATTTACTAAATGAAAAAATGAGTTTGTTTGTTACCTTATAACGCCCTTACGGCTTAACCAATAAATATGAAATTTGGTATACACGTACTATCTGGAACGGAGAAGGTTAGGCTATTTTATATCCCGCTCAGTGAGTGAAAAGTAAAGAAAGAAAATCCCGTGTACAGTGGCAGCCATGATGCGTGACTACGAGACGGTACACCGTGAGTACTTCGCGACCCGCGGTGCTTTAGAAGCAGCCGACGGCCGCCTCGCAGCCTTCGCCGCGCTGCGGGCGAGGACCGTGCCCGCTGACCTTCACGAGCGGCGACTTGACCACTGCAAGAGGTAGTTTTTAGACCAGACTATAGTGCCGGTCTTATTACGTACGAAACAACATGTGTATTCACACTACAATCCAGTGGGGGAAAGGGTTTGTAATGAGGAGGTTAGTCCCCATTGCTATCAATATACCTTATCAGGTCGACCTCCACACGGTTGCCCCTGGAAACCATCGTGATTAAATTATCGTTTAATTTGTCACGATGGGCTAACTGACCTGTTTTTTTATTCTCACCTGTCATCCCTCACTGGTACTCCGCCAGTGTATACCGATAGCGCAGGTGGAGTCATCATTCCATTATCATGCATTAAAAAAAAATACAATCCAGTGAGGGGAAAAGGATTGTTATTAATGAGATTTAACAGCCCTATTGCTACCCATATACCCTATCAGGTCGACCTCCACGTGGTTCCTTCTAAAAACCAATGATTAATTCTTGTTCAATTGGTTACTATAGGCCAACTGATTTGCCTTCATCCTTACCTGTCACGCTTTATTGGTACCCTGTCAGCGTATACCGATTGCTCAGTGCGGGGTTACTATTCCATCTTCACCCATTAAAGATTATTTCTTGTAATTGTTTATATTTATAATAAATTTACTATTGTAATCTTTTGGAGGAAACAATAAAGAGTATCTATCTATCTATCTATCTAAAAAAAACTTCAATCCAGTCTCGTTTCGGTCAATCTCATACAATATCCAGAAAGGAGGTAGAGTGGTTACGTACCGAAATACCGAATCCGGTACTGCTTAGTAGTTTTTTTTTTTTTATTGTGGCTCCCCCTATAGGAGCACGCTTTTTCCCGGATATTAAGTTCCAGGTTATGCATCTATTACTTTTAACTATTCAGCTAGTTTCTTCCTTTCCATCCATTCTTTCATTCCGTTTATACTTCATTTCCTGTCAGTTCTATTTATTTCTTAGTGGAGCTCCTAATTCCTTTGTTCATAGGTTTTCCGGTAGTCGTTGGACCACAATCCTTTGGCGTTGATGTTTATACGTCACCCATCCCACTGTCTGTGCAAGCAAGCAAGTAGTTTGTATTCACACAAATTCATAATTAATAAATTTCTTGTTTTTTTTTTTTTCTTTTTTACTAAAATTGCATTAGATTAGTGTAATAGAAATTGTATTAAAATCATTTCAGTAGATTTTAAATAAAAACTACTGGTTTTGTTACAATTGAAATTTTTTTTTTTTTTTGTGAAACACAATTTTATATAATATCAGATTAGACACAATTAAAACTATTGCATTTTTGCTCACATACAGACTGCTAGAAGAATTGAAACACCAGTACAGCATGGAAACTGAACGCAAGACAGAACAAGCCGCCAAGCTTCAGGAGCAACTGAAACTGCTAGAAGAGAAGCACAGCAAGGTGTGCCAGGAGCACGAGGCGGTCAAAGAGGAATTGACAGCTGCTTTGAAGAATGTTAGGTGAGGTTGTCGTCATTTTATCGTCATCATTACCACCACCACTATTATTAGCTGACGGCTGACAAGCTGACGGCCCACCTGATTATCAGAGGGAGACTATATAAAAGCCGTTTGCTTGGCCATTTCTTTCCCATTCGTGTTTCTATGGTGAAGTAGTTGTGTTTGCATGGCTGTGTTTCGTTTTGAAGGGTGGGATATGGCAGTGAATTTACAGGGTACAGAGGAACACTTGGGTCCTCAGGAATGGCAACGCATGGGGGGGGGGGTATCATGAATGAAACAGTATACTGTTTTATGTCCATGATACTGCTCATGTCTGTAGGCGACGGTTACCACTTTCCATCAGGTGGGCTTCAGCTTGGCAGTCAGCTTGTTTGCCATTCTAAGTTGTAAAAAAAAAAAATGAAATTGAAACCAAAAATTCAGAATTTCTTTTTACGGTATACCCTCAGGAATGGGACGGAGGTACCGAATAGATAGATTTTATAGTGCTTTTATGATTAGATATTCTTGTAAATAGCAAATATGGCTTTATTATAACCTAATGTATAATTTTATGTAAACCAAATGACATGTTGATGAAATAAAACCACATTAGCACCACTACCACCTGTACCACCACCATTACCACCATTATCATCACCGCTATCATCATCATCATCATTTTCCTACCCATAACCCAATCCACCCAACCCAATCGGTCATCTTTATATTTGATAGCTCATTTCTTGAGAATAGGTAACTTCTAAGAATATTTTTATTTTTGTACCGCTGAGGTGCTGGTATATAAGCATACGGTTCACCTGTTGGTAACAATAAGAAGAAGAAGCCTATGAATAAACGCCAGCGATGAGGGGAACTGTGAGCTCATTGCCTACCCTGAAGCACCCTATACTGTGGTCTTTTGGGAAAACTACGACAGGGACGTCGTTCAATATCCTGAGCGTCCTGAGTAGTTACTTTTTTCAATAGTTCTCTACGTCACTTCCTTTTAATACAAATATATTTTATTTAATTGTCTTCCATTCTATTATTAATCGCAAGAATGTCAATTTTAAAACCTTATTTATATATATCTCTTTTTTTTCTTAGGTTATATCGTAAAGCAGCGGTAATATTTCGTCAGCGCGTAAAAGCGGCGACCGCTAGAGCGACGCGCGTCCGCCGCAGTGTACGGAAGGCACGCACCGCTAACGAGCCGCTGCGGTTAGCGCTGGAAGCGCTTGAAAGAATCAAACGGGAAATTAAGGTATCTCTATAGAGTTATTGGGGAGGGTAGGGGAGGAATGTCCGCGTTCACTAAATAAAAGGCATATAATATATTAGAGCAGTAAATTTTTTTATGCAACTTAGAATGGCAAACAAGGTGACGGCCCATCTGATAATGGAAAGTGGTAACCATCGCCTATAGACATGAGCAGTACCATGGACATAACAGACAATACTGTTTCGCCCATGATACCTCCCATGCGTTGCCATCCCCGAGGACTCAGATTGTTATTCCTCTGTACCTTGTCTCCTCTCATAAACCTAGATTAGCTATTGAAGTGTTTTGGCAAACAAGCTAACCGTCGCTTATAGACATGAGCAGTACCATAGATATAACAGAGTATACCGTGTCGTCCCTGGTACCCATCATACGTTGCTGAGAACTAAGGTGATATGCCTTTGAACTCTTTGATCTTTTAAATAGAAAGTATTCTCAGATATGTCTTTGTAAATATAACTAAAAGCTGATCCTCAGATTGTCTTGAAAAGTTTACTTTCAGCAATAAGACCGCCTTACTGTACTTATACAACTGTATCGTTACATTTATTGTCTTGCTTATTCCCTATATTGTATAATGCAAATAAAGTATACTCATTCATTCAAAGTTTTACTTTACATCTAGGCGTGGGCATTCTCTCCTCCCTCCGTAAACACCTTCTTCTGTTTTTTTTTTTTTTTTTTTAATACTAGCAGCCCCTCCCGGCGTCGCATGGGTGGACATTTTTAACATTTCCCTTCACTGCTGTACTCCTATTGATCGTAGCGTGATGAAAAGTATACTATAACCCGCCCAGGAGTATGAAGAATATTTGTACCAAGTTTCGTTAAAACCCATCGAGTAGTTTTTGTTTCTATAACGAACATACAGACAGACAGACAAAAATATTACTGATTGCATTTTTGGCATCGGTATCGATCACTAATCGCCCCCTGATAGTTATTTTGGAAATATATTTCATGTACAGAATTGATCTCTCTACAGATTTATTATAAGTATAGATTACATCTGCAATCAACAGCTTATATCTAGAATAATAAAAAATATTATATTTACACCATAGCCATTAGCCAATTACAGATCCCCATTTAGGATACCAGACAATATTATGCTTATTTTTGGAGGGTAGATCTATTATTTAAAAAAATATATATTTCTCAAACATGCTTGGAAATGTGAGCATTATTTTGACAATCTTCTTAGAGATTACTATATAAATTCATATCTGTCCTGCAATTTAAAAATGGAATGACCTTTTTACTTCGAATTAAAGCTAACAAGGAGGTAACTAATAAAAGGTTTTATTTAAATTTCGAACTGCCTTGCAAATAGAAAGCTGTTTATTGAAAAAAAAAAACAAAGGGACATTATGGCGTGTGAAAAATTATTATTGTTTGTTATTCGTCATTGAACTTAAAAAGTAAAATTGTGTTTTTGATTTCCGCGCATTGTTTGAGAAAAGTACTATACAAGCCTTGGGCACAACTAGGCATTGATGGACTCACGTATGTGTGTCTCGGCTACGCCTCGGCCCACATTTGCACGTTCGTCCATCAATGCCTCAGTTGCTGGCCGCTGCAGTAATGTACTATTATGTCTTTTTTTTAAATATACAAACTTTCACATTTGTAACACAGTATTGATCTGGTAGGTAGTGAAGTCCCGCGCGTACTCGTCGCTGGAGGAGCTGGAGAGGCGCATCGTGCAGCAGGAGCGGCGCGCTGCGCTCGCGCACGCCGAGCACCGCCGCGAGCTGGACAGGGCCGCCCTGGCGCTGCAGCACAAGGAGGGCATCATCAGGAGCCTCATCGATAAGGTGGCCGACGTCGAGGAGGTCAGGTTAGCACCTATTAGCCTATTGTCTGCGCTTGATAATACCTCTAAACCAATATCATAAAGAGAATTAATTTTGATTTTCAACCAACTTCAAAAAGAAAGAGGTTCTCAATTTGATTGTATTTTTTTGTTTGCTCCCACATAACTCCTTCAGTTTTTTTTTTGATGGATGAAAATGGAATGGCAGCTCCACCTGCGCTGCCGATATACGCTGGTGGAGCACCAGTGAAGACTGATCGATGAAAATGAAAACAGGCCAGTTAGCCCATCATGATGAATTCATCAGGAATTAACCATGATAGTTTCCAAGGGGAACCACGAGGAGGTGGCCTGGTTGGGTATATTGCTAGCAATGGGATTCTCAGTCAATGTTTTTCTCCCTTTTTTTCTAATATATTGTGATTAAAAATGATCTCAAATAGGACGACTTACACCCTTTTTTCCAGACTCAGCCAAACTAACACGAGTCGACTCCAAGGTATAGTGTCCGACGTGTCAGACCACTCGTCGTCTCCTGAAGAGAAAAAAGATACGAAACCGTCCGTCAAGCTGGTGCCAGGGGCCGGAGGCTATTTTCAGGAGAAAGAGGGAAGAAGAAAGAGGTTATAGGAGCCATTTGATATTATTTACAAGACTTAATTATTATATGCGATTTTCGTATAATTTTGTACCTTATTCTAAAGAGCGTAAGGTCTATAGTACAAAATAGATATTTGGATAATTTGGTGGAGTATGGTCAGTGTTAAGAGAGCTCATAACTTTAGCTTGACGAGGTGTGGCAACGTCGCATTTATGTGTCAGTTTTCAAAAACTGTTTCATATAAAATTCATTCATTCATATTTAAATTTTTCTGATTGATTATTTAAAAAGTGCTCTGATAGTGAACTAAAATGTTAATCATATGTAGAGACGTACATATAAATGTACCACTAAAAATTGGCCAGTTCCACTTGGCCCTACCAACGTTTCTCTATTAGGTGGCCTATTCTATACATTTTATTTTTATGATTATAGACAGAGAAATAACTACATGGGACAGATAAAAGAAACACTAGGTGTCATCTCGTATACGGAGGTTAAAGAATAGAGCTGGCTGGAAAATGTATGAATCGGTTGCCCCTACGAGAGGAAACTTTTAAATGAAAAAAATATGATAATATTATAATGTTTATATATTATTACAAGTAAGTACTAAGTGTTCATAATTAAGGTCTAGTCAGCATCGAACCGCCAATTCTTTCACAGCCACTGAACTATAATGGTTCTATAGGTTACATGTATTTTGTAATTTGTTATTTAGTAATTATGTATGAGGTAAAGATATATATATATTCTTTATTGCACTTGTAAATTACATTGTTAATGCATTTATAAATATTGTGAGCAAGGGTGGACTTATCTCTGACAGAGATCTCTTCAATATCTGAAGAGATCTCTGACAGAGATCTCTTCAATATCTGAAGATATGTAATGATATGAAAAAGTGATGATTCAAAATAAAAAAGTAATAAACAATTTGATGTCAATTTATTTAAAAGGTCACCTGAACAACTCATTACCAAAGAGAGTCTTTGTACAGAAGTCGTCTGCTTGGGTGCCTACTTCATGGCGACGGTTACCACTTTCGGTGTTTGGTTAGGTGTGCCGTCATGGAGTCTTTGTACAGAAGTCGTCTGCTTGGGTGCCTACTTCATGGCGATGGTCACCACTTTCCATTAGGTGGGTCGTCATTTTTTTGGTATTCTGAATTTAATTATTCTGAAATTAAGGTTTCAATGTCTGGATACGACCCCCCTCCCCCCGTCCCTATCGATTGCCTTCAAATTTTGCATTATTAAAGATAAATAGTTACCTTCCCACATTGCTAAAAATGATTGGTGAGGATGGGGGAGGAATAGGATTTGTTAGTAATGGCACCGATAATATAATACTATACTAGTAGTAATGGGTACGCTAGATCCCGTTTAATTCCACCTCCATACGCTCTCCCTTGGAAACCATCATGATTATTCCTATTGTATTCGCCACGGTGAGCCAACTAACCTGACTTCGTTTTCATCATTTCACCCTCCACTGGTGCTCCGCCGTTTTATACCGTTATCATAGGTTGGGGTGCCATTCCATTGTCATTCATAAAAAAAAAAATAAGTACAAATGAAGTCAGCTTATAATAAGGCCACCATTATGAGGATTCACCAGGAGTTCACTAAGGTTTCCAGGAAAACCACGTGAAGCTCAACCTGACCCTACCCTATATTGCTAGTAGTGGACCCTTAGTCTTCGTTACGAATAATTAATACTTTCTTTAACGGAAGTCACCAAACTACCTTTTATAAGGTAGGCCGTCAGTTTGTTTGCCGTTCCAAATCCTATATCACTATAAAAAAAATGTAGGCCAAGAATATTTATGGTACCTGTACAATACTGTACATCTGTAGGGTTATCACAAACATTTTAATATTATTCCAAAAGCAACCTTAAGTATATGCTAATACAGTCATAATTTGAATACAATATTGATATTAAGGTGATTTATTTTGAGATGCAATATATTCATTAACAAATAATACTGTATGAATTCAGATAAGGGAACCCTTGGAAAGGCCTTGTTTATACAATCACTTATTGAAACAGCTGAAGGTGATTACCGTTTATAAAATAACTAGGAATCCGGCCCGGCTTCGCACGGGTAGATAGTTTTTGAAAATAATAAACTGTATTACTTGCTGATAATGTTGTTTTCTATAGATGAAAGAGTTTTTAAAATCAGTTGAGTAGTTTTGAGTTTATAAACAAACAAACAAATCTTTTCTTTTTTTTATACCACAGGTGGCAAACTAGCATACGGCCCACCTGATGGTAAGTGGTTACCGTAGCCTATAAACACCTGCAATACCAGAGGTATTACGCGTGCGTTGCCGACCCTGAAGAAACGTCTTTACCCCCCTTTTTTAAGAACCCCATGCTGTAGTCTCTTGGGAAAACCTCAGCAAGGAGCTCATTCCACAACCTGAGTGTTCGTGGGAGGAAACATCTCTGAAACCGCGCAGTACGTGACCGTTGAGGCTGTAGGACATGAGGATGAACTCCCTGTCGATGGTGAGCCGTACGATGGTAGAAAGTGGCTGTGGGCATCATATTAAACAATTCCTCTGAGCGTAATCCATTGTACAGGCGATAGAACACACAGAACGAGGCCAAATCTCTCCTAAGATTTAAGGGTTTGATACCCCCTGTGAGCCTGGGATCATCGACAATTCTCATAGCTCGTCGTTGCAACGAGTCGAAAGGTTCAAGCTGGTATTTAGGTGCTCGGGCCCATAAGTGACAGCAATACTCCATGTGGGGCCGTATTTGCGATTTGTATAGCATTAATAACTGAACCGGCGTGAAGTAATGCTTCGCTCTATTGAGCACACCGAGTTCTTAGATGCCAGCTTCACCTTGTCTTTGAGGTGGCCACGGAACTGTACATTACTAGAGATGTCAAAACCAAGGATCCCAATGCTTTTAGAGATGTTAAGAGACGTGCCTTGAAACTGTGGAGCCACAGCAAATGGGGTTTTCTTAGCGGTGAACGCGCAAGCTTGTGCCTTAGCGGGGTTAAACTAGTTTTCTTTCTAGTATATAAAGCATAAATTTGAATGTACATATATCAATAGGTCTGAAAATGGTTTTGTTTTCACGCATGGGTAGTATGTATGTATGTGTAAACATAGTTTTCATACAATAATTTGTGACAATTTCAATTGTCATATAATATGTTAATGTTTTTCAAATAAAGTCAGACGTAAGACTTTGTTTTGATATGTAGGTATATCGGTTATTTTTAATGGGCGATTTTCGAATGGTAACCCCGTTAAAGTTATCAGCATACGTTGGTGGGGCACCAGTGAGAGATGATAGATAAGGATGATGCCGGTCAATTGGGCTATAATGACAAATTCATAAAAAAACATCACAACCTTCAAGAAAAGAGCATAGTCCTTTTGAAAAGGTCGGCAGCACATCTGCAATGCCTTTGATGTTACGGGTAATCATGGACGGCGGTAGTTACTTACCATCAGGCTCCACCATGCTCATTTGCTTTCTATGTTATAAAAAAAATAAAGAATTAAGTACTATAGTTTCCACGGGGTACCGCGTGGAGACCGACCTGTCTATTGTTATCAATAGAGTTGTGGAATCACCATTACTATGTTGTATAATAGTACAATATATAATAAATAAAATACTTCTTTATGTCCTTACTAATATTATATATGTCAAAGACTTTGTACAAAAGTCGATTGCTTGGACACCTCTGTCCCATTCGTGTTTCTACCGTGAAGCAGTTGTGTTTGCATGGCTGTGTTTGGGTTTGAAGGGTAGGATATGGCGTGAATTTACAGGGTACAGAGGAATAACACCTGAGTCCTTAGGAATGGCAACGCTTGGGGGGTATCATGGGCGAAACAGTATAGTCTGTTATGTCCATGGTACTGCTTATGTCTATAGACGACTGTTACCACTTTCCATCAGGTGGACGATCAGCTTGTTTGCCATTCTAAGTTGTATAAAAAAACAGTAAGTTTGTTTGTTTGTTATCTTAATCGTTATGAAATTTGGTTTACAAGTATTGTTCAGATAAAGAAGCAAGGAAGGTTACGTTTTATCCCGGTCAGTAAACATATCCCGGTCACGCGGACAAAGTCACTGGTAACAAAGTAAATGGTAGTATTTTTTTTAGTATGTTTGTTTCGTTGTGGAACAGGCTAAGGTCGGAGACCATGCTGCCTTAGGTAGTATTAATATATGTTCAAAATTTCAAGCTATTAATACCCATTATTCATCACTATAATTCATCACCACCATATCTGCCGTTAATTGTCCACTGTTATACATAGGCTTCTCCTATAAGGACGGGGAGTTTTGTCAGTTGCTGCCACGCCTGACAGGCGGACTGACATCCGCAGTTGGACTTTGCTGATGTTTTAAGATGTACACTGTTGCTCATCACTCGACCATTAAGTATTTCTCTTATGAAACCGAATACAAAGTGATTTCACAACTACACTGATTTTAAGTATAATAAATTTGAACGTAATAATTACAAGACACTTGAATCTTATTTAGATTTTTTATTAGGAGAGAGAGCGAGGACACTATTGGCATTATAATGAATTTATTTGTGTCGAGTTGCCAAGAGTTTCCTTAGCCGCCTCTTAGGGAAGAAAGGTCCCGGTATTCTATGAAAGAGGTAGAGGTTAGAAAGAAAGGTATATGAGTATATCATAAACGATACACGGCCATAGTTCAATAATATATTTAAATTAAGTTCCCTTAATCGCTTCTTATGACACTCACAGGGAAGTAAATGGGAGGTCATTCTATTCCGGGGTCGTATTGGGATTTCAATATTTCCAAAATGTTGTAGCCTATGTCTATAAAATTCCAAGACAATACAAGAGTCGAATGAACATATTATGAATACAATAAAGTTATTATCACTAGTGTATCAGTATGTACAGGTGTCTTTGAAGTCATTATAATGTTAATACATATTGATGAACATACCTAAATAGCCTCTCACATGCCTCATAATGTTTATAATAGTCGATCTTGATATCTGGTGAGTACTCCAATAATACATTTTTTTTTTAATTATTCTTTTTCAATTAGGAATCAAGCCCCAAATTTTTACGGTACTATGGAAAGGGTTTTAACGTGTAGTAAATGCACGAAATAAGAGATAATAGAGTAAGAGGAAAATATTATTCATTAAATGTTTCCCTCATGAATTCCTACTTAATAAGTATTACTGAGTACAGAGGAATAACACCTGAGTCCTTAGGAATGGCAACGCATGAGGGGTATCATGGGCGAAACAGTATACTTTGTTATGTCCATGGTACTGTTCATGTCTATAGGCGACGGTTGCCACTTTCCATCAGGTGGGCCGTCAGCATGTTTGCCATTCTAAGTTGTATAAAAAAAAATGTGAGTGAGTGTTTGTTTATTTATTTTTTATTGTTATTTCATAGCCCCTTAACTACTTTTAATCTAGCTCAGTAAACATAGCTCAGTCGCAAAGTCGCGGGTAAAAGTTACTTTATATGTTTACTCCTGTATAATTTTGTTTTGCAAAACCGTACAGCAGTAATTGAGTAACAGATATCCAAATATCTTTATAAATTTTCACAATTACAATAATAATAAGATTTTAAATGACTTAAATAATTTATTAACCAAGAAAATACGGTACAAATGGCGGATTTAATACCATATGCCTCTTTACCAGTCATACGAAAGTAGTGCTTATTTAATCTTTTAGTTTATTATCTATATTAAAAAAAAAGGTTTACAATACAAACAGACATACGTTTTACTCATAAACACAAATGTTGGTTTTCCGCGAGAATCGAACTTGCGACCAATTGTATTTGGTGGCATTTTCTTAAACCACTACACTACGAAGTTCGTGAGTTAATGTTTTGTTTTCTAATATTATTGATAGCAAAAAAACAATTAAGATAATTAAATCAATAATAGATAAATATTGATTAGATATATATTTTATCTGTAGATACTTAGTCTATTAAAAGTACATGCATATATTTTATATGGAAAATATTTTTGCGACTAATTGATAAATTACATATAATACATTTATTGATAAATCACTGTTAAAATTTTAGCAATCAAGATATTTAAAAATACGTATGTGTTATGCTACTAGGCGTTAATAGTGAAGCCTTTTTTTAAATTTATTTTTTAACTGATTTCAAAAAGAAAGAGGTTACAAATTGGTTGTATAATATTTTTTATGTTTGTTAGTTTCGAAAAATAGCAATAATTTGTAAAATTGTTGCTATTGTCCGAAAGGATATACTTATAGATTAGTCCAATAGAAAAATCATTAAAATCGTTTCAATAGTTTGGTTTTGATATCAAAATAACTTTTTTTTTTAGATTTTGTAATAATTGAGATCTGTTTTTCTTTTTGTGAAACACAAGTTAAATTATTTTCTCACATATGTTATATTTTGCTTTTTTTTTTTCAGATATGTTTAGTAAACTTTTAGTATTGTTGTTTTTTGTTTTCGAATATGCAAAGACACAAGATGCAAACTGCGATTTCAGACAAGATGTAAGTACAATTATTTAGAAGATTCGTAATAGGTACAAGGCTGGGGGATGGGATAAACTCATCTACAATGGTAGCAGACTCAGATAATGAGTGTTTTAATTGGATATATGGCAGTAAGTCATATACTGTACAAGATGGGTCTATCTTTGGACACACCAGAGGGAGACTTTGTACAAAAGTCGTTTGCTTGGGTACCTCTGTTCCATTCGCATTTCTACGATGAAGCAGTTGTGTTCGCATGACTGTGTTTAGGATTGAAGGGTGGGATATGGCAGTGAATTTACGGGATACAGAGGAATAACACCTGAATCCTCAAGAATGGCAACACATGGAGGGGGGGAATGGTCCATGGTACTGTTAATGTCTATAGGCGACGGTTATCAGACGTTTTCTATGAAGTGGGCCGTCAACTAGTTTGCTATTCTAAGTTGCATATAAAAATACACTATGCATATTATTCAGTGCGGAATCGGAATCCATAAAACACTTGATGTACAACTGCGATTCGTTGGCAAGTATGCGAATGAGTCTCCTGGGAACGGCTTATTATGAACCAGGGAACTACAGATATCTTAAACCGCGGGATATCACAAAGGTAACACATAGGATCTATAAAATGAAAGTGTAAGGTATGGGGAAACTAAATAGATTCCAATGGGTCGACGTGCAATAGTTTCGCTGACCCCATATGCAAATAAAAAGATATGATAGGTACAATTTAACAACAGTAACAAACATCTTACTTATATAATAAAATTGTAAATAGACGATGTTTGTTCATAGGATATACGAGCATTTAAGAAAAAATTTATACACGGCATCGTAACAGAACCTATAACAGAACCTATACAACTTAGAATGGCAAACAAGCTGACGGCCCACCTGATGGAAAGTGGTAACCGTCGCCTATAGACATGAGACATAACAGAGTATACTGTTTCGCTCATGATACTCCCCATGTGTTGCCATTCCTGAGGACTCAGGTGTTATTCCTCTGTACCCAGTAAATTCACGCCATATCCCACTCTTCAAACCGAAACACAGCCATGCAAACACAACTGCTTCACGGTTGAAACACGAGTGGGACAGAGGTACCCAAGCAATCGACTTTTGTACAAAGTCTCCCTCTGGTAGATACTTTACGTGTATGTATGTCTTTAGGGAAAACCTTGGCAGAGAGCTCATTCTACAGCATGATCGTTTGCGGGAGAAAACGTCTCTGAAATCTGAATTATAATAGCACTAGCAACGTTACAGTAAAAGCTAGTATAATAGCACTAGCTTTAAACTTAACGTTTCTTACTCTGTGATGCGAACAATTGTAATTTTCCATTAAATAACTCGTCAGCTTGCTTGCCACTTTTTTTTAATTTAATAATTTCCTCTTTGCCGTAATAAATTCTGTCAAGAGATTTACTATATCCAGCTGTGGTAATGTTTTTTTTATATTCCAACAGGTAGAAGTAGGTCAAACGTACTATGTGTATAATCCAGGATATTCAAGTAATTATGAACCAGGTGTACAGTGCAGGTGGATAGGACGTTGTCCAGATGGGTACAGGTGTAAACTGTACTGTTCCGAAGTATCATTACCTGAGGTGAGTATTTTAATTTTGAACAAAATATAATTAATTTTTGTACTATAAATAATATTTATTACAAACAGTCGACAAGATTAAGCATTATTTATTTATTTATTTATTACATCCTCTAGGTAAGCCTTACAGTCTTCCAATACGCTGACCCAGGAAAGCATATCATATCATATCAGCCTTTAACTGTTCATTGCTGAGCCCTTGGAAGGTTTTGCCAGTAGTTGTCACGCTTGGCAGGCGGATTGGCAACTGCAGTTAGGCTTTAATGATGTTTTAAGAGGGACGCTGTTATGAGTGCATACCGATACCATTCTTTTATCACCGATAAAAAACACCCTCTTAAAAAGGTCTCAGTGATTTTGTTATCAGCCTGTAGAGAGAGAATTTATCGTATTTTTTTTTTGTTAGAGTCCGTCGTGCTCCTTGGATCGTTTGTTGATCTCCAAGAGCGGAGATCCTCAGTTGTCTGCCGCGGAGCATTACTGTGGACGTGGTTTTATGACAGTTGTATCGACTGGCCAGACAATCAGTGTAGGTATGTACAAATCTTTAGTTGAATTAAAACAATTAGTATAATCCTTAATGCACGATTTAAATCTATACTCTTAATTTTTTTTAATTAGATTGTTTATTTAAATATTTTTATTGACCAAAAGATATGGTATAAAAAGCGAACTTAGTGCTAGTAGCTAGTAGTATTCTCTAGCAATTAACCTTTGGGATGAACAGTGAGTCACGAACGAGATATTTCATTATTGAGATATGTAAAAAAAATAACAACTAATTTAATTTTTTTTATACAACTTAGAATGGCAAACAAGCTGACGGCCTACCTGATGTAAAGTGGTAACCGTCGCCTATAGACATGAGCAGTACCATGGACATAACAGAGTACACTGTTTCGCTCATGATACCCCCATGCGTTGCCATTCCTGAGGACTCAGGTGTTATTCCTCTGTACCTAGTAAATTCACGCCATATCCCACTCTCAAACTGAAACAGGTACCCAAGCAATCGACTTTTGTACAAAGTCTCCCTCTGAGATTACAAAATTACAAAAGAGTGGGGAATTTTTATTATTCTAAAAATAATTCTTCTAGTGTGACATATTTTACAAATATTTATTAAAATTGTGCATTCCACAGAATTCTTTTTATTTAAAGGGAAAAACACATAATGTATTTTCATCTTTAAGGTTTAATAACATCAAATAACAGTCCAGGTGGGAAATTCCTTTGCGAACTTACCGCTGAAAGGGCAGGAACATCGCCGAACACCCGAACATGTCGATGTGGTTATAAGAAACAGGTGAATTTATTATTTTAAAATATAGGGTATTACGAAGGTCATGAATAAAAGGTACAATTTACCTTTTGATAAATCGATTCGAACCCACGTCTCTCTGCTATCGGGGCTGAGTGTATTTCTAATTACATCACGGTAAAAATTTGCATTGTGCACAGTTTTTGTACATATTTGGCGAGAAATATTAATTTATTTTCTTATGGTTAAATTTTCAACGTGCTTTTCGGTTTTAAGGGAATGGCACACGGCAATGGAACTATAGAGTACAGTTTGTTTGTTTGTTACATTATAGCGTCTTAACCAAACACTATATTGGTGTACACGTAGATATTATATGGAACGGAGAACGATATACGCTACTTTTTATCCCTATTTGTAAACACATTTTCAGTTACGCGGACGAAGTCGCGGGTAAAAGCTAGTAATTACAAATACTATTATTTATTATTATTACATTCGTATTGGAATGAAATTTGGTATACGGGTAGTTTCTTTTTTAGTTTGGCGCAGGATGTTCTATGTACTTATACACGCGGATAAAGCCACGGTATGCAGTTAGTATCTGTATAATAATTCATCTTCATTCCGTTTAGACGCGAATCGTAGGTGGTGAGGAGACCGCCGTCAACGAGTACCCGATGATGGTCGCGCTGGTACACAGCCGAACGGCCGAGATGGAGTGTGGAGGTGTCATTATTGATAAGCGGTACGTTCTGACGGCGGCCCATTGCTTGGACAGGCAGCAGATATCCAATCTAGCGGTTGTGGTCGGAGAGCACAATGTTGATACCGGTAAGTTATTTATTTATCTATTTATTTTTTATTTCCCGTGATTGTCGTAAAAGGCGACTAAGGGAACTTCATGGTCGAGGGATGGGCAACAATGCCCTCCTTAATTCATTGCCAAAAGCTTAGCTGTGGTTACTAATCTGTCTACCAAGCGTGGCAACTATTAGTAAAATCTCCCTTGTAGGGGAGGTCTATGTTCAGCAATGGAAACCTTGACCTGGTTATCGATATACTCTGGCGGAGTGTCAGTCCAGGATGATAGGTGAAGATGAAGGCAGGTCAGTTGGTCCATTGTCTATTGTCCAGGAATTAACCACGGTTGTAGCTGAACCTAAATCAGAAGTTAGTTTACTCTGTACATTCAAAGGCAAAGTAAATAAAATCTTATCCGGGAAATAAGTACAGTGTAAGATAAGATATATTTATTTATTATTTATTTATTTTAACTTTAATGCACAGTGAAACTGTTTACATATAGCGGACTTAAGACCGGACGGTGTTCTCTACCAAATGTTCTCTATATGTGCAGGAATGTAATTTTTTTTGTTACCCCTTCGCGCTTTCCTGACGCAATTGATCATCACGAATCTTGACATTCATGTAATAGGCACCTACTTAGAATCGAGGATATAGTCTACTTAATACTCGTATGCCGGTCACACACACAAAATAGCTAAGTAATGTAAGTAACAAGGAATTCTTACCTATACGGGAATCTACAAAAGTGTTAATTTATTTCAGGTGATTCGCCAGCTACAAGAGGCTATAGAATTATGGATGTGATTATTCATCCGCAGTACAGCTCGTAAGTTGCATTTTCAATTCAAACTAAGCAGTCTGTATACATTTTCTACTGTTGAAAGTAGTTGTTTGTTCGCCATATTTGTTGTTTCGTTGTTGCATATATAATAAATAGACTTTAGAGTCAGCTCTCTTTTGTAATTTATCCATTTAGAGTTCTTTCCACATGTCCTAACTTCTGTAAGATACCTCATTTCGGGACTAGTAAATTTTAGAATAATTTATTTCTGAAGTCGGTTAAAAATAAATGTGACAATCTGATAACAATAATGGCATTTCGCAAGACCTAAAAATGACGTATTACTGTTACCCTTTACACTGTAGTATTGATTTGATAGGTATATATGTATCTATTAATAGGATATTCCGTCTCGGCAATAGAAAATTTTAAATAAATTTGAATAACCTATTTTTGAAATTGGTTAGAAATAAATGTGGCAACCCTGCAACAAAAACGCCATTTCGCAACCGATACACACACTGAGTGTGTGTCGAACCGATAGGGATGTCTCTATTAATAGAAATAAATGTTATGTAATAAATGTATGTATTATTATTTGTCTAAAAGACTGTACTTTAAAATATCGATTGGAAAAAGTGGCATATTTATTCCATTTATCCTTACTGGTCAATGACAGAGACAAGTGAAAAATTCACTCTTATCCTCTCAAGGGGGAAAGTTGGTAGAGACAAGTGTAACTGGCCGTTTCATTGTGTATCAATTCATTCTCTCACATTGAAATCGAATAACTTGAGGTTAATTGTTTTATACCACAAAGGTGGCCAACAAACATACAGCCTGTCTAATGACAAACGATCACTGTATCTTATGGACGTTTGCAAAACCAGGGGTGTCTCGTGCGCGTTGCTGACCCAGAAAAAAACCTTAATATATCATTTTTGAAGAATCCCATATAGTTGTACTAGGGAAAATCTTGGCAGGGAATTAATTCCACAGCCTGAGCGTTCTTGGGAGAAAATTTAATTATGGTTTATGATGTTCAGTTCTAGTTACACCAACGACATCGCGATTGTGGTATTGGACCAGGACATCGAGTTCGGCCCGCTGGTCGGACCCGTCTGCTTACCATTTAAATTCGCTGATGATGACATGGCTGGAGACACAGTCACTGTTCTTGGTATATGAAGTTGTTTTTTGAATTTTCCAACTTGTCTTTCAAGATTTGAAGATATATATTTTACAGGAGGTTTGCTTGAATCAAAGCATTTGAAGTTTCATGGTTTCTGCCTACCCTAATGAGACATAAACGTGGCATATTTTATAGTATATGAGGAATAATAGCCACTATTTACCTGTATATTATGTAGAATATTGTTGCAATTTTTAAGGACTAAGGTGCTTTTTCTATCAAATTGTGTACGTAGATGGAAGTATCACCATTTTTTATTCAACTGGCAAAAAAACGTCGATAGAAAATGCTAATCGTCAATAAATAGCACCATGAACAGCGCAGATCGTCACTGCAATGTACTGGTACTCTTTAGGCATCAGCTACTCCTGAACAGAGACTATGCTTCTGTACCTATGTATATTACCGACATATCTCATCCTTCAAATCGAAGCACAGCTGCTTCATGATAGAAATATGGATGGGACAGAAGTGATTTTTCTGTATGATACTGGAAACAAGTTGACAACCCATGTGATGAAAAATGGAAACCGTCGATTGATATGAATATCACAGGTCATCGCTGTAACACCCATGGTACTTCTTATATCATGCGATTCCTGTAGATTAAGGTATTATGCCTTTGCACTCTATAATTTTACTACCAGATCATTACCCTTCAAATCGAATCACAATCTTGTAACTTATAAACATAGTTTTTTAACGCCAGGAACATAACTGCGATTGAGGTATTCATGCACACAGCTTTCTAAATGTTACCATTGAACCTTTCAAATGTACCTATTTACCATTAAATTATATCAAATTACGAAAAGTTTAATACAGATTTGGTAATTTTTGTTTCTAGGATGGGGCACACTATTCATAGGTGGACCAATATCCAAAGTGCTGAGACAGGCGGACTTGGATGTAATAAGTCAAGAACAATGCCAAGCCAAATATCAAGCGCTTAATTCAAGTCAAATTTGTACCTATACGCCTGGAAAGGATGCTTGTCAGGTAATCTATATATCTCTCTGATATATCTCCATCGCCAGATTGCAAGTGAATTATGTTGATTGTTCTTATTTCAGATTAGAAATATTTTTTTTATACAACTTAGAATGGCAAACAAGCTGACGGCCCACCTGATGCAAAGTGGTAACCGTCGCTTATTGCCATGAACAGTACCATAGACATAACAGAGTATACTGTTTCACCCATAATACCCCCCATGCGTTGCCATTCCTGAGGACTCAGATGTTATTCCTTTGTACCCAGTAAATTCACGCCATATCCCACCCTTAAACCGAAACACAGCCATGCAAACACAACTGCTTCAAGGTTGAAACACGAATTGGACAGAGGTACCCAAGCAATCGATTTTTGTACAAAGTCTCCCTCTGATAAATACTAATGGCAAACATGCTAAATACATCGATAATTTAAGCTTTTATTGTACAGAGATAAAAACCAACTTCAATATTTATAAAATAAGTACGAGACTAATACTGCAGTAACTCTTTCTGATAAATAAGAATCATCTTAATATCTCCTCTGTCCCATTCGTGTTTCTACCGTGAAGCAGTTGTGTTTGCATGGCTGTGTTTCGGTTTGAAGGGTGGGATATGGCGTAAATTTACTGGGTACAGAGGAATAACACCTGAGTCCTCAGGAGTGGCAACGCATGGGGGGTATCATGGGCGAAACAGTATACTCTGTTATGTCCATGATACTGCTCATGTTTATAGGCGATGGTTACCACTTTCCATCAGGTGGACCGTCAGCTTATTTGCCATATGCCATATGTATGGTTCCGAAATAGATTGGATCACCTCTTCCTTTCACGTGGGTGTCGTAAGAGGCTGTTAAAGGAACTTCATGGGCGAAGCTGGGCAACAGCGTTGCTCTTAAAATATCACCAAAGCCTAACTGTGATTGCCAATTCGCCTGCCAAGTAAGGTAACTAAGGGTAAAACCCTCCTATATGGGGGAGGCCTATGTTCAGCAGTGGACATTTTTAATTGCAATGCAATTTCGAAATGGTGAAGAAGCTGACGACCCATCTAATGAAGATAGCAACAACCTTTAAAGATGAATGGTATTATGCACATCACAGATAGGTTAGTCCTTGATATATATTCTATTGCTATATTTATAATATAAAAGATTTATTTATTTTTCCTCTCTCTCTCTTTAAGGTACCAAGTTCAGAATATTCTATATTCTAATGAATTTTCTAACTTCATTTATATATAACTTTGCAGCTCGATTCCGGAGGTCCTTTGCTATACACAGATCCTGCGACCGGTCTCCTCTTCAACGTGGGTGTGGTCAGTCAAGGGCGGTTCTGTGCTTCCAGAGGGGAACCGGGTGTTAACACCCGGGTGACGGAGTACTTGTCCTGGATAATAAACAACACGCCGGAAGCGGATTATTGCAGACAATAAAATGTTTTGTTTTGTTTCTTTTTTTTTATAATTTTATTTATTGTAACCAATTTTAACTATACAGATGTTATGGGGAAGGGATTGTTAGTAATGGAGAAGTTAGTCCCCATCGTTATCAATATAGGTACCCTTTTTGTTTTTTTATACAACTTAGAATGGTAAACAAGTTGACGGCCCACCTGATGGAAAATGCTAACCGTCGCCTATAGACATGAGCAGTACCATGGACATAACAGAGTCACAGATAATATAATACTATACAGAGTATACTGTTTCGCCTATGATACCTCTTATGCGTGGCCATTCCTGAGGATTCAGGTGTTATTCCTCTGTACCCTATTAGATCGATCTTCTCGCGGTTTTTAGTTGAATTCGTCACGATGGGCCTATTGATCTGCTTTTTATCCTCACCAATCATCCCTATCGGTATACACTGGCGAGGAAAAAGGATTTTTTTAAGAAGTTGTCTTTTAGGCAATAATTCTTACTTATAATATTCTATAATACTTTTATACTACTTACGTATACTATTAATATAATATTATAAATGCAAAAGTTCGAGAGGATATGTTAATGAATGTTTGACTGTCACTGTTACTCTATCACGCAAAAACTACTGAACAGATTTAAATAAAATTTTGTACATGGGTAGGTTACATCCTAATTTAAAACATGTACCATATATAGAATACTTTATATAATGATTATGCGAAGGAAGCCACGTGATACAGCTAGTTACTGATAAAGATAATTTCGGTTATATTTTGTTGATACATTAATTATAACGTTTTAAATTGCATAATATACCCTACATAGGTAATTTAAACAATGCTTTATTATCTCTAAGGTTGTAAAATATGAATATAAGTGCCATTGTACAGATAACATGCATTGAAAATAGATATCATACAAAATTTCACTGAAAAACAAGTGATGTACGCGAGCGCCTTGTATGGCGGACGAATTTACTTTGATACGTGATTGAATATTATACAGATTTTTATTTTTAATTGCCTAATTGATAACATACATTCACTGATAAATGCGAAGTGAATTTTTCCCTGTGTCGGTAGTATTGTGAACAAGCATTCACTGTTGAATGCCGCAGTGGGGTCAATTGTTTATATATTATTATTATAATTGTTTATTAAATAGTGTTCGAAATTCAATAAAGTTCTTATTTCAAAAATGTATATTAAAAAAAGTATGTTCATGTTTTTATTTTTTCTACTCGAATCTTTGGCTCAAGACCCAAATTGTGATTTTACACAAAACGTAAGTAAATAATATTTGTATTTTTGAATTCAAGGATTCGTTTCTGTAAACTAATAACATAAATGAGAGAATTTATAAAGGTGTTTAAATGTTTGTTACCCGGCTGAATAGATTTGAATGAAATTTGGTACATGGGTAAATTTACACGTATAATTACCCTATCAATGCACTACAAATATTGTTGAGATCAAATCCTTTATCTAACTAGAATAGAAATAAATAACATGTGTGACAACAAAAAAATATTATACTCTATAGGATAATCATAAGAAATTATACCAAACTGACGACGTTAGTTGTGTTTTAAACAATGTATGCTTCAATTTCTGGTAGCTGCCAGTTCTATTGCCGCACAAAACGATTGTAAATGTGATGAATTCACTAGCAATTAATCATGATAATTTCCAGGGGAGACCAAATCGAGGTAAATTAGCAGGGTAGATAGACAAAAACGTGCCTACTAATTCCCACTGCTTACAATCCATTTCCTCCATGATTTACCAGGTACAGCCAGGGCAAACGTACTACGTTTACAGTCCGCGGTACCCATCCAACTATCCACCCGGTGTGCAGTGCAGGTGGATAGGTATATGCCCAAATGGATACAGATGCAGGCTGTACTGTTCAGATGTGTCAATACCACAGGTAAGTAGTCATATTAATAACAAAACATAACTTGTTTGATATGTAGGATATTATGGGGGAATGACAGGATCATCGTCATCTTACATTATATACATTGGCCTCTCCCATAACTGTTAGCCTTGTCCGCTGCTGTCCATGCCTCGAACATTAAGTTCTCTTAGTCGCTTCTTATGACATCCACGGGAAAGGAAGGAATGGCTTATTCTATGCCATATGGGACTACAGAATGACAGAGTGCGAAAGCTTAATTCCTTCTCCGGCAAGAAAGATAAAATACGAGGATTGACATAGATATCTTTTTTTTATACAACTGAGAATGGCAAACAAGCTGACAGCCCACCTGATGGAAAGTGGTAACCGTCGCCTATAGACATGAGGCAGCAGTACCATGGACATAACAGAGTATACTGTTTCGCCCATGATACCCCCCATGCGTTGCCATTCCTAAGGACTCAGGTGTTATTCCTCTGTACCCAGTAAATTCACGCCATCGCAGTGTATTCTGTGACTTCTATGATACTATGTAGGCAGCCGAACAATGATGCTTGCAGAGATGTAGGGTGATATAAGGCAGTGGAATTACTGGGTGTATTCTGACTCTCAAGATTTTCACGCCATAATAGTCCAGGGGTAGGACATTTCTAGTGTTGCAGATATTCGTAGGTTGTAATGTCCGCTTACCATCAAACAGGTCGTAGGGTTTCCACCTCCACCATCACAGGAAGATTCTGTAGAAAAGTCGTCTGCATGAGAACTTCTATCCCATTAGTGTTTGCCACAAACTGTGTTTGCAAGGCTATGTTTCGATTTAAAGAGAAGGATATGGCAGTAAAATTACAGGGTACAGAGAAATAACATCATAGTTCTAAATAATGACAGTGCAAGAGGAGAATTATAGGAGTGATTCTGTGATATTCATGGTGTTGGTCACGTCTATGGGCGATGGTTATCATTTTCCATCAGGTGGTCCTTCAATTGGTTTGCCACATTATTAATCTTGTCTATCCTTTTTTTTTTATACAACTTAGAATGGCAAACAAGCTGATGGTCCCCCTGATGTAAAGTGGTAACCATCGCCTATAGACATGAGCAGTACCATGGACATAACAGAGTATACCGTTTCACCCATGATACCCCCCATGCGTTGCCATTCCTGAGAACTCAGGTGTTATTCCTCTGTACCCAGTAAATTCACGCCATATCCCACCCTTCAAATATCACAGCCATGCAAACACAACTGCTTCACGGTTGAAACAGGAATGGGACAGAGGTACCCAAGCAATCGACTTTTGTACAAAGTCTCACTCTGGTGCGATATTTATATATTGAGTCCTAACGTAACATTTTCCACTTTATAATCGTATATTAATTCACGCGGGCACAAATCACGGGATATAGCTAGTTTTAAATTTTAAATATCATAAGAAAACTGCCAAAAAAAGGCTTGCATTTTTTCCACACTTTAGACCCCATCTTGCACCATGGATCGACTACTGATCTCCAGGAGTGGGGACCCACAGCTTATAGAAGCCGATTACTACTGTGGACGTGGAACAGTAACAGCTTTATCAACGGGACAAAGGATTAGTGTCGGTATGTTTTATTTTTTTTACGTTATTTATTTCATAAACATGTATGATAGTTCTAAGAATTTTTGAGTTTCCTTTAGTTTTTTTTTTTTTTTTGATGGGTGAAAATGGAATGGCAACTCCGCCTGCGCTAACGGGATACGCTGGCGGAGCACCAGTGAAGGGTGATAGATGAGAATGAAAACAGGCCAGTTAGCCCATCATGATGAATTCATCAGGAATCAACCATGATAGTTTCCAGGAGAACCTGGAGGGGGTCTACCTGGTTGGGTATATTGCTAGTAATGGGATTCTCAGTCTCCATTACTAACAATCACTTCTCACCTGCAAGAGAGTATTAGAACATACATGTTTCAATACCTGTAGTTTTAATTTTTTTTTGTTGTTCTAGGTTTAATATCATCGTACACGAGTCCCGGCGGGAGGTTTATGTGCGAACTGACCGCTCAACCAGGGTCACCGCCTGATCAATGCAGCTGTGGTTATAAAAAACAGGTTATTTATTTAGGGCAAACAAATAGATTTAGATTTTTTTTTTAAATTGATTTAGCATGATAACTTAAGGAAATTAAATAATTTAAGATTTTGTTCCACAGAAGAAACAGTAATGAAAATCAGTTGTTTTGATTTTGAAACTAAACTAGTAAAGAGATTGATAAAATTACTATAGGAACAATCTGAAAGAATAAAATACCGTTACAGATAAAAAAAAAAATTCCAATCTGGTTGGTTTTACGAATTGCGAATCTTCTCGTCTTTTGTAGTCGGTTGAAAATTAAGAATAACGGTATTCAACAAAGTTTGTTCACATAAATTTAATAGTAATTAAATAAATACACAAAGAGAATAAATAATCTTCAGCAAACGCAACAATATTTGCAAATAATAGCAAAGATATAAAACAAGTTCCGAACTTTTTGACTATTGAAGTACAACTGACAAGATTAGGTGTGCAATTAAATAAGTTTATAATAACAAAAAAAAAAAACAATTTCTGACGATATTATATTACGTACGTGATACTAGTAACTAAATAATTTCTTATTTAAAATAAAAAATAATTAAGAACCTCCTTGATTTTGAAGTAGGTTAATTATAATCATTGGTCAAAGATGCCGTACAACATAAAATTAATTATTGAATCGAACGACAACCTCCTTTTTGAAGTCGAGCAAATGTTATAATTGTAAACCGTTACTTTTGTGTACGAACCCTGTTAATTTTTTTTTTAATTACTATGTGACTGTTTTACTTTTGTACTTACGTAGGTATTACAAGTCCTGCTTAGTTTGAGTTCAGAAGGCGCTTTGTAGTCTGTTAATTTAAACAAAAAGTAATAATTCTCCAGATGAGGATAGTCGGCGGAGTGGAGACAGATGTCAATGAATTCCCAATGATGGTGGGCCTGGTAGACAGAAACGTTGGGCAGATCCACTGTGGTGCCGTAATCATCGACAAGCGATACGTGTTGACCGCAGCACACTGCATCGAGAACCAGAACGTAGCAGATCTAGCTGTCGTGGTTGGATTACACGATGTTGACAGTAGTAAGTTATTGTTAATACTATTATGATAATTAAAAGGGAAAAAATGTTAGGAAACTAGATACGATACGACGAACTTATAAACATTATAGTAGAAAGTAAGACCAAGAAGTATAGGAGACCAAGGCATAGTTACACCAGGCAGATCAAGAAAAAGGTTGGTGTCGTGTCGTATCAAGAGGTAGAATCGCAGAAAATCGTAGTGAGTAGCAAGAGGTCCACCGTCAAGAGCGCCCCTTTTAATAGGATGGATGGATGGATTATGGTGGTAAACAAGTATACGGCCTGTCTGATGGTAAACGGGGTTAACGTAGCATATAGACGTCTGTAACTCCAGGGATGTCACGTACACGTTACCTGATCTTGTTACGCCCTCTTTGATAAATCCCTGTAGTCTGTAGAGAAGTACAAGATTTTCGTTTCTTTTTTGGCCATTTCCCTCATATTCTTAGTAACATCACAATGCTCGCCAGCGACAGGGAGTTCATCCTCCTATGTTGTCCTACAGCCTAAATGGTCACGTATAGCGTGGTTTCGAAGATGTTTTCTCCCACGAACACTCAGGTTATGGAATGAGCTCCCTGCCGAGGTTTTCCCAAGAGTTACACTACTACTACAGCATGGGGTTCTTCTAAAGGGAGGTAAAGAGGTTTTTTCAGGGTCGGCAACGCACGCGTAATATCTCTGGTATTGCAGGTGTTCATAGGCTATGGTAACCACTTACAATCAGATGGGTCATATGCTTTGCCACCTCAGTGGTATAAAAAAAATTCTTATTTGGTATCGATATTATTTTTTTAACTCTTTTTATAATTTATTAAAAATAATTGATTACAATGAAAAATATTTACCTCCCAGTAACTCGAACTGACAAATTTCATACCCGCATCTTTCTGTTATTCGGGTAGAGTGCATTTCTCGTTATTGTTTATGCAATCATTTTTTCAAATATTCTACATAAGTAAGTTAGTAGGTTTTTTTTACAATTTTTTCCTCAATAAACCTTTTCAAAATTATTATGGAATTACGTTACGATTATAAAAAAGGATTATAGCACTGAGGTGGCAAACAAGCATACGGCCCACCTGATGGTAAGCGGTTACCGTAATCTATGAACGCCTGCAATACCAGAGACATTACGCGCGCGTTGCCGACCCTGAAGAAACCTCTTTACCCCCCTTTTGAAGAACCCCATGCTGTAGTCTCTTGGGAAAACCTCGCTAACTAGCCTAACTGATAGGCTCTCCTTTCTGAAGTTGACAAAATTTTCAAATGTATCTACGACAAAATTTTATATTAAAATTTTTATTCTTACTAATAATATAAATGTGAAATGGAGTTTATTTGTAAGTTACCTCCAATAGCTCCTTAACGGCTTAACCAATCACTATGAAATTATGTATACACGTACTATATGGAATGGAGAAAGACATAAGCTACTTTTTACCCCCGATAACGAGGATGAAGTCGATAGAGATGGCTAATTTTTATTTTATACAACTTAGAATGGCAAATAAGCTGACGGCCCACCTGATGGAAAGTGGTAACCGTCGCCTATAGACATGAACAGTACCATGGACATAACAAAGTATACTGTTCCGCCCACGATACCCCGCATGCGTTGCCATTCCTGAGGACTCGGGTGTTATTCCTCTGTACCCTGTAAATTCACGCCATATCCCACTGATCTTCAAACCGAAACACAGCCATGCAAACACAACTGCTTTACGGTTGAAACACGAATGGGACAGAGGTGCCCAAGCAATCGACTATTGTACAAAGTCTCCCTCTGGATGCGATATTTATATATTGAGTTTTGGATATTGATGATCAATCATTGCGATACCACCCATAACAGTCGGATATCTACATATACATATATTCATTAGAAGCGGTTTCTTATTTTCGGTTTTATACTATATTGGATAACCGATATGTAATATATTTGTTACTGGACCAATATATGTATAGATTGTAATTACAATATATAGATAGATATTATTACCCACCTTTACAAAGAAGCAGGTAAAAACTAATATATTCAAGTCTTAGCTATGTCTTGTTTGATTCGTAGACGTGTCTCCTGCCACGAAAGCGTTCAGAGTTACCCGTATCAACATTCACCCTGGTTACAGTTCGTAAGTATATATTTTTTTTTGTTGTCTACTTTATTATCGGCCTATCATTCGTTGCATCTTTATATCGGAACACCGTCATAATACAGCCATATCTGATCGTAGTGGATATAATACTCTTGATAGCAGTTTCTTTATCCACAATATACACGCTGAAATAAAAAAAAATCTATGATAAAACTTCCCGCCAAAACTTAATTTTCTTTTTCGACAATATAAGCTGTCGACTTGTTTAGAGTTAAACGATTTCACATTTTTTGCAATGGTGTTATTGTAGTTTAATCCAGTAATTGCCTCTTCATGCTCTCCTAATACCACAACAATACTCGTCTATTTTTTTTTTAATTGGATGATAATGGAATGGTAACCCCACCCGCGCTATCGGTATACACCGGCGGGGCACCAGTGAAGAATGATAGGTGAGGATGAAGTAGGTCAGTTAGCCATCGTAACGAATTCAATAAGAATTGTTCACGATGGTTTCCAGGGGGAACCACGTGGAGGTCAACCTAATAAGGTATATTGCTAGCAATGGGGCTGCCAAACTCCATTGCTAACAATCCTTTTCCCCCCAATACTCGTCTATTATCGCAGGCATCCAAGTGCGTGCTCCTATTTTATCTGTATCTAACATCAAAGTTGGGGTGTCTCACTAGCAGTGTACAGGATCACAAGTATCCCTCTTCTTATTGTCGTCTTTTATGATATCCTGGTAGTAAAATCTAATGATCACCTTAGTATAGTGAGTCTAACTTCATTGTAATTTCAACCGTCAACTATACACTGTTGAACGTAGGCCTCCCCCATAAGTGGGGTTTTACCAGTAATTGCCACACTTAACAAGCGGGTTGGCTACAGCAATTTGACTTCTGGTGATGTTTTAAGAGGGACGCTGCTGTCCATCCCTCCATCATAACCTCTCTTAGTCGCCTCTTACGACACCCATGGGAAAGGAAGGGTAGCCCATTATAAGTCGGGACAATACATACCATACATATATGTACCTAACTAAATAGATAAAAATAGAGTTTGTTTGTTCCAACTTAGTAGGTATAGTTTTTAGTACGATAACAAAACATAAATCCTGCATCACCTATGATAGAGAATATATGCTTATTATAAAATCGGTGATACCTATTCCAGGGCTAGATACAGCAACGACATTGCGATCCTGACCACGCAGGAGGACATCCAGTTCGGGCCGCTGGTCGGACCTGCATGCTTGCCGTTTAAATTCGTCAGTACCGACATGACCGGAACTAGGCTCACTGTTCTAGGTATCTATAACAAAATTTCACACACTAATTCCTTATATTGAGTAACAACTGTATATTATGCACGTACACATAGATGAAGACGCTGACCTGTTTTTGACGAAACATTTGTATGAAGACTAATATAATATCTAATATAATTTAAGACTACAAACACTGCAAAGTTAAATGCTCTTAATTTGTGGCTGTTGACCACTCATACATAACCGATATATCTTTTTTTGAAAATTCACTATATATTCTTATAAAAAAACATCGTTACAAAAAACATCTTAAAATTCCTATCATTAGAAGGAATTAGTAGCGAATTTAAAAAAAGGGCGAACACAAAAGATCATGGAAAGGTCGAAGTGTCACAGGGTTTTCTGTTTAAAAAAAATCATCTCTCAATAATATTAATAATCTAAGACTTCTTAGTATGTACTTATTGCTATTATAAAATGACAAGCAGTACATACTAAGTCACAGATTATAAAGAAATCAAACCGTTATTTTATATATAATAACTACCGGTTTAACTTACGTGCAATTTGGTCGAGAAAGCTCGACCAGTTTCGTGATCATTTAGGATACTTGGTCTTGAGTTTAATTGTTTTCTTTAGTTATGTTTTAGATTATGAAAATTTACCTTTTATTTGCACTATAGCACCTTAAATTATGGATGTTAAAAGATCATTAAATATTGTTTATGGTACTCAATATTTGGGCTTCTTTACGGGACAAAAGCTCTTTCAAATTTCTTACCTTATAAAATCAATAAAAATGTGGACATAGTTTTGTTTTTAATTATTAAAAATTAAATAGTAATTCTTCCTACGCCTTCAGTATACGCTGGCAGGATACAAGTGAGTGCGAATAGGTGCGGATTAAAGCAGATCAGTTAGCTCATCGTAACGAATTCCAAAAGAATGAACCACGATGGCTTCCAGTAGGAATCACGTGAAGATCGACCTAATAGGGTATATTGCTAGCAATGGGACTGTTCCACTTTATTACTAACAATCCCTTCCTTCTCCTCACGGGTGTAGTGGGTAATAATAATTATTCATGTTTCCAGGTTGGGGAACTCTTTTCCCCGGTGGTCCAGTATCTAATGTCCTACGGAAAGTGGACTTAGATGTAATGAGTCAAAATCAATGCCAGGCTAAAGTACCATTGCTTACTCCACAACAGATTTGCACTTACACGCCAGGGAAAGACGCGTGTCAGGTATTAATTTTCTTTAACTGAGTTTAATGTACTGTCATATATTTAACTTAATAACCCATAATATATATTATTGCTGGGACATCTTGTGCTTGTTACCTCTCCTTTATATCTTCAGGTTGTAGTGAATCAAAACGTAATCAAAGAACGATGCAGAACAAAGTAGGCTAATTTTTCTTCTATGAGAAGTACAGCAGAGTTTTGCTTCAAAAATGTCTTGCATTGATATACTCGTATTGTAGTGTGATGCAATGTTCACCTGTTATGGTATTCTGAATATTAAATGGAGTGTTAACGTCTTCACGAATTATTAAGATATGTTTCGCTACTATTACTATATAAGTAATATATCTACTAGATCCCAGATTTTGGATTTTCTTTTTAAAGGAAACTTAAGTTCCTTTAACTTGGAGCCTTATGTGCATTGCTTACGGGATACATCGCAGATTTTGGGGTTAAGAAGAGATATCTTCTACGTTATTAGTTTTACAGTTTACCAGAAAGAGACTTGTACAAAGTTGTCTGCATTAGCATTTGCCTTCAAGTAGTTTGCTTGCAAGCGGTGTTCCGATTTGAAAACTTGAGATGGGTAGAGAAATTATTGGGTGGATGCTTACCCCTCAAAATTTTTGCAAAAGTCGATAGCACAATTTTATGATTGCGCGAGTATTATTTCATCATCTTGCATCAAGGCAAGTGTTCAAAAACTGAGATGGCTTCTTATCAAAAGAATCATATGCTTAATTTTTATCCTCATTGTCTATGTAAGTTTATTGATCGAAGTTTATTGGACGTGGATTTAACTAGCATGTAACAATTACAGGATGATTCCGGAGGACCTCTTCTGTACACAGACCCGGCGACAGGACTTCTTTTCAACATTGGTATAGTCAGTTATGGTCGGTTCTGTGCGTCTCAAGGAGAACCCGGTATAAACACTCGGGTATCGGCGTATTTAACTTGGATATTGAATAATACACCAGGAGCTAATTATTGTAGAAAATAAATGAATAAATAATCAGTGATTTTTATTTTGCATTACGATACGTTGTAAGCAGATTATATCTTTGTGATCAATAGATATACTTTTAAATAATATAAGTTGACTATCAAATTACTAACAAATAACAAACAAACAGTCTGAAACCTAAACTGGATCATATATACAAATAATCATAATTATAAACACAGCTAAGTATAGATATGAACACACCATGGACTTCATATAAGAATATTCCACTATCCAAGGCACCTCTTATATCCACTTCTGTCGAATGCTTAATTGATAGATCTCCTACCTCTCGGTTATTGTCTCTTCTGAGTAGATTTTTTTTATTCGACTTAGAATGACAAACAAGCTGACGGCCCACCCGATGGAAAGTGGTAATCATCAGATCAGAGAGGAGAGGAATTCCAATATTACGTAGACATACATCTTAAATTATTTTGTTTATGTATGCACACATACATGAAGTGTGTCACTCACAAGTGAGAAACAGAATTCATCAGTAAATAAAGAAAGTAAATTCGAAATGGGACCATTTAATTATTTACTTGGTAACAGTAGACTAATCCTCTTTTGACAAGAAAGGGAGTAATGAGTGTTATGTAACGGAGAGTAATAGCAATGTATATATATATTGAAGTTACAATATGTATACATATATTACCCGAATAACAGAAATGCAAACGCATGTTAATGTGCGTTGCCGACCCTAAAGAAACCTCTTTACCTCCCTATTGAAGAACCTCATGCCGTAGTCTCTTGGGAAAAACTCGGTAGAGAGCTCATTCCATAACCTGAGTGTTCGTGAGAGAAAACATCTCTGAAACCCCGTTGTACGCGACCATCTAGGCTGTAGGGTATGAGGGTGAACTTCCTGTCGATGACGAGCCGTACCATGGTAATGGGGGGGGGGGGGAAAGGATTGTTAGTAATGGAGACTGAGAATTTTTATTTTTCAGTTTAACCTTATAAATTTCTTACACATATTCAACATTAACTAATTTACGCACACAATGATAAAAAAGTATACTAGTTTTTGGCGAAACATTTGTATGGGTACACTCCATCTAAATCATTTAAGAGTAAAAAATTGAAATATAAATTACGGAAAACAACAATGACAGCAATATATGTGGTTACAGATATTCGCATAACTCGCCAAAATTGTAACATGTATGCGGGTAGCCAGTTCAAGGTTTATTTATATCATAACGAACCCGCACTTGCTTGATACGAGTATAACTGATGCGAATTTTATTCGAACTAAATCGACCTAAATTAATGTTTTCCTGTTTTTTTTTTTTTTTTGTTTGTATGTTTGTCAAACTTGTACGATCATATTTGAGATGAGCAAGAGCAAACATTTAATTTATCCTAGTTATGTGGACGAAATCGCGGGAAAAGACTAGTAGCTTATAGAGATTTTTTGTAGGATATATATATATATATATATATATATATATATATATATATATATATATGTCATAACATACATAAGTTAGAAACTTGCCAACACAGTATGGAACGAAGTATACTGAACATCAAATTAAAAGATAAAGTAAAACTGGACACTATAAGGAAGAAAACTGAATTCACGGATGTTACTTACTGTATCAAGAAACTAAAATGGAGGTGGGCAGGACATATAGTTAGAATAAATAAAGAAAAATGGTCTAAGGATATTACAGAGTTTTTTTTTTTTCCGAGACAATATAAGAGAAAAAAGGGAGACAGCGTCGTAGATGGGAAGACGATATCAAAAAAATAGCGGGACACACCTATGGAAAAGACAAGCGCAGAATCGCATTCAGTGGCGAACTCTAGGGAGATTTATGCTGGACAGCATATATATATATATATATATATATATATATATATATATATATATATATATATATATATATATATTATTATATATATATATATATATATATATATATATATACCTCCAAAAAATCGGTAATATACCGCCTGGTCAGCGTGATACATAGAGGTTTTTGTATAAAAAAAAACCTTAAATACTTATAAGAAACTTATTCAGAACCACTATATTCTAAGTTTTAAATGTTGCGGAAACCAGAAAAATCATGTATAAATTTTCTTTATTGACTACCAGATAGCGCCACTTTCTATGCGCATGTTATAAAGATGGCCGCGAATTTAGGCGCGAAACTATTGATTTTGTCGGCGACCATTTCCCGCTAACTTCGCCTTATCACAGTTAAATTTTTACATTATTAGAGATCATTTAACCAATAGGGATATTATTTTTTATTCCCCGTTTATTTAAATGCAATGTAGTTACGATATATTTTCGAAAATTATGTCAAAAATATTTTTAATCTTGCGAAGCAGTGAATGGTGGAATTCTGTTATGTTTAGATAAAAATTGATAACAATGGAAGTGAATTTAGAAACGTTGATAAAGAGGTAGTGATGCAATTAGAAAAATGCCAAAACGTATACCATTCCACGTTGTTTACGCAACAAGTAAGTATTAATAACATTAGCATCTAATCTATTTTTAAATTAACACTAGTTTTAACCCGCGGCTTCGTCTGTGTGACCGGTATAAGATATTGCCTATATCCTTCTCCATCATAAGTACTATACGTGTATCAAATTTTATCATGACTGATAGAGCCGTTAAGGCACCACGAGCTAAAAAAAACATATTTTCATATTTAAGTATTTATTTTTTCTAAATATTCAATAAAATAATGCACGTCTAATATATTGAACGAATTATAACTTAAGAAATAACAATTTTATAGTAAATATAGGAGAAACTCCGAACATTAACTAAAAAAACTTCTAAATTGGTTCAACTTAGAATTGATCCCAGGACCATATTACGTAGTCATTACGTGTCAGCTGAGACATTTTTAGGATGTGTGAACCTTGAGAAAGTATAAAAATAAAAAGATGAAAGAAATCTCACGACTCTGTCCGCATAACCGGGTAAATACGTACAATTAAATTAAATATTTTGCAATTATCTGTTAAGTAAGATCTGTGAAGTTCCAGTAGGAAGAAAACATCCACAATTTTTTTATTGGACTTCATAATAATGTAGACCTCGTTTGTCTAACGAACTCTAAAAAAAACATTAATATAATTTTTAACCGATTTAAAAAAAAGAGGTTCTCAATTTGGTTGCATTTTTTTATGTTAGTTTTTTTATGTTTATAACCCCGCCAGATTGTGTCCCATAAAAAAAATCAACATAAATTGTGACGAAATCACGTATATTGTTTTAAAAATATGTCTACTGAATCGCATTTGATAAAATTTCTATAAAAACAATCTGTAAATATATTCGTTCAGATAAAAGAAGAATTTTCCAAAATCGGTTTAAAACTGACGGAGTTATGAGGTAAGAAACATAAAAAAATACAATCGAATTGAAAACCTGCTACTTAGTGGTGACAAAATTTTGAAATTATCATGGTAACACTTCTATAAATGACTTCAGTAACAAATTGAAACATTTAATCAATTACTCACAGTTTTTTTTTAATATATGAAAATGGAATGGTAACCCCGCCAGCGCTATCAGTATACTCTGGTGGGATACCGGTAAGAGACGATAGGTGAGGACAAAAACAGATCAATTAGCCTTTCGTGATGAATTCTATAAGAAATAACTACGACGATTTCGAGATGGAACCGCGTGGAGGTCGACCTGATGGGGGTATATTGCTAGCAATGGGGCTGTTAGACCTCTTGCTTACAAACGTTAGTAGATATGGGACTTTTAAAAATATTTCTCGTTTATCGTTTTTTGTTTCTTTAATGAAAATGTTCACTGTCTCAGCAAAATACGAGACTCCGAAGTGTCTCCGAAAAAATGAAGTTTGTTGGAGCTCCTTCCCTCCTTATCTTTTTATCTCTCTTATTTTAGTTCAGTAATGAAAAGGAGGTGATTTCTAATTTTAAATATTAATAACGGTTATTTTTTTTAAATGGATGATAATGGAATGGTGATCCTGCTTACGTTTTCGGTATACTTTGGTAGGGCACTAATACTAATAATCCCTTCTCCCGAGTTATTTAACTGTATTGTTAAAATACCAAAGGTTTCGTCCGCAGTGCGGATGTTGTTTACATAACAAAGTATAAATTGTATCTTCTACTTTGACGAGATCAATAATATCTGTTTTGATAGGATTTAATGAAAATATATACCAAAATATATAGATAGATAGACCTGATTCGTCCTCATCTATCATCTCTCACTGGTACACCGTCAACTTATCCTGACAGCACAGGCGGGGTTACCATTCCATTATCACCTATTAAAAAATCTACTAACACTGCGTGTTCAGTTGTTAAGTATGAGTCCATTTAAGGTCTTTCTCTAACTCTTTTAACACATTCTCCGCCAATAAGTTTTTACATAAAAATTCTTTGTTTTTAAGTTATATTTAATAAATTATGTAGAGATATGGTTATTTAATTTACTTTGTTGCATTTTTGTGGGAAATTATGAGGATTTTTATGTGTCAGCCACATGTGACTGACAAAGCGCCAACGGAAAAAAATTACTAAGTATTCCAGTGTCAGTCACCCGTGACTGACAAGGCGGTCAATGCGTTAAATATATATTTTATTATTCATTAAATAAATCGTTCAATCCTATTTTGAATGATTTTTCTCAATCCATCTGTATTTTTATGATTATGTCACATAGTTATGTCATCAATTTTGAATCTAGTTTGATAATTCATTTCAACCGATTTCAAAAAGAAACAGGTTCTTAGTTCAGTCGTATTTTTCTTTTATGTTTGTTACCTTATAACTCTGACAGTTTCAAACCGATTTGGAGAATTCTTTTTTATTTGAAAATATATACGTACTTACAAATTAGTCCCATAGAAATGTTTTAAAAATCCATTTATTAGATTTACGTTTTCAGATCAAAATAAATGGTTTTGTCACAATTGATATCGTTTTTTTTTTTGTAGTACGCAATTTTTTATTATTTAGGTAAGAAAAATAAAGCCTCTAGGTGACAATAGAGGCAGGGTCAACTAGCAGTATAACAAAAATAACTATAAATATACGTAAAAAGCGTGTCATAATGACTGATAGAACGCCACCCTACTCTATTTGTGTGTAAAAGGCAACAAATTAGTTTCGGCGAGTCGATTCCACGTCGTTTAATATTTACAATACCTTCTTTCGACAGTCCGTATTGATCGGTACCTGAATTATGTATTTTCCAGTCAGGTTATATTAGTAGGGGTATACTCGTGTCGGAGTGTATTGGAATATTCATATATTGAGAGTCGTACAATACCTAGCAACGCTCAAATGAAAATCTGACAGCTGCATATGCTGTGTTGTTCTTTCGTACCTGCTATATTATATATTCTTAGATTATATAGATAGAGCCAAAAACGGGGGAACTTTTTATCAGTTAATTTTTTTATACAACTTGGAATGGCAAACAAGCTGACGGCCCACCTGATGGAATGTGGTAACCGTCGCCTATAGACATAAGCAGTACCGTGGACATAACAGAATATACTGTTTCGCCCATGATACCCCCCATGCGTTGCCATTCCTGAGGACACAGATATTATTCCTCTGTACCCTGTAAATTCACGCCATATCCCACCCTTCAAACAGAAACACAGCCATGCAAACACAACTGCTTCACGGTAGAAACACGAATGGGAGAGAGGTATCCACGCAATCGACTTTTGTACAAAATCTTCCTGTGTCAAATTAGCTGACTCGTTTTTTTGTTAGTTTTCTATATACTTACGTACATAATGTATCTTGACATATCTATATTTAATTATTTAATAAATAAAAGGAGTTTTTACGAGAGTTAAATGTGCAGAATTTATAAGACAGAATAAATATAGAAATTATAAAGGAAACACTCATAACTGTTATATTTATCACGCTAAATTGTATGAAAAAGTTTACTTACTTTTCTTGAAGAATTTGTATGGAGACACTATCTATACAACCTAATATCATACCAATTAGCTGTTTAGTGTTCACTGCTGAATATAGGTCTCCCCCTTTTGTAGGATTTTATGAGTACTTACCACGTTTGGCAAGTTGGCGATCACAGTCAGGCCTTGGTGATGTTTTAAGAGGAACGCTGCTGCCAATCTCTTGACCACTAAGTTCCCCTAGTAGGCACTTACGACAGTCATGGGAAAGGAAGGAGTGACCCATTATGTGCCGTGTCCAAAAGTCAAAATCACACAATATCTAGCAAAACTCAAAAAGAAATGAGACAGCAACATATGCTATACTGTTTCATACCGTGCGGTAACGAAAATGTATCTACTGGTTCGTTCGTCACTTGTCTAAAAGTACAAAATACAAAGCTAATAATGTAACAATGTGGGAAAATATTTTTTAGTAATAGAGTCTAACAACCCAATTGCTAGCAATATACCTTATTAGAACGACCTCCACACGGTTCCCCCTGGAAACAATCGTAGTTAATTCTTGTGGAATTAGCCACTATAGGCTAACTTTAACCTGCTTTTATTATCATATATCGTCCCTCATTGGTGCCCTCCAGCGTATATTGATAGAACAGGCGTGGTTACCATTTCATTTACATCCATAAAAAAATATGTGCAACAGTAAGCTAATATCCTCTGTCAGAGTGAAAGGGATTGTTAATAATAGGGTCTAGCAGGTCCATTGCTAAAAATAGATCCTATCAGGTCGACCTCCATGCGGTTCCCCCCTGAAACCGTCGTAGTTTATTCTTGTGGAATTAGCCACTATGGGCTAACTGACCTGCTTTTATTCTCGTCTATTATCCCTCACTGATGCCCTGCAAGTGTATACTGATAGCGCAGGCGGGTTACCATTCCATTATCATCCATTAAAAGAATACCTTTTGATATAGGGAAAACGTGCTCAGAATTTTTTTTTTATCAGATAGATTAGATAAGAATATTTTTTTTTAAATGAACGTATTTAAATAAGAGATATTTGTAAATTGTTTCATTGTTCTAGAGCAAGGGTCGATGACTCTTAGATAAGGATTATAAATCTAATATTTGTTTACGAAATACTTTTTATTTATATAGATAGATCACATTTTAATTCCACTGCGAACCAGTAGTATTATTCTGTACTAAAAAGAACATGCAACAATCTCGAACTACTCTTATTACATACCGCTTAACAAAGCAGTTAAGAAATTTGTTTGGAATTTAGTATGGCATATATATCGTTTGGAGTATAGTGTAGCATAAAGTTACAGTTTTATTGTAACTGTGGCCTATAGAAAAAATCATCCCTTACTGGCACTCCGCCAGTGTGTATCGATAGCGCAAACGGGGTAACCATTCCATTGTCATCCATTTAAAAAAAAGCAAGCAAAGATATATCCAGTATAATGTTTTGACTATCATTATGATGGTACCAGGTGAGGACAGCTCGTACCCAGCATGCGAGCTGAACGCCCAGGGTCCGGCTGCCCGCGGCTGGCGCAGCTCTGGCAGTCCACCGCACGAGCTGCTCCTCCGGCTCACCTGCGTCACCAGTGTCCACAAACTGCAGCTATTAGCACACCATCAGCTTATACGTGAGTTAACTAGAATCACATTTCAACAGTAACCATCAACAGTACCACCCTTTCAACATAGAAAGGTAGGTAAGTTATTACCTACCTTTCTATGTTGTATAGGTAAATATTTTTTACATCATTGTATTGTGAATTAATTACTAATATTTTAATGTAATAACTACTTGTTAAACTTACTTGTAATTTGGTCGACAAAGCTCGATTAATTGCGGAACCATCCGGGATTCCTAATCTATGTATCTTCCATCAATCTAATGCGAACGCTCAGGTCACAGCTCCTTAAAATTAAGTATTTATTACATTAAAATAATGTATACTTATGAAAGTTTTAATAATAAATTATTTATAATAAATTTACTTATTCGATCTTACCGAATCGTATTTGGAGTGATTTTATAATTAGGATCTTTTTTTCAACACCTGTAAATTTTTTTCCGTGATAGTTAGGTGTTATTCGTCATTAATCGGTGATATATATTCGAATGAAAATTAATTGATTTATTTCATGAAATTTTTCATTTGCCTTTTTTTCGTATACTTTACTAGATGTCTTCACCAATTCTGAAAAGATTAAATTACTTATTTAATTAGATTTAGGCGATTGATTTTATGCTGAGTGCGATTGCGCTAAAGAAATATAAACAGATTACAAATTACTTCTTTCAAACCTCAAATGTATTAAGTCAGAGCCTTAAAAAAGAATTGATTTTTTAAAATACCCCAAGAACAGGAAATATTGAGTACTCCATGAATGAATTTACAGTTTACATAACATAAACATGATATATATATCTAACTAATTACAATTTGAGCTAGTTAACCTGACAACAGCCATCTTAAGTACATTCCAGGTAATTTAACGTTACTAGACCTAAAGAGACTCGCTGAAAATCGTAGTAAGTAGCAAGTGCTCCACCGACAAGAGCGTAGCTCTTAAATAGGATAGATAGATAGACCTAATTACCTGGCTATGATATTATTTTACATAAAATTATTCTCTATATAAGAATGATTGATTGTATGTAATGGATTAACTCAAACATTACTCAACCAATTCTAAAAATTTTCTCACGTTTAGAAAACTGCATTATCAGCCATATGGTCCCGGCATATAATATATCCCCAAATCCTAACTTTGGTTGCCAAACCGCCTGCCAAGCGTGGTAACTACTGACAAATCTCCCTTATGGGGGAGGTCTATGGTCAGCAGTGGACAGTTAATGGCTGATAAGATGATGATGATGATAATTATGATTATACAGGCTATAATTGATTTCGAAAATACTATCTGCCCGTACGTAGTCGGGCCGAAAAATAATTTTGAATACTCCACTGGCTAGCTCCGATTTGTTATCAAAAACTTACAGTTTACAATTGTATGAATATCTTACAGCGGCATGCGTGGAGGTACTAGTATCGGGTGGGCTGGTGTCTGAGGGTGCGGCGACGCCATGTGGCGCCACATACACCAGCGTGGGCAGAGTCACCCTCGCAAAACCAGCTCCTCAAGCCAGGACCAGGGAACTCAGGTTTGACGATGCTGCGTGCTATTATATTGCACGATTTATATACTTTTTAAAATATTATTATTTCCACAGTCAAAAATAGCAGGTATGACTACCAGCTATTTCCCAATGCTTTGTCTATGTAATAGTATATAAAGTGTCCTATTTATTTATTTATTTAAACTTAAATGCACAAGGTTAAAATATGTATATTTGGCGGATTTAACACTAGATGGTGATCTCTACCAGTCAACCATTGGGCAAATAGAGAAACAGGTAGGTGGTGCATTATAGAATTAAGAGTCTTATGTGTTAAGTTAGAATATAACTTACCTACCCGTGTACTAAATTTCATTAAAACCTGTTCAATTAAGCGTGGATACGAATGAACGAACATACACATCCACTCTTTTCTCCCCCTAAATATATTTATGTTATCAACACGTAATCTATGGACATTATTACCAGCCAAACTATATGTAAAAAAAATTATTCTTCAATGTTTTTATTCTTATTTACTCTTTTTACAGATCAGCTGCCCTTCCAGAACCAACAATAGCTCGGTTTGTTAAGTTGAAACTGTCCGGACCACATTCACCGGCTAACGAAGATGATCAGGTAATTTTACTGAACTAGGTGTTATCTTGCGGAAGTCGATATCACTGGTTATTTGAATAGAATTATTTTGTTTAATTCCGCCAGCATTAGTATGTGTTTTTTTTAATATTTTAAGGGCTTTTACCTTCTTCAGAATCAGATTGACTACCAAAACAAAACTTATTACCTGACCAAAGAGAGTTCCACAGAGATTTCAAAAATTTCTGATATCACTGGTTATTTGAATAGAATCATTTTGTTTAATTCGACCATTAGTATGTGTGTGACTACTGTTACTGTGTACTTTTCGTATTGGTCATCAATCTTCGACTACCATTTTGTTCATTCACGTTTTGCGACCCGTGTTTCACCTCTAAATTTTCAGGCACATTATATAGATCGCTGTCCGGGGCCTAGTGTTAACCGTTCGTATAAAGAAGGTGATAGGTTTTCCTCTCTTATTTCGAAGTTAGTGCTTAATATTGCTTAATACATTGTATTTGGAAAGTTTAAGCCCTTTTATATTATACTCATTTCTTAATCTAGGTTGCATTAATGGCCGTAAACGTCCTTGGCGAAGAAGTGGAAGACCCTGAGAAATCAACACCAGTCTCCAAAACTGAGGCATTTTATTCACCTTACGATGACTTGGCATTTGTTATGTATGTGGACAACGAGATAGCTGACTTGGTTAGGAGTTTGGATGAGAAAAAGAAGACTGCTGTTGCTGGTGAGTGGGATCTCATTTTTACTATTTGAAATATTCTACTATCTTCCAGTTCACTAGGTTCCATTCTCTGGCTCCGTATCCCAGGATCTTAGGAATAATTTTTCTTCACTAACTTCCACTCTATCTGCAGTATAATATCCATATAACGACCCTAGGGACAATTTTTCTCTTCTTTAATTACAATTATGATTAATTCAAAACCCTAGCATTTTCTATGTCACTTCCCTTCACACCAAAAATTATACCATTAGCATAACATTAAAATAGATATAAACATTGATATGATCAGAACACTCCAAACCGACCTAAAGTTAATTTCCTTAATTGATATAACCTACCATTCAATTGGTTAGGTGTAATGCCATTGTCAAGATTTCTTGTCTGTATCCCTATAATATATTGTTTTCTCCAATTCATCTTTTTTTATAGTCTCTCAAATATTCACTTCTTTCTAGCGAAATTCTTTTTCACCCAGTATCTCCATATCTATTTATCTTATTTTTAGGTCTGTTTTTAACCTTATAATGACAGAAATCCATACTTTTTATTTTTATAAATTATAATTGCCACCCTTGTTCATCTCATGTTCATGCCAAGTCAAACGATTACTTCTTCTTTCTCACTTGTACGTCTTTCAAACTTCCAAAAAATATTTTTTCTTTATAAATTTGAATTTTACAGAGGAACGATTTGAATACGCCCGCCGTTTAAAATCCGCGGGATCCGCACTTGCAGCCGCCGGCATCCGAATTGGCCGTTGGAGACTCCGCAAACGGACTGCGGCCGCGAGGGATGACTTCGAACTCGCCCGACGGATGCGGGACAGGATAGCGGATGCGCTGATGGGTGTGAAGGAAGATCCACAGTTATGTCGACTGTTTGAAGAGGATGGAGTGAGTATGCAAGCCTTTAGGTGTGCCCTGTAGGCTTTACTAATATCCGAATTTCGATATGACGATAGCCGATTTACTGTTGATTTAATAATTTTCTGCTTTGAAAAAGATTAAATATAAATCTTTACATATATTTACGAGTAACAATGTAGATTTACTAATTTCTTTACAAAGAGAAATATTTTTAAATTGAAAGCACCCTAAAATTTCAGTAACATCCTTCGATGCTCGATTTCTGATAGCAGATCCTGATGATTTGATCATTTCACTACTGTTTTTACCATCAAGCATGCGTGCTTGCATGGCTGTATTTCGGTTTGAATAGTTATGGCAACGAAATTACTTGATACAGAAGCCCGTCTCTTCAGGAACTGCAACGAGTATAAGGCACTGCGCTTTACAATAGCATCCGAAACTGCTACCCATGTTTATTAGTGATTTTGGCCACTTTTCAAAAAGTAGATTGGCAACTATTTTGCTTTTTCGAAGTGCTTAAAAAATCTATGTACAATCAGTATTATTCCATGAATTTTTAGCCGGATTCTCGTAACGACTCTTCAATGCATCAAGAGTACGACTTCTCGCACCACCTATCTCCGTCGGTAGCAGCCGGCTCCCTCAGCATCGACATGCCCAGTCCAGTGCCACCAATGGACCATGTCGACCACGAACCAGTACAGCAAGAAGCGGAGTATGTGAATGGAGGAGATGAAGAAGAGGCTAACAATATATCAACTGTGAGTTAATCGTTTTGTATTCGACTACTGAAAGAGAAAAATGGTTCTTTGTTGCGAAAATATTAATATTGAATAGATTTCAGTTTGCTGCTGCCCACTCACCACTTCTTATGTCACTGCGCTAGGTTGACTGGAAGAGATCTCTTTTAGAGATAAGTTTACTTTTGCTTACATTGTTTCTAAATGTCTAAACAGTAAATAGATTTTTATGGATTAAATGGGAATGGTAACCTAGTCTGCGCTATTGATTAACATTGGTAAAGTAGATAAACAAACTGGTGGAATTTAACCACGATGATTTTTAATTAGTTATTTACGAAAGCTCTTTTCAAAAATTCTTAACCATCTTCTTTATATGTCAAAGCTTCTAGATTGAATTCTTGCACTTTGAGTTTCATTTTTATAGTATTATTATTGTCATTATTTCAGCCATTAATTATCCACTGCTGGACATAAGCCTTCCCCATAAGAGGAGTGTTGCCAGTAGTTGCCATGCTTGGCAGGCGGGTTTGCAACCGCAGTTAGGCTTTTGGAGATGTTTTAAAGAGGAACGCTGCTGTTCATTTCTTGCCTTGCTTTGGTCGCCTCTTACGACACATTTCATAGTATATAACGATATTATTATTATAATGATATTTTTTTATATTTTTTTACGATTCTAGTCACCAATCCAAACAATACAAGAAGATATCCGACCAATGCCCAGCGAACCAACTTCTCTGCCAGTCCAAGAAGATAAAATAGAAGCTCAAAAGAAATTGGAAGAAGAGGAATTGAGGAAGGAGATCGATAGTCCACGTAGAAGCATCACACCTAACGCTGCTAATGGTGAGTTACTAATACTCACAATTTTAATGATATTGCACCCGATAGAAAGTGTTATCCGCCTCCTATAGAAATAAACAGCATTATGAATACCATAAAATATATTGTGATAACGAGAAATTTGCATTTTTAATAATTGAGTATTAAGTTCCTTAATTATTTAGCTGATTCGATTTGGAAATTTTTGTTTTCAGGTACATTAGTAAGACGTAGGAACAAGAGCGCAGGTCCAAGGTCCACCTTCGAAGCCTACGAGGAGCGATTGCTACCAGCTTTAAGGCAGTGAGTAGTATTAAATATATTCCAACTTTTGCTACTGGATAGTCCTTTCATGCCCCCCACTTGAACAAGTAAGTCGATATTAAAACTTCTAGAACCTATTTTAGTAACTGCACACTGCTGAACATAGGCTTTCCATATAATGAGAATTTTGCCAATAGTTGCCACGTTGGCAGGCAGATTGGCAATCGCTGTTGAACTTTGATGATGTTTTAAGAATCCATCCCTCGACCATTCAATTTCCTTAGTCGACTCTTACAACTTCCACGGAAAAGAGAGGGGTGGCTCACTCTATGCCGGGACTACACGGCAGGAAAATGAAAAGATATTTTTTAAATTATTTTTACAAAATAGGTTAAAGTTTTTTTTTTTAAATAAAATACCGCTTAAAAAATACCATACATATATACCATACAGATATGTGTCTATGGACATTACGTTATATATAGTGAAGCCCACGGCACCTTTCAGGCGTTTCCATTCCTAAAGTCTCCCTGTAGTTAAGTAGGTAGCTGTCAGCATAGAGGGTATGTCTGTTAAAGAGGATTCTGAACAAAGCGTTCAATTGCAGCTCGCATACGAACGAGTACCTGCGGGAGGGCCGCGAGGGTCGCGAGGGCCGCGAGGAGGAGTGCAGCGGCGGCAGCGCCTCGCACTGCACGCCGCGCCCGCCGCAGCCGCACAAGCTCAACGAGCGCGAGAGGAAGCAGGCCGCGCTGCCCATACTCATATTTGGATACCCGCTGGTGAGTTCCATCAACAATCATTCACCAGCTTTTACCTGCGATCTCGTCTGCGTAACCGGAATATGTTAATTGTCCGATGAAAACAACCGGGATAAAATATGTCATTCTCTATCTTACATAGTACGTGTATTGGTATACACATATTTCATAGCGATTAGTTAGTCCGTTAAAGCGCTAAGTGGTAACAAACATGCAGGGTCACTTTCATATTTGTAATATTACTACAGCGATCGAACGAAATGTCTAGACGATTTTCATACGAAAGTGGATTTCGTGGTTATTTTTTTGGAGAACTTACCACGATGGACCAATTGACTTAATATATCCTTTATGTAACTGTCACTAGTATTACTATTTTATTTTATTAAAGAATTCCTTAAAAATCTAAGAAAACGTACGTTTACAAGAAATTACGTACATATAAAATATTAAAGACCGAACGTACGACGAGCGCTAGTAACATTCCACGGCGCTGCATCGATGTAATGATTGATCATCGGCGTATTGGTACCCAGAGTAGCAAATTGTATGCGATTTGACGTATCAGCATTCATAAGCGATGATTCACGACCGAAGATCGCCGAGCCGTTAGCCTCAGAAACTTAAAGTGGTTCTGTATGGCCTGTTTATCAGGTGGAGAAGTTCTACTCGAAGAACTACCTGGACAAGGAGGAGGGTCTGGCGCGGCTGCGCGCCGAGCTGTCGGCGCCGGCGGCGCGCGGCCGCACGTCGCCCAACAAGACGGCGCGCGCCGCCGCGCTGCTGCTGCAGCGCGCGCTGCGGGACAAGGTGTTCTCCGTCTACAGCCAGGCCAACGAGGTCGTGCGCGCGCTCTTCCAGGACTTCGTGCCCGACAGGTCGCTACTCACATTACACTTTCACTGCAGTTTCGGTGCATTACACCCGCGCTGCATCGCTGTGTTCAGAGATTCCAAGGTTTTCACACGATATACTAAAAATCTGTTCACCGTGCTTAATCATTTTCCGCTATGTTTGTCCATCGCGTGGAGAGGATTGACGAATGAAGTCTTTGTATATAGTGGTCCAGTACGGGTGATAAGTACCATAGTGTTTTCTAGACTATCTCGATACCGAGATTTCATTAGAGTAATAGGCTAATAGTAAAAATAAAGAGAGTGAAACGACATTTTATGAATTCTGTCAAAAGTTCCGCCTCATGATCAAAATAAACCTTAAATTGTTCAGAGAAAAATATAACTAATGTTGGCTCAATAAATACGTTAAGTAATACTAAATTGGATTAATAATACGTTAATAACCTGTGGCCTGAAGCTCCAGGATACTAGCTTGATCCATTTAACTCCTTTCAAAGTCGAGCTAGGAGAATAGTCAATGATCTCAAGATTACAAGCAGTATCGAACCCTTAAGTCCAAGGCGAGATTTTGCCCCCCTATTGTGCTATTCTACTGCTTGTATAACGGATTGTGTTCGGAGTAATTGTTTGAAATGATCTCCACAGCTACATTTTATCATCGTCACACCTCACCATCATCAGGGAATTCATCTTTACTAGCTTGAACCCAAACATGACCTACAGTGCCGTTTCAAAGGAATTTTCACCCGCGAATGCTTAGGCTGTGGAATAAGTTCCCTGCTGAGCTTTCCCTCTAGGGAAAAAGGATTGAAAAGGGAATATTAGGGTTTCTTCAAAGTCGGCAGTGCACACGTGACTTTTCTAGTGTGACTTTACTGGCGTCCATAAGCTACAGTAACAGTTTACCACTAGTTAGGCTATATGCTTGTTTATCACCTTTGTAGTATAAAACAAATATTTGATTGACAGAGTATGCGCTGCGGAGGTAGGACGGTGCCTGGAGAAACTAGTTCCAGAATTGTTACGGGCCTGCGGGGACCCCGCGCCCCGCGTCCACTCCACGGCCCAGCACACCGTGCTAACCGTCGCAGATTGCCCGATGGTCAGGTGAGATCACTCTTATGAAGGCGAAACAAGTACATTTTACTCTGCAATTAAAAAAAAAACATAACTGCCCCGCCAAAATGAACTATTATATTATAAAAATATTTATAGCCGGTGTCATTCGGGATAATGTAAGGATTAAAGCGATACCACACAACTTTAAATTTGTAAACGCATTAAGAAGCTATGATGGAATAAAGAATCTCAAATAGATACATACCCTGAAAATTGTGTACTATTTTTTGGCCAGTCATATAATAAGAGAAAATTCTTTTTTGTGAATTTCGAAAAACATGCTCCAAAGATAGAGGATCAGTAGAAATAATTGCACAGATATTAATCTATATCTTTAATGCCCTGATTATTGTTAAGATTATGTCCCCAGATGTTCTAGCTAGCTCGAGGATGTAAGCGATTCGTGTTGTTAGTATGGCACTTATTATCATTAGTTTTGGTCTTGATAATCGACAAATAATGTTATTTAACTAGATAAATTCTTTAGAATGAAGAACATAATGAAAAAAAAAATCAGCTGCAAAATCAGTTTACAAATTATTACACGTTTCCAGGAGTCTCCACATAATTCCACAACAACTGGTCCGACCTGTTGCCGCATCGATGCACCCGCGGCTCGCTCTCTCGCGGCTGCAGATGCTTGAGCAGCTCATACTCAGCCACGGAATATCTACTGATAAGAACAGGTGAGAACCATAAGTGCTTAAAGTAAGGTATTAGGAAGTAAAAAATATACCAAAGTTATGTTTGAAGAGAATATTCCAGGAACGTTTTTATAAAATATTGGCATGTTCGACTCTCGTATACTGGGATGAAAGGCATCTTACTAATATTCAACCATCATCACATGAATTAGCATGGAATATGAGATCGAAATAAAAACTCGCGGGATTTTCTCTAGTTCTTTTTTACTGAACGGTAAATTGGAAAATGAGAGTAAAGCAATAAAAATATTGCGAGGTTTCCTTGTAGTCCTTTACGGTTGAGTGGCAAATAACCTGACAGTAGGATGGAAAGTAGGAACTGTGATTTTCAGGAATTATAAACATGGAGTCTACATCTTTTGTCAGATATACAGTGGATATCTTAATCTTAAGACCAAAAAAATAAAACTTCGTGTAACTTTACGGCAAATGTAATAGCTGAAAATGAAATGCTTACCTTTTTATTTTAGAATAGCTACGAATTACTAAGACAACAAATTGAAATATTCTCCTCGTTTGCAAGTTTCTCAATCTAAAAATCGTGAGCCTAACCTAAAATGCAAAAAAGTAGGATCGGATATTAGGGGACACCCGGATTTGAACCGGGGACCTATCGATCTGCAGTCGATTGCTCTGCCGCTGAGCTATATCCCCGTCGGGAAGGAAGTTGAATATTATAGAGGGTTTCTTTTAAAACTAAACTCATTTGTTTCGGATTTGGAATAAATAACATAAATAAAAAATATACATAAACCCAAAAAGTTTTCAATCTATACATTTTGCGCCTTACATTCTTAACTCCATATATATATATATATATAATATGAACCCGCATGTATGTATGGATGAAAGTGGAATGGTATACCCACCTGTGTGGTCGGTATATGCTGATGGGTATAGTACCTACCCACCAGCGTTATTCAGTAGTGTAAGGTGATAAATGAGGATTAAATCAGGTGAATGATATCAATGACGCATTCATCAGACAATAACTGGTTTTTAGAGGAAACCGATCTGCCAGGGTATGTTGCTAGCAAAGTGGACTCTAGTTTTCATTGTTAACAAACCCTTTTCACAATGAAAGATTTTGCAAAAAATTTGCTATATCTGGCCTGATGCCTGGCTAACGTGATGGAAAATAGTTACCATTTTTATTACCCTTAGTTGAAATGAACTACCATTAGGAGTCAATCTTTATTAAAGATAGATAATGCCTTCTAAATTCTATAGTGGACTGACGGTCCGTCGCCTGGCGGAGTGCGGTGCAGCCGGGGCGCAGCATGCGGCAGGGTCGGTTCGAGCTGCTGCTGAGCGGATCCTACTAGCTGCGTACGCTCGTTCGCCCAGGGTCGTCAGAGCGCAGTTACCACCTGATGATGCTGTTACTAGAAGGAACTTAATATACCGGCATCTGTTCCAGCAGTTTGATAGGATTGATATGCAGGTTGGATATCTGTTTTGTTTCATTTTTTTCATTCATCCTCAATATTTTATCAGCCGTTAACTTTCCACTGCTGATCATAGGCCCTATACTTACCCTATTTTGCTAGTAGTTGGCAGATAGACTGGCTACCACGGTTAGGCTTTGTGCGATGTTTGTTTCCTTAATTTCCTCTTAAGACACCCATGAAAAAGAAAAGGATGACCCAATATATGAAGGCGCATTATGTCATATTCTAGGGTTTGATTTATTTATAATACAATGGTACCAAATAAGCCAAATGGCTTGCAGCCTGTAATGCCAGGAGTGTCACATGCTCATTGCCAATTTTTAAAGGCCATCTGTATATTTCCACTTTTGTATCTTGATTATTACCGTGTGTGTTCCACAGAAAATGCTCAATCAAGCACCAACTGAAGAACAGTTACTCAACGGAGCTGACCAATCAGCAGCAGACTCTATGCATGAAACTGCTAGCGTTACCCCATCGACCCGAAGTGGGACCACTAGTGGGATGACCACATCCTTCGGCATGTCCTCATCCATCGGTGCCACTTCTTCATATAGCTTAAAATCTATGACTTCAAATGTAAGCAGCGGTACTCTAGCGCCATCTAGCTTAAGTGGTAGTTACACCACGTCAAGGACAAAAAGCAGTTTGAAAAAATCACCAACGAAGAGATATACTCCAACCAGAGTAGTGAAAGACTTCTCAAATTATCCGGGTTATAATAAATTAAGATTGGACAGCGCGGTCAGCCCGAAGCATTCGCCTAGAACTTCTGCAGCTTCTTCTGAGAAAGTAAGCTTTTGATATATTAAGGTCTTGCACTAGATGGTTTTGTAATCATCAGTGATTAAATAAAGGAAATTAGGTAGCTTTTATGGTCGTCCACTTATTGAAAGAGATAATATATTTTTTATTCCAATTAAACAAATACGATTTATGATAGGAAGTATTTTCCGTTTCCTATAGACTTGTTACACCAGAGATGTAATCTGTTCTGTTATACAACCAATTTACACAAAAGCTACCCACTAAAGACGTTATGTTATATTATTATTATTTTTTATTTTTATTTTGGAATAACAAATTTATCTTCATATATTACAATAGGTGCATTTCCAAGAAAATCAAAATGAAGAGGTGGTATACCGGCGCACGAACCGTCACCCAGAAAATCGTCACTCCATGATTCACTACGACCACGACCCATCCAAGCCCCAGCTGAAAGAACGCCCAGTCACCGTCTACGAGCCTTTACATTTGGACTACAGGGACTCTCCAAGTTTAGGATCACCGAAAACATCCAAAAACGACGTAAGAAGTATGGACTCTTTGCCGATGGATTCCCCAAGAAATGACTTGAGATGTGACTCGGACTGTAGGAGTTTGGACTCTCCAAAAGTCAAAGCGGATTATTTTAGAGAGAGCGTACTTGAGTCGCCGAAGCTGGTGGCTGGGTTGAGAAATCTACATCTTGACGAGAACAGCCAGATGGATGAGAGTGGATATTATAGTCCTGGTGAGTTTTTTCCTACCAGACTTATGTCTTCCGTCTAAGAAATATCGACACCTTATACTATTAGGATCCACTGCAAATCTAACGACCTATCTAATAGAAGGTTGTTGTCTATGAAAATCATTACCTGCCAGCTGTAGCCCGTAACTATGAATCCAATAATTTTATTCATCGAAAATATTTCTTCAGTGGTTTACTGAAAGTAAAGGGATTATAAGAATAAGTAATTATAAGTATTCTATTTCGTCTGATAGATATTTAATGGTCAGGATATTCTTTTATTGCAGGTAGAAGACATATGCCGACTAATCCTGAGAACCAATATGAAAACTATGAAGGCGGTGCTATGGAGGGTAGTGACACCACACCGGAACCAATTTGCCAGTATGTCATATATTTTTCAGTAAACATAATATTTAATATAAACATGAGCTATAAAGAGTTCATATAGTATACTATTGCATAAAGAGCACAATCGTTAGTAAACCTAGTAGTTCTGTAGTTCTGGTTCTAGGATTTTTATAACTCAAAGTTAAACAAATTATTGTCTCACCTGATGGAAAGTGGCATCTAACCGTCATCTACAGATGTGGACAGCATTATACTCTCTGACTCCCATGCTACTTGGTGTACCATTGTCGTATTTAAGTTTACTTTTAAAACAGGCGCGTAGATATTCTTAAATATATCTTTGCGAAACATTGGTCGTATATTGGGGTTGGCGCTACACAATTCTTGGGTGGGTACTGCCCACCTGGCTTCCCTCTAAATACGCTTATGAAGATCATCACGTTGTGTCTTTGTACCCGGTAATACCACTGGCATATAATAGCATGAAGAGTGTGAAACACAGCCGTGCACGCACAGTTGCCGTGTGTGTTCGTCACGACAGTAGAAGTAGTTAGAATAGAAATCATCTTTACAAAAATAAACATGTTTTGTGCTACAGACAAATTGTAAAACAGTTTCGAGGCACTGTGATTATGTCTTGTATATGTATGTATCTGTTTACTTCGATTATAGTACATTACTGCAGCGGCCAGTAACTGAGGCATTGATGGACGAATGTGCAAATGTGGGCCGAGGCGTAGCCGAGGCACACATACGTGATTTGTATAGTACTTTTCTCAAACAATGCGCGGAAATAAAAAACAATTTTACTTTTTAAATTCAATGACGAATAACGAATAATAATAATTTTTCACGTGCCATAATGTTCCTTTATTTTTTTTCAATAAATAGCTTTCTATTTGCAAGCCAGTTTGAAATTTAAATAAAGCATTTTACTAGTTACCTCCTTGGTAGCCATGTTTCGAAGTAAAAGGTCACTCCATTTTTAAATTACAGGACAGATATGAGTTTACATATTGATTTATTTGGCCTCAAAACACGACAGATATGGATTTTCATACGACTTTTGCCGGCCGCTGCCCGCTTGTATCTGGCCAGTACGGCAATTTTGATTTATCTCGAAGAAGATTGTCAAATTAATGCTCACATTTCCGAGCATGTTTGGGGAAAATAAACAAACGAATACTAGCTTTGAGTTTGGTATTCTTTTAATATTCTACTACGGGGTTAGGAATGTTGTTATCCGCTGGGAATAATCAGCAAGAGACTATATGCCGCGTTGTTTGTTTGCTTGTGTGGCGCGTGCGTGCGTGCGTGCGTGCGTGCGTGGGTGCGCGCGTGCAGCACGACGTGCGCGTGGTGCGGGCGGCGCGTGCGCGCGGAGAGCGTGGAGGCGCACTACTGGCGGCGCTGCGTCGTGCTGGCGCGCTGCCCGCACTGCCGCCGGGTGCTCGAGGCGCGCTTGCTGCACGCGCACCTGCTCGGTACTATTTTTTTAATGGATCAAACTGGAATGGTAACCCCGCGCGCGCTATCGGTATACACCGACAATGCACCAGTGAAGGATGATAGGTGAATCAATGTAGGTCAGTCGGCCCACCATGATGAATTCGACAAGAATTAACCACGATGGTTTCCAGGGGGAGCCGCGTGGACGTCGACCTTAGAGAGTATATTGCTAGCAGTGGGCCTATTAGACTTCATTACTAGCGATCCCTTGCCCTTCACCTGCTGGGTGCTGCCGCCACACCACGCCACTACGCCACCATACCACGCCACTACGCCACCACACCACACACGCATACACTCCCTTACGTAATGAGCGGGAACACTGCTGTAACCTTAGAATATATAGATAGATCATCGAGCCTTAAAAACAGGCCAACTTTTTGTTAGCTAATTATCAAATCGCATAAAATGTAACGTATTATTTAATAAACAAATGAGATAAAAAATGAGCACATTAAAATAATGCAAAATTTATACATTAAAATAAATGTAAAAGTTACAAAGGAATCACTCGTAAGTATTTATCATGCAAAATTGTATAAAAAAGTTGACGCACTGTTTTCGAAACATTTCTATGGAGACACTCTATCTATATAATCTAAGGCTGCAACGTATTTATTAGATGCCCAAGCACTGACTCTGTACAACGAGCATGAGCGTCGCTGTACTCACATCCACTATAAATTTATTTGCATCATTTACAGCAAATAAAATAAAACAGACGCAGATAGACACGCATAAAAAGAAAGAAAAAAATATATTAAAAAAAAAATACATGAAGGAAGTAATTTTATTTTTTCTTTTCATGTGTGTGCCACAATAACATAAAATGGTCACAACTCAGTTTTCTGCTTTACCCTCAAAAAGGCAAAACACATTTTCTTTTATGATCAAAAACTAACTGGAATTGTCCGTGACAAAAAAAAAAATTATATGCTCGTTAAATAAGTAATATTTAATCTAAATATTTAAATACTAGGTATGCATGCACTGACACTATCCTTTGCGTGACGAGCACGAGCGCTATTGTACGTTAAGTGCGACCCACTCACACTATACTTTGCGTGACGAGCACGAGCGCTATTGTACGCCAAGTGCGACCTACTCACACTATCCCTTACGTAACTAGCACGAGCACGCACCTGCTGAGTGCACACGCCTTGATAACGTCCTTTAAATCATAAACACGAGCACAGCTATATCGAATAAATGAACACTCGCTAACACCCTTATATAACAGCTACCACTTTCTTAATACGTAAATGAGATCGTTGATGAGATACTCTATTTTCGCTATATAGAATTATAGATATAAAAATATGGGTGACAAATCAATTCTAAAAAAAAATAAATTTTTTTGCAGAAGAATGCTCAATGAGCGAAGGCTCGTGGAAGGCGTGCCAGAAATGTGGTGCTGCGCTACGGATCGATGAGAATGACTATCACATCAACTGCGTGCGTAAGTACATAGCAAGTTTCTCTTTTGGGGTTCCGAGCAATTTGTCTGTCTTTGGGTCTTACGCATGTATTTTTGTAAGGCCAGTTAGAGAGTGAAAGTCAAAATAACAGTCATACCATAGTTACATATTTTAATGTAATAACTACCGGTTTAACTTATGTGTAATTGGATCCAAGAAGCTCGACTAATTTCGGGATCAATTCGCGATCCTTAGTCATGGGCGATTATCATGAAAGCGCAGGATTGATTGTCAGACTTAGATCCCAAAACTTCGAGTTTTTTCGATCTAATTACACGTAAGTTGAACTGTTAGTTATTATATTAAAATATAACGTGTACCTATGAAACTTTGAACAATAAAAGTTACACATTTGATAAGAGTGGTTAACCGTTATTTGTCAACATCTAAGTAGTATGTTCCTTGTACCAGCTCTCTTGGCTAGGACTCGCAGCAAGACTTCAGCCGCTACTGTATGCTCATGCCTATAAAAATAAGAGTTAATAATAAATCATAGAATTGCTCGGCATATGGTGTAGTTTCAAAGGAGTTTCCTTCTGCGAATAAAAATGAGCTATCTACCAAAAGAGAATGCCCAGAGAAACTAGAAAATACGATACGGGGATCTTCAAAAATGGGCTAATTAAACTTTCTTCAGGGTTGACAATTCGGTTTATCAATGAAGATTCAATCACTACAGAATTGCTATCTTCATTATTCTGTCCATATGCCATTCTTGAGGACTAAGATGCTATACACCAAGCTCAAGTAAGCAATCTCTGACTCAAAGCACAAGCCTTGCAACGGAGATTGCTTTGGCTTTCTAAGTTCTTAGTTTAAGCCTAAATCTGCCAAAATAAATAATCATTGTCGATCACAATATGAAACCAGCTCTGGGCATGGACGAGTGGAAGTGTCCATACTGCCTGACCAACGTGCTGGCACGCGACCTACCTTGGCAGCGACACCTGATGCAGTGTCCTCGCAACCCGCGACTCGCATCGCCACAAACCACCTAAGTAACCGCCGCGCGTCCCAATTTATTGGCTGACCTCTTTTGTATTGTGTGCTCGATTAACTGGGTTCTGTGCGAGTAGATTGGTTTTCTTTGTTGTAAACACAAAGGGTATTCTTAAAAAGAACTTGATTAGGTTTGGGATTTACTATGAAATGTAATTCTGAAGTTTCGGAGCTAAATTTCGTATGTAAGACGTAATTAGTTTATTGAAACGAGATGGAAAGTTACTTCTTTTTCGTTAAGTGTCGAAACCAACCAAGTTGTACTACCATCGTCGTTTGGCTTCGAAATTTTGGATAGATTTTTACGACAGGTAAATTAAATTAAAAAACTTGGGTTATTTAGTTGATAGAACGTATTATAAGATTTGCAACCGAATTTTCTGTCAAATTTCATAATTCTATGATTATAGTTTTCATAGAATAGAAAAATAGTTACTTATTAGGAAAAGTGGTTAAGGAATTTTTCAACAGTATTTTGTGGTGTGGTTATACCCGGTTACGTTTGGATATAGATAGACAGAGATAGAGAGAAATTCTTCAAAGTAATAATTAGAAAGTTATTTGAAATTATGCAAAAAAATGTATAAATTTTGACAGAATATAGGCGCGCGCAAATCTTAAAGTATATTTTATTGTTGTTGTTTAATGTATTTACGTTATACACAATTCTATTTAAGTATTGCGTTTAAATAGTTAATAGTTTTTACTTTTATGAGTAGCCAAAAACTGGGGCGTGTGTAATATTTAGTTTCTTACATTGTAAATAGGGTCGCCATCCGTCCGGAATTCCCCGGATTTGTTCTAGTTTAAAGGGCATCCGGGGTGCGTTTGGGTGGGACGTAATTTAAAATCTTGGGCCGCTCGCGACACACGTATTGTGCCTGCACGCCGCGGTGATCAACCGACGAACCGACTCGCTAAGCTGTTGATTTAGAAAAAAAAAACCTGTTTATATGTTCTGGGTTCTAAAATCCGGGGTTTTCACGTGTCTTGTCCTGGTTGCCAAATTTTAGAGATGGCAACCCTATTTGTATCGAGTAGTGATTGTAATTTTAATAGGTATTGATTTTTAAATTGTGATACCAACCTACTGCAGTTTATGGGCCACTGGTTCCTCATTGAATTTATAATTTCGTCATTATATAATAATTCATATTTACGAATTTAGATGATCATGTTCCCGTGGGATAAATTCACAAACGGAAGAATCACGAATAAAAAATAATAGAGACCAGTGGCTTGAATAGACACCATTTTAGTGTAATTTTTGTTAATTTACATAGTGGTAGATAGTCCTTAGGGGTTATTACACTATCATTGCATCATTATCATATCTAGATTAATCTATCAATTTATTTAACCTAGTTACACACTTTCTTTATTTGTATAAAAAAAATGTATTGTTTTGTTATAATCAAATAAGGTCACTTATTTTTTTTTCACCCTGTATATGTGATCCTACAAATATGACAGTGTAATAAGCCCCTTTTATTAACATTGTCCTGCTATACGCATTATGTGAGTAATAATAAATTTTCCCTTTTTTTAAATTTACATTACATATAATATGTAGTAAAATTATTGCATCAACGGTTACGAAAATTCGTAAATTTTAAATGCCTATAATTCTGCAAAACTAAATTAAACTAAATTATTTATTTAAATAGTCCAATATAAAAAAAAGTAAAAGCGAAGGCTGCATATACCGGAAGAGATTTAGATTGATCAATCATGGTTATAGACCATTATGCAATCCGCTAGAAAAGTCAGCAGTCTCAGGCGTCTGTGTATGAGATGAGTGTTGGAGCAAAGATTTTTCTTGAGAAATTTGATGGTTGCAAGTTCAATTTCCACACAATACAAATATTTATGTTCATGAGCCTGTCTGTTTGTATTGGTCCGGATATTTTTCTATCTATATTGTTTATGTATTTACAACAAAAAAGTGTAAAATATTTCTATTAATTGTCTAATAAGTAACTAAAACTAATTGAAGTCTACAAACTTTGATTAGTTTGAAACTAGAGGTGCTGTGTGAAGTGTCCAGGGTGATTGTTAAAATCATAGTAAAAAAATAATTTAGTTAATTTAGTTATGTAGGAAAAAATTAAAATAAATGTAGTTTGCATTAGACTGAAAATAATTTAGTGCTTTGTATGGCAGGAACTCATTAAATACGTATTAGATATAATTCGATTTTTTTTAATGTCTCTATCTAATTTTATTAACGTATAAATAAATGCCTTCAGTCATCGCCTATCACGTTGAATTCTAATATGACTAGCAAACGGCAATTTTGCCATTTTGAGCAAATATGTTTGCTCTGCCCTTATCATCCTTTTCTGCCGCTCTGGGCATAATTGCCCGGCTTCTGTCTCTAGTTAGATCGAACCCTGTGCTGTAACTAAAAAAAATTACTCTATTCCGTTTGGGATACAGTCATAACCATTTTTATGTATTATTGTAATATCAATAAAGGCATGGTAAGATTCACTGGGCGATGACAGTGTAATTTCTTCAGTCAATTTCTTTAAGATATTCGATAAGAGAACTAAAGCACAGCTTCTAGTCCATTACTACCGTCCAAACAATGGAGTCCGTCTTAGTCGATGCTCATTATTTGCTTTTACTTGTGTCAACGTTACACTAATATGAATATGTTAAATATTAGTTTTTAATTCGATATTTAAGTAAGTGTTTTCTTAGCTTATTCTTGTTGTGTTTTGTTTTTATAGAATAAGCAAATCTCATTAATTTTCTTTCACAAGAGGATCTAAGTGATCCAACGATGTACCATATGTCACTTAATCGCTCTAAATGCGTTCTTGCTTGTTCAGATTTCTCTTAAGGGGAATTCACTAATTATATGAGATTATAATAAAGGGTTGGGGGAGGGGAAGGGGGGGCTTTCTAAATCTTATATTTACAAGAGGAATCAAAGAACCAAAAACCTTACATTAACTTTCTATTCTCCTCGCATTTAACTGCATTACGCAAATGAAACAAAATACATCAAGATTCAAAAAATCTCATATAAGAGGGAGATACTTTCACCCATATCTCATCTAAGAGCTAATTTAATTAGTCAGACTGTTCTTTTTTGTGATTAAAATCATTATGATTATAAAAAAAATATACCAGGAAGTCAGAGTTGGCTACAATCTGTTATTTATCATAAGTAGTGTACCTTTAGATTTAAAATATTTTTTTTTTTTATATCACAGAATAGATATTTCAAAAAGCTTGTCAAATGGATTAGTACTTAGTACTAGATATCATATAGATTCATTTGCTGGTACTCCATATAGTTTTTTTTTATCTATGAAAAGAGACATCGATGACTATGTTTTTTTATTTATTAAGGTTTTTACCTCTTTTAGCTATCCTATCGTACCTTGAACTGGTTTTTCAGAAAAGATTTTATGTACTTTGATCTACTCACAGAAAGAAAGAAATTAATGGATATCAATAATTTACAGAGATGTTCAAAAATTTCTGATTTGGGTTCAGCTAATATAAATTGAATAAGATCAATATTTAATTTATTTAGTTGAAAATGGCGCATGAATTCTTCTCTTTCCATCGAGTTTATATGACACTCTAACAATATGTGTCATCATATCATAGTATATTTCGTGTTTCAACCGTGAAGCAGTTGTGTTTGCATGGCTGTGTTTCGGTTTGAAGGGTGGGATATGGCGTGAATTTACAGGGTACAGAGGAATAACACCTGAGTCCTTAGGAATGACAACGCATGGGGGGTATCATGGGCGAAACAGTATACTCTGTTATGTCCATGGTACTGCTCATGTTTATAGGCAACGGTTACCATTTTCCATCAGGTGCGCCGTTAGCTTGTTTGCCATTCTAAGTTGTATAAAAAAAAATATTCGATGGTATCAAAAACTTGACAATGGGGTGACCAAGACTTTCCCAACAGGTGCAATTTTTTTTTTCACATATGATTTGAAAACATAGGTATTAATTTATACTCCTGAAAAGTGTAATAACATTCAAGTACGAGAAATATTTTTCTGTCACTTCATAGTCACTTGATTTTAGCATCCAGCGGTACAAGTTTTCATGCTAACGAGAGGTATGGATTATCTGAATTTGAGGCGGGACGTTACTTCTTTATCCATTTTCTATCGGCTGTACAATGGGAATTGTTCCACGGAATTATGTGACCTGATACCATTGTCACCTTTTTGCCATCGTACCTCTCGCCATAGAACTGGAACTCATCCTAATTTCTTTATGGCGTACTACCACTGTTCGCGTATTTCATTCATTTCTATCTCGTACATCTAAATTGTGAGTTCCCGTCTTCAGTTTTCCCTTACAATATAATATGTGGCATTTCGAAAAACGTGCCTACAAACATTTAGAAGGCCGGCAACGTACAAGCAACTCTCGTGTTGTAAGTGTTCACGGGCGAGGGTAGCTGCTTTTCATTAAGTGGACCGTCTGTTCGTTTGCCTCCCTAATTAAAAAAAAAATACTATAATTAGAAATATACATATTTATGTGCATGCTAGGATCGGGTTTAAAAGGTGATGTAATCTACCTAACCTTATCCCATTTATATAAATATTGGGGTCGTTATATTACCCAAGATTTAGGCTTTTAGTCAAATCGGTCGCTAAAAAAAAAAAAAGGTGATACCTTTATGTAGCAGTTAAATTACTTGATGTTGTGATTTAATGTCTTCATACATCACAAGAGACAGCTATAGAACAGGTCATGCATTTGACTATCTACTGTATATATTTTATTTAATTTTTAATAAGAAATGTTCATCTCAAATTTATATTTTAAATTGACTTAAAAAAAAACTATGTTATCTATTTAGTACCACCTCAGTTGTATAAAAAAAAGTCATATTTTTTATATTTGTTACCTCATAACTTCGTCATTCATTAGCTGATTTGGAAAATTCTTTTTTTTTATCTAAAATGACTTTTAGCTTAGCCTCATAGAAATTAAAACAAAATCAGTTTAGTAGTTTAGTTTTTAAATATAAATAACTAGCTTTATAACGGTCGGTTTTTCTCCTGATACAAAATCTTAAACATTAAACAACAGTTCTTACAAACAATTTCAATTCGATTAAAATATTATCAGGCTCATAGTAATCAGTTTAGCTTTTATGATATTAAAAAATGTATTCTATCATTGTAGTCATTCGGTTGTTATTAGGTTTTATTTTCCTTTTAATTTTTATGCCCTTTCAATACATTTATACATGTATACATATAAGTATAGATTAACATAATTTAGCGTATAATTATAAAGCTATAAATACAGAGTAAGAAACAAAAATGTCTTTAGACTGAGGATGTAGTATAAAAAATCGCGTATTTTTACTAAGAATATGTGAATCGTATATAAATGATAATTACAGTTATATGAACATATTTATTACATTTTCTTATACTACCTACAACTATTGCTACCTTTAGGTATTTACTATTACAGATAATTTTAGCAAATATTATAGTAGTTAGTATAATCGTCTTTTAATAAAAAAAACTTGCTTTACATAATGACGTTATACTGTTCAGATACTAATTCTTTAGTATATATGAATAATATATTTAAATTTTTTGTTCATATAATATCGTTACAGTTTATATATAGATATAGGTGAAATCGATAAAAATTGCATACTTATTAGTGAATTTTTAACGTTTATCGATCCAAAAAAAAAATTGTCCAATTGAATAATCAATCAGTCATAGCCTATGGTGTCCCACTGCTGGGCAAAGGCCTCTTTCAACTGCTACCATCTTGCACGATCGCTAGCCAAACTGTATCTGACATTATGGAACCTGTCGAGATCTTCTCTCCATTGCATACGCGGTCTTCCGCGACTTCTTTTCTTGTTTTTTATTAAGCCAAGATGTCCATATTTTGGCCTACTAGTTCTTTGGCATGCGAGTCACATGTCCTGCCCAGTCACACTTCAGAATTGTCGCTTTGAATAAAATTTAAAAAATTTAATTCAATTTTTTTGTTGTGTCTAAATAGTTTCACTGTTAGAATAAAACATTCGACAGAAAATGGATCGATAAATGATAAAATTTATCAAAAGAATGCTTTCGTTTACACCGCGTATTTATGTTTACCACTTCCCATCAGGCAGGCCGTCAGCTTATTTTGCCATTCTAAATATCTGTCTGTCATCATCATATAAAAAAAACTAATGTAGAATTTCCTCAATGTTAGTTGTTCATCTAAACAATACACGAGTTAATTATAGCTTAGATTAATTAGCTTGTAACGTAGCTTAGCTTCGATTTAAATACCACATCACCCACTGTGATATTGGGTCGAGATATTACGTTGAACTGAGGTATATAAGCGTGGCACTTTTGTTGTTGGTATAGCGAGTAAAATAGTTATAAGGTGATAACTTGTTTGGCTACATCCATAAAAAATATCATACAAACATCATACAATCATTATACATACAATCATACAAAATAATCACATTTTACTTTACCATCATTTCGATGATAATGATACATGTTAGGTATAAAATTAATTATTTAATTAATTATCATATTATTTTTGCACTATAATTGTTATGCTTTATATACAAACCCTAAAGATACTTTCCCTTATCGGGTTCTCAAGATTACTGAAAGAAATCCCTTTAAGGGATAAATCTGTCTGAGTACAATTTTGTTTTAATCTAATGTATACATATATTACATTATAATTTCGGCTGCATTTTGTCAACTGTACATACAGAAAGAAGAAGGTATTGTTAGTAATAGGGACAGCTGGCCCCACTACTAGCAGAATAGGATTATTTTACCCTGTCAGGTCGTCCTCCACGCGGTTCTCCTTAGAAACCATCGTGGTTAAATCTTGTGGAATCGGCCACGATGGGCCAATTGACTTGTTTCCATTCTCACCTATCATCAGTCACTAGTACCCCGCTAGCACCGATAGCGTAGATGGGGTTACCATTCCATTATCATCCCATAACAAAAAAAAACTGTATATAAATACTGACATTTAGATATATATACACATGGATGTCGCCAAACTTAATGTAAAGCTAAATTTTAAGTATCATAATAGGCACTTCTCCTTTGCACTGTCTGTCCATTTATATCCGTTCCATCACTTATACTCATCACATAATTATATACAGACCTATTTATAAATCAAATAAACACTATTCATACCCAAAGTACAAAAATATTGCTACAGCAAACGCCATACATACTTTACAACTCTATACTTTTGTGTAATAATGTATGTCTAACCTATGAATGAATTGTATAATGCAAGCCTAGATTACATTTGTACAGGCTGAAATCAAAATCGTTAGTATCTATTGAAGGTAGTGTTCTACCGGCGAAACTAAACATTTTAAGGAAACGTGAGTATATATGAACACGGCGCCTTCATGTGAACACGGCACCTTCATGTGACCACGGCGCCTTCATGTGAACATGGCGTCTTTGTCTTTGGGCGGCGGTAGTCACTTACCATCAGGTGAGCCGCATGCTCGTTTGCCCCCTGTGTTGTAAAAAAAAAAATAAAAAAAAAAACGGCGCCTTCAAATGATCACGGCGCCTTCATGTGAACACGGCGCCTTCATGTGAACAGGGCGCCTTCATATGAACACGGCGCCTTCATGTGAACACGGCGCCTTCATATGAACACGGCGCCTTCATGTGAACACGGCGCCTTCATGTGAACACGGCGCCTTCATGTGAACACGGCGCCTTCATGTGACCACGGCGCCTTCAGTCGTTAAGTTAGTATGGGAGACTCAAAATTTTTTGCAGTTTTTAAATTTTTCACGAATTTTCTGTCCTAATATGTTCTATAGAATGAATACATTCTTACATTTACATACTTATCTCGAACGATTTTGATTTTGCCCTGTATGTGCATACATATAAATACGTATATAACATTTATGGTAAATGTATTAGTCGAGTTAATCAGAGACAACGGACGAAACTACGGAAAAAATATAATATTTCTATAATCTGGACCTTTTGAATTCTAGGATCTAGAATTAACTAGTAATGTATTATATATAAATAATGCAAACTACAATCTACAGGGATATCGGACAAATTTTAATTTGTACCATAACTTCAGTATAATTTTTTTTAACTATTTACGAATTTTTATAATTGACAAATCCATTTGACTGATGCTTTTTGGAATATTATATACTTTAGATATTAATTATTTTTAATATTTCGTTTACATCTATAAATAATTCTCAAATTCATGATAACATGCTTACTTGTTCAATGTAACACGATTTCTACTAAGTCACTGTATTTTTTAACTATATTAAAATTTGCCCCATTTTTGCACGATTAAAACGTTTCAATACTCATATTTAAGTAATATACCAATTCGAATAAAAAAAATTAAAGTATTATTGTAACTAATTGGACTGAATATAAGAAAATGATAATATTTTATTTTGTTAAATCAATTTTTGCAAAAGCTTTTAAGCCAAAGTCTGGTATGTGATTTCGATTCACCTTATATTAAGTAACCAACCACTCTAGACAAGAAGCAAACAAATCTATCGTTAAGTTTCGATTAACGTTTAAAAAAGAAAGAATAACAGACCAGACATCGCTATCTCATTCTATCTCAAACTCGGTAATGATAACGTTTCTACCGACAGATTCGTTTGCTACTTATATACGGGAGAAATGCTAAAAATGTCGCGATGCTGTAAAGCATTCACTTGTACGAGCTAAAAGTTGACTCATGCGCAATCAGTATCGAAATATGAAGCATTTATTTTAATATAAGTATAAAATGTAATTTGTCAATCTGTCTTCAAGATATGACTTCTCTGTATATGTTAATAAGTAGTTAGAAAGTAAATAAATTGTTTCTAGTAATATCTTCGTGCAATAAACTACCTTAGGGCTGGTTTACATTGACAGGAAGGCACCGTATGGCGCGATATTGTATAGCAATGGAATGATCTATAACAGGGTTTCTCAGAATAGGTTATGCGTACCCAAGGGGTACCAGTTAATTGTAGCAGGTGGGTGACAAAAATTACTTAATGGCTTATGTGAGAGTGGGTTGTCACACCTGGTTAAGTTAAACATGAAATATACGTATCAATTGAATAAAATTGCCCCGAGGATCAATAGCATTTACACTAAAAAGCGAGTACATCCATTACATTAGATTAACTTAATAATGGAAATACCATTTATCTATTGCTCTCTTGTACTTTTTCTTTTAACAAATAACCATATCTGTTCTATCGAGTCAGTTTTTAAGGGGTTTCCTGTGGTATAGAAAACCTAAGGGTACGTGGAGCCATAACTTGAGAAACTCTAGTCCATAACGTGAAATATCTTCACACTAAATACTAATATAATATAAAAATAAATAATGAAAAATTTATTTGCCGTTCTTTTCTGTCAGTAAGCATCATGCCCTTAATACAATATGGATGGGCCCTTAATATACATATACTGAAAAATAAATACCAATGTTAAATGGAATTTATGGGATTGCGAAATGTTGAAAATGCATCGGTGCATTCATTTATAAAGTAAAAATTTTTCAAAGGAATGTCTCATTTTAAAATATGTAAAATTACCTATTATTACTCGTAATATTGCTTAATAATGGTTTGATATTATAGACATTTTGTGTGTGCACTGTACATTATGTTAAATCGCCTGTCCTTGCTCACTGAGGACTAATTTGTAATGTTAAATACATTATATATATGTACTTAACAGTTATTGGTTTCGCGCGATATTTTTTGTCGCGCTTTCTCTTATGCTCATAATTACTCTATGGTTTAATATTGTTATGGTTTAAAATTGTTGACTTTGTGTTGTTTTTATTTATTAAGCGTTTTGACATTATTTTGTGGTGTTCACATTATTATTAAAATAGTTAAAGGCGATATTAAAAGTATATTTTAAGAACAATTTCATTTTAAAATGGACTTGCTCTTAAAACGAAGATATTTAGAATTTCCGATCTTGGATTACAATATCGATCTTTTGAATCGAATCGAATAGTTTTCGATCGATCTATGAGAAAATTGACATTACAAAAATCGATTCGATCTTTTAAAAAATGTGTTATGTCGAAAAAAAAGAAAAGAAAAAAGTAGGACAACCACAGGGAATAATTCATATGCAGAATGGGAAAGATCGTCTACGATCTGTCATATTATATCGAATTTTAAAAACTTGATCCAAAAAATCATGAACGCGGTTCGGAAGATCGATTTTCGATTAAATTGAGACCGGGATTTTTAAAACTATTCATGAATTTAATGAACAATATGTAACAGCACTGTTTTGTTGATATAGCACTTTGGCAACTGATAATAAATGAAATGAAGGTTGTTATCGCTGGAGTATTGCGAATGATTAGGGAAGTGATGAAATTGTGGTAAATAAAGGGTTTCTAAACATTTATGTATTTTATTTTGTGTATATATGATCACCATCATCTCAGCCATTGTCTGTCCACTGCTGAACATAGGCTTCCCCCATAAACAGCCATAAGGAACGGTTTTGAGCCACCTGCATCCACCGACTCTGCAATGCATTTGAGGTTGACACTCCATCTAGTGGGGATGTCGTCCTATACTGTGTTTACCTGAATGGGGTCGCCATTAAAGGATTGTGTTGACTTAAAAAGAAAAGGCATCAGTTTATAATAATATATATAATTTATATTATTATAACAAAATAAATACACAACGGTACGTCTTATTTGTAAAGATCTTTTGAAACAATTGAAAAAGTCGTGTAAACATTTACATCAGAATTAGATTTTTACTAACTACTTGTACTCTGTGCACCGTTTTCTGTAATATCCTCATTATTGGCGCCATTCTCCTGCAAACTTGAGGTCTCGGGGATTTCTGACACGTCTGTTGAGGCCACATCGGCGTCGGGTACATCTGATGCCTTTTTAAATTTATTTATATCTGTGAAAAATATAAGTAATACAATAAGTACTCTGTCTCATTCCTTTTTCTGCTAAGAGCTAGAATAGCTAAAGAAGAAATGGCAAACAAGCTGACGGCCCGTGGCTTTGCTCGCGTAAATCAGTATTTACTCGAAAAGTATCTTATATTTTAAATTAGGATATAACGTACCCATGTACTAAATTTTATTCAAATCCAGTCAGCCATTTAAACGTAATTGAGTACGAAAAAACAAACATATTCACAAACTTTTTATTTACATACAATACTTATTCATCATATCAGCCTTCAACTGCCCATTGCTGAACATAAGCCTCTCCCTGGGGGGGGGGGGGGGGGTTACCAGTAGTTACCACGGTTGGCAGATAGATTGGCAACCGTAGTTAGGCTTTAGACATGTTTTATGAGGAACGCTGTTGCCCATCCCTCGCCTTTCCTTAGTCGTCTTTTACGACATCCACGGGAAAGGAAGGGGATAGCCTATTCTATGCCGGGACCACACGGCCAATAATACTTATTACATATTTACAAAATTCCTTTGAAATCGGTCGAGCGCTTTCGGAGTCGAGCAGAGGAGACTTCCCTTTAAATAATCCTATGCACATACCATATTTACTGTGATCGGCTCCCAGCAGCCGCAGATAGTGAACAGTGTCGGGCGTGGCGGTGTAGGCCCGCAGCGAGTGCACCCCGCGCCAGCCCACCAGCGTCAGCTGCAGGCCCGACTCGCCGTCTCTGTACTCCAGGACGCAGCTGCCTGTTGCTGTGGGGGGAGAAGGGGTTGTTAATATTGGGCAATCCATTAATTAGCAATCCAGTTGCTAGCAATATACTCTATCAGGTCGATCTCTTCGCGGTTCCATCTAGAAGCCATTGTATTGTATTGTAAAATCTTTATTGTACATAATTCACATTGACACCAGCAATTCATCATGCTGAATTGCTGGTGTATTCATTACGATGGGCTAACTGACCTGCCTTTTCATCATCTCTCACTGGCGCTAGCGTATACCGTTAGCGCAAGCGAGGTTACAACTCCATTGTCATCCATTAATAATACCCGTTGCTGTGGGAGATATGGTGTGGCATGGTTTACCATCAAAAAAGCTGGTTTTTTAATAGATGATGATGGAATGGTAACCCCGCCTGTGTTAACGGTATACACTGGCGGAGCACCAGTGAGGGATGACAGGTGAGGATGAAAAGAAAGGTCAGTTAGCTCATCGTGATGAATACACTTGGAATTCAGCACGATGGTTTCCAGGGGGGACCACGTTGAGGTCGACCTGGTTTGGTATATTGCTAGCAATAGGGCTCTTAGTCTTCATTATTACCAATCCCTCCCCCCTGATAGGAAAGGAAGGCCTATTTTATGCCGGGACCTAAACGGCAATGGTTTTGATGCTAAACGGTCACTAAATTATGGACGCCTGCAACACTAGGCGTGTCACGTACTCATTGTTGATCCTGAAGAAACCTTATTAGTTCTAAAATTACAGTACTCACCGAAATCTTTGACCAGCGCCTGCGTATGTTCGCTGAACAGCTTGATGTCTGGTGGATTGCTGGGATTGTCGTTCTGCAGCACCAATATCAAATCTTCTTTTAATATCCTGAGTCGCCGTTTGGGACCTATTGACGGCGATATACTCTGTAGGCCTTCTTGAGATAACCTGCGTTTATACGGAAAGAGAAGAATTAAGATTTGTATAGAATCTTTCACTTGGGAAAGTCTCATTTATTTGCATTATTAAGCAGCCAGCATGAAAGTATTTTTTATATAAAATTGAATGTGTAAACCTGCCCAAATACACTGCAATGCAATTGAAATTCAATGCTATATGCGAATGACTATGATCATATCATAGGTGAGGATAAATGAAGGTCAGTAAGTTAATTATGTGAAATTAATTGGAATTTCTGTCAATAAACACTATGGTTACCAAGAAGATAGTGTATAGTATAATCTTCATAGGGTAGAAATTGGGCTACTAAATTCCTGGTTACATATTTCTTTTTATTAGTTAAAAATGCAGTTGTAATTCCGCGTACAATATCGATATGCGTTAATAAGACTAATCAACTCAAAGCAATATATTTTTCAAATTTTGTTTGTCTGTCTGTATGTTTGTTCTAACATCATGTAAAAATTACTGCACCAAATTAAATGCGGTTTTCACAGTTGTGTTCTTGAAAATCTAATTTAAAATCTGGTGTATCTGGATATTGTATCTAGAAGTAGCCTATTTCGTTGGTTTTTCTACTACTGAAATCCACGCGTATGAAGTATCAGGCAAGAATTGAGTACATAAATAAATAAAATAGAACTGTATTAATGTGTATGTATGTGCATATACTTAGTGCTTAGTATATAGTACTTCACATTTTTTTATCATTAATCCAGTATTTAACATACATGTTCAAAATTAACCATTTTACATATATTATAGTTTTTATAAAATAAAAGAAAATAAACGATTGAAATAGAATAAAATATACATATAATACATCAAGTCAACAGACGGCATTTTTATTTCACAATTAATATAAATCATAAATAATAATATATACGTAACAAGAACCAGCATATTTTACAAACAATACACATCAGTTGTCAATTATAAAAGAAAAGTAAAAAAAATAATTACATACAAATTTTTACTTACCTAAACGGGCACACCATATTCTTATTGTCACACCTCACAAATGTTTTCACACCGGTATTAATAATTTTTATATTTGTCTCATTTCTCTGTACAACATCTTTCACTATCGGCGATACTAAGTATATATTCTTCTTCTTCCCCACATGACATCTTGTTAACAGGCAGGTAGAGTCGAAGTCTGCTTGTAAGTCATAATACTCTTTTATTGAAGGGAACACATCTTCACTGTCTCCAGAGAAGAAGACAAACGGGTCTTCCCTGTAACCGCCCATTCTTCTTTTCTTCTTCGGCGGTTCTTTCTTTTCTTCTGTGACTTCTGTGTTGTTCTCTATGCTTGTTTCCTCTTTTTCCCAGGGCAAAGGTTTTGTTTTTTCGAATACTGCCACAAAGAAACCACCAGTGTCTTGTTGGTGTGGGAGGATTCTTATACTGAAAAGGAATACTTTTTTTTAGAATAGCAAACAAGCTGACGGCCTACCTGATGGAAAATGGTAACACCATCGCCTATAGACATGAGCAGTATCATGAACACAACAGAGTATACTGTTTCGCCCACGATACCCCCCCCCCCCCCTGCGTTGCCATTCCTGAGGACTCAGCTGTTATTCCTCTATACCCTGTAAATTCACTGCCATATCCCACCGTTCAAACCGAAACACAGCTATGCAAACACGACTGCTTCACGGTAGAAACACGAATGTGACAGAGGTGCCCAAGCAAACGACTTTTGTACAAAGTCTCCTGGTTTATAATTTATATTAAAAGACAGGATTGTGTTCCACAAAAAAACCAGATTTCAATTTTGGCAAAACCTGTTATTTTTATATTTAAAAACTAAACTACTGAACCGATTTTGATAAAATTTCTATGGAGGTCCCGTAGAAATTTTCTGTAATTATCTCCTTCCAGATAAAGAAAAAAAATTAGAATCAGTTTAGAACTGACGGAGTTATGTTACCACATACATAAAAAAAATACAACCGAGAATAAAAAGGCAGGTCAATTAACCCTTCTTTGCATGATTTTTTTTATTGGTGAAATAAATCAAGGTGATATAATTCATGTTCAAAATTAAAGGAAAAATGGTTAAAAAAATTAATTTGACAGCTATGTTTTTTTCTGCAATGAACATTAAAGAGGTATCCAGACACGATCAACTTAAAGTGAAATTGATCTTTTATATAATTATTGGGTATTCAATGTTATGATGGAAATTTCCACCATTATGCAAAGAAGAGTTAACCCATTGTGAAAAATACACCTAGAATTTAGCACGATAGTTTTTATAAAGGGCCGCGTGGAGGTTGATCTGGCAGGGTATATTGTTAGCAATAGTCTACATTATTAAAAAAATTACTACATTATTAATTTTAATATAGGTAAATAATATTAGAACAATTTTCTCACCATTTCTCCAAGTTATATTTATGTACGTCCTCAGGCTTGGGCGGGAACATCTGTGGCCGCACCACGGTCTGCCACTTCTCCGGCACATCCTCATATTTGTCGTAGAACACCATGTCTTTTGATGCTGGACGCCAGTGGGTCATTCCTTTGATGACATAATTAAATAATAAGTAATTATTTTTTATCTCATAACTGAAAAAAGAAGATTGCGTACAAAACTTATCTGGTTGAGAAACTCTAATATCTATGATGTCCACGGTGCTGTTTATGTGTATAGGCAACAACCATTATCTTGGGAGGGAGTGGGGGATACATTGCTAGTGGTTCCTCTTGAACGTGGTTTATCATCATTTTAAGTTCATCATCACCTATCATCCGTTACTATCACGTCACCTTTCATTAGGTGACTTAATGGAGGCGTGTGTTTACAATTCTAAATATCATATTGAGAGCTACCTTTCCGGTACTTGAGTCCAGGCAGCATGTCCGCGACGTCGACGAGCCGCAGCGCGTCGCCTGCTTCCTGCAGTATCCTGTGCACGACGGCCTCGTTCTCGATGGGGTTGAAGGAGCACGTGGAGTACACCAGCCGTCCGCCCACCGCCAGCAGCTCGCAGCCGCGACGTGCCACCCGATACTGCACGCTGCCGGACACATGAATGAATGAATGAAAACTCTTTATTGTTCCCTTTCAAAGAATGATATAGATTATAAAGATTACTTATATGTACACAAACAAAGAACACCAAAATGCATATAATGAGGAGTTTGGTTTTTCCAATTTTTCTGTATAGTGCAGAAACTTGGACGATCAGGCAACAAGAACGCCGAAAAATTGATGCTCTAGAGATGTGGTGCTGGCGACGACTGCTGCAAATACCTTGACTGCCTTTCGAACTAACGTTTCCATTCTGAACGAACTAAAATCAGAGAGATTGTCGTCATAAAGATTAATCATATGATGTACACAAACAAAACGAATATTTAATTAACATAATGGAGACATATTGCTCAATCGCGAAGGAGAGCCTACACGATCCAATTGTGAAAACCACGCCACTCTGCCAAGATATAAGAGAGAGAGAGACACAAACAAAACGAATATTTAATTATATAAACTTTATTGCACAAAAGCAAGATATAGAGGCAACAATGGGCGATCTTCTAAATAGCGATCTCTTCCAGGCAACCTTAGGATGTGGAGGAATAATTAAAATTATATCTGGTCAAGGCGTTTATTTCAATTTCATAATGTTACAGCATAGTTTACAGTGAACGTTATGGACCCTGCTGATAGCAAGCGACAATCGCAGAGGTGGCCTTAATATATATATATATTTTTAATAAAAGTACGTCATACGTCGTAATTATCAGTATTTTTTTAAAAACTGAACATTTTTTAATGTTTCAGATTATTTAAAAAATGCTCGGCTAGCGAACTAAAAACATTGATAATGTTGTATTATTTTTATTAAGCTGTCAAAATAAGTTTGAAAAATTCCGAGGCAATATATGAAGGAGGTGCAAAGTTTTAAATACTACCTAGATTTATATGCAACCTATTCTATGATTAACATTTTAGTTTGTTTGCAGAACACATTTAAAATCATCAGTCGGAAATATTTTAAATACATTATCGGGACTTAACACGATGAAAAATTGCGCTATGATGCAATAAGCATCGAAACGTCGGCAATAAAGTAGCAGGTATGTAGGTAGGTCCTATTTACCTGAAAATTTTATTAACGCGAAAAGTCACGATAGTGTAATTAAAATATGTGTAAACAACACGAAAGTTTAAAATTAATTATGAGTCAGAAAAATTAAAAAATCTTAAATTATTTTTCAAAATAGACTAATAATTGCGACGTTGCCACACTTCGATAAGCTAATGTTATGAGTACTCTTAGACGAGTAGTTATTACGATATTGCGTTTTTTAACTTTTTAAGCTACATTCACCATATCTTCGCAAGTGTCCAAGAATCTCTACCCACTGATAAAGATATTATAACAATAGTCTACAAACCCATGTAAGTTGTTCCCGTTGCCGGTCGACCACTTGAGCCAGATGTCCGGATTCTTGCGGAGCGTGGCGTCACCCGAGCACGGCACGTCCGCCAAAATACGGTCGAACTTCAGCTGCTTTGTCGATGATGGATTCTGTATTAAAGTTGTACATGAAACATCTTCAGTACTTTGATGACTAGCAACTCCACTTGCGCCAGTAGGTGATGATAGGTGTGGCTGAAGTCAGGTTAGTTGGAATAAATTCACAAAAAATTAATCACAATGGTTTTAAAGGGAAATTGAGAAGAGGAATTGACAAGGTATATTACTATAAATGAGGGGGGGGGGAACTATAAGCCAAATCTTTTTGTAATATAGATAAAAAAAACATATTACGCCGACCCCAAATAAAAATTGTGATAAGGGTAAGAAGATGATGATGATGAGGGTGGGGGGAGGGATTGTTAGTAATGTGGTGTATATCAGCATCAGACATAGTAATGTGTCTAAAACATTTTACAATTATATGGATTCTAAATAAAATAAACATAGTTTATGCTTGAATGTCAATTTGCTTAGAGTAGATCTAATGTCCAAGAGCAATACATTCTATTCTACCTTTTATTACGTAGAAGATTATATATAGAAAACACCCAGACCAGTACAAACAGACGCATGAATACAAATATGCGGGGAACGAAACTGACCTGTTCATCACCGATGAGCAAGGACGGCATGACGGCCGAGTCGTGGTTGGTGATGAGTATGCAAGGTGAGTTGAGCCGCTTGGCCTGGTGCACCAGCATGTAGCACCGGCTGTTGTCCACGTCGTTCGCCATCACGAAGCCTGTGAGGATTTTATTTTTTTATTTTAATATTATATCTGGAATTAACACCTTATATCTAGAATAAATAAAAAAATATTATGTTTACACTATACATTAGCCAATTACAGATTTCCAATTTGTATACCAGACAATACTTATACTTATTTTTGGAGGGTAGGTTAAATTAAATAGAAAAAAAAAGACAAGCGTGGATTTTAGCTAGCTAGCTTCTGCCCGCGGCGACAGGACCTACGATGGCAAACATTTTATAATTGCATTGTGAAAGCCCTAAAACTTTTTTTTTTATCGACGAATAACAAACCAATACCCTCTAACTAATATTTACAAAATAGTCGTAGACATTTTTTGTAAGCTACCTATCTCTTTTTTTATATGTTACATAGAGAAGTTATTGTTACACCAACATAATTGAGAATAGATACTGAAATTTCTACCATCGTACAGCTCGCCATCGACAGGGAGTTCGCCTCATGTCCTACAGCCAATGGTCGCGTACTGCGCGGTTTCAAAGATCTTTCCTCACACGAACACTCAGGTTATTGAATGAGCTCCCTGCCGAGGTTTTCCCAAGAGACTACAGCATGGGGTTCTTTAAAAGGGGCGTAAAGAGTTTTCTTCAGGGTCGGCAACGCGCGCGTAATACCTCTGGTATTTCAGGTCTTCATAGGCTACGGTAACCGTTTACCATCAGGTGGGCCGTATGCTTCTTTACCATCTCATCATAAAAATAATTAAGAAACAATTAATTTGCTTGTTTCAATTTGAAGAGTGGGATATGGCAGTAAATTTACAGGGTACAGAGGAATAACACCTGAGTCCTCAGGAATGGCAACGAATAAGAGGCTATCATGGGCGAAACAGTATACTCTGTTATGTCCATGGTACTGCTCATGTCTATAGGCGACGGTTACCGCTTATCATCTTTCCATCAATTCAATCGCTTTCCATCAGGTGGAGCCGTCAGCTTGTTTGCCATTCTAAGTTGCAAAAAAAATGTTACAACTAATTTAACAAACTCACCAGTGGGCACTTTGTCTTCATCTGCATGAAGAAACTCAATCAGTTGCGCCGTCTTCGAGCCAGGTGCTGCACACATATCTAATACCTGAGATAGGGGGAAAGATTGTTAGTAATGGAGACTGAGAATCCCATTGCTAGCAATATACCTAACCAGATCGACCTCCATGCGGTTTCCCCTGGAAACTATCATCGTTAATTCATCATAATTTCATGATGGGCTAACTGGCCTGTTTTCATTCTCATCGATCAGTCTTCACTGGTGCTCCGCCAGGTTATTTAATATAAAGAAATCTGATGATATTATTTAATATTCCTCTTGGGCTGGTCACCTTATGATGCGGTTGCACATCTAGCACAACCGGTGGTATCATGGAGACGGTCTCCTGACGTGACACGCCGCCAGCCGCGGTCTCCGCTACTAGGAAGTTGTGCAGGCGGTACAGCGGCTCGCTGCGCCGGATGTCCGTACGAGAGAGACGGAGTTGCCACGCCAGGCCGCCAGGGTACCTGCAATTTTTTTAATGGGATAAAATTGGAAGTGTAACTCCGCTAGCGCTATCGATATATGCTGGTGGGATCCTAGTGAATAATGATAAGTGAAAATGAGGACAGGCCAGTTGGTTTATCGTGATGAACTTGCCAGGAACTTGCCTGGAACTTGCCTCCTTTACCAGAGGGAAACTTTGTACAAAAGTCGATTGCTTAGGTACCTCTGTCCCATTCGTGTTTCAACCGTAAAGTAGTTGTGTTTGCATAGCTGTGTTTCGGTTTGAAGGGTGGGATATGGCGTAAATTTACTGGGTACAGAGGAATAAAACCTGAGTCTTCAGGAATGGCATTGAATGGAGGGTATCATGGGTGAAACAGTATACTCTGTTATGCTCATGTCTATAGGCGACGATTATCACTTTCCATCAGGTGGGCCGTCAGCTTGTTTGCCATTCTAAGTTGTATAAAAAAACAAAAAGGAATTAATCATGATTGTTTTTAGAAGGAATCATGCGTAGGTCAAGATAATAATGTATAATGCTTGCAATGAGGCTGTTACAATCCATTTCTCCCCAAGGTAGCATTGCACGGCTACATTATTGTATCAGCTGTTACCTGTCCACTGCTGAATATAGCCTGCCCCATAATGGGAATTTTGTAAGTAGTTGCCACACTTGGCTGGCGGATTGGCAACCATATTTTGGCTTTTAATGATGTTTTAAGAAGGATAGCTAAATTTTGACATTGACACGTAGTTTGTGGTTCCAACCAACTTATGCATAAATGATATACCTTTGGAAAATACACCTTATATTTTGAAGAAATAAAAAATATTGCTTCAACAACAACATCATAAAATTCCCGTCACTGACAGAAATCAGTAGTAAACTATAAGAAAGGATGAGCGCAACAAATCACAGTGGTAACATTTGTACAAGTTTTTTTGCCTTGCACAGCCCATTCCTTAATAATCATAATACTTCATTGACATATTATAACAAGTGAAGCTAAGCCTATGTACCCTTCTTGTTTCCCATACCTATGGTATGAGAAATGTGAGAAAGACTCTGTTTTCCACGCTTAGCCTCTCATTTGGGCTGTTGTGCGTGTCATATATACATGACAATTTAATGACCTGTTATTACACTCCTCGCAAAAATTAAGGGAACATAAAAATTTTTGAAATTTTTGGGTGATTTTCAACAGGCTGTATTTCAGTGAAAAATAATCGTACAGGAAATTTAAAAAAAGGGTTTTGAAGCTTGAAAACTCTAGTTTTCAGATTTTTTGGTGAAAAAATTTTATGAGCTCCGGTTTCCATGCAATTCTTAAACAAAGCTGAAAATAATTTTTTTCTAAATTTTCTAGGTTTCGTTTTTCACTCTATGGGCATGAAAAAATTTTTTCGAGCTACTCCATTGTATAGGTCTCTTAGCGTGTTTATTCAGCTTCAAAAATCACTTTGGATGGCTCAATTACGACCATTTGTCTCCGAGATATCGAACTTTGAATGCAAAAGCATCCTTTTCCATTCAACTGCTAATATCTCTGGAACTACTGGTCGCACAGCAAGCGGGCGCCGAGTTTCTTTATCTGCATACAATTTCCAATTAAGCACAGTCAAGAGTTAGTGAAGAAAAAATTTTTTCCACCTCTAACATTGAATTAAAAAAGTGGAAAAAAGTGACTTTTCTCCTTTTTTGGTTATATGGGCGGGAAAGCTAAGGTTTGAGGATTTTACAGTCTATTGAAAGAACCCCTAAATCCCTGGAGCGATCGGTTCAACGGTTTTCCCGGACCAATTGATTGAAATTTTGGAAAAAATAAGTGAACAAGGTTTTTGTCCCTTAAACTCACCCTAATCCATTCAAAAATCAATAATTTCATTTGTTTTTCACTTTTTACTCAATTTTTTATTTTTTAAAAATTCATTATCAAAAAAAAAAATCGAAAAAAATCAAGAAAATTTTTAAGAAATTTTTTTTTTGAAAAGTCGAAAAAAGTTTACAAAAATTTTTTTTTTTCGTTTTTAAGTAAATCAAAGTTTTTGTCAAAAACTTTGATTGATGATCGATTTACCGCCGGCATTAGCGTTACCCAAAGCATACCACGTGGAGGTTGCACGGTCGGATTTACGTGCGTAAGCACAAAAGAAGCGTCGATCGATCGATCATCAATCAAAGTTTTTGTCAAAAACTTTGATTTCCTTAAAAACGAAAAAAAAATTTATTGTAAACTTTTTTCGACTTTTCAAAAAAAAATTTTTCTTAAAAATTTTCTTGATTTTTTTCGATTTTTTTTTGATAATGAATTTTTAAAAAATAAAAAATTGAGTAAAAAGTGAAAAACAAATGAAATTATTGATTTTTGAATGGATTAGGGTGAGTTTAAGGGACAAAAACCTTGTTCCCTTATTTTTTCCAAAATTTCAATCAATTGGTCCGGGAAAAACCGTTGAACCGATCGCTCCAGGGATTTAGAGGGTTCTTTAAGGAACAATAGACTGTAAAATTTTCCTCAAACCTTAGCTTTCCCGCCCATATGAGCGATATTATTCAATGTTAGAGGTGGAAAAATTTTTTTCTTCACTAACTCTTGACTGTGCTTAATTGGAAATTTTATGCAGATAAAGAAACTCGGCGCCCGCTTGCTGTGCGACCAGTAGTTCCAGAGATATTAGCAGTTGAATGGAAAAGGATGCTTTTGCATTCAAAGTTCGATATCCGGAGACAAATGGTCTAGCCATCCAAAGCGATTTTTGAAGCTGAATAAATATATATGGAGTAGCTCGAAAAATTATGTTCTTGCCCATAGAGTGAAAAACATAACCTAGAAAATTTAGAAAAAAATTATTTTCAGCTTTGTTTAAGAATTGCATGGAAACCGGAGCTCAAAAAAATTTTTTACCAAAAAATCTGAAAACTGGAGTTTTTAAGCTTCAAAACCCTTTTTTTTAAATTTCCTGTACGATTATTTTTCACTGAAATACAGCCTGTTGAAAATCACCCAAAAATTTCAAAAATTTTTATGTTCCCTTAATTTTTGCGAGTAGTGTATTATATTAAGTGTCAAATGGTAACAAACTGATGCATTCATTTTCACATTTGTAATATTAGTAAAGACATATTTATTTAATTAACTTTTCAATTCATATTTATGAGTTTGAAAAACTGGTAAACTCAACAGACAAAAAGGATGATGTGATATGATAAAAATAAATATTATTATGTAATCATAGTCGATACAAGATATCTATATTAATTTTGGGTTGATTTTAAGGATTTTTTTGCAATTGCATGTTTGCTCTTACATTAATTGTTTCATGGTGGAAATTCTTTTTTTTTTTTATCTTAAATTATTAAATCTACGATAATTAAATAAAAAAAAATATTAAAGTCACTGGAGGAGGCCTTTGTGTCTTTTTTCACTGGACAACAGTCACTGGGTCAACATAACCTTTTGGTTAAGTTGACCCAGTGACTGTTGTCCAGTGTGTATTAATAGTATAATTATAATTTATTATCAATAAATAAAGGCCTTAAAATAGAAATTATTAAAGTGATTTAAAAAATAATAATGATGCCTTCAAGAAAGAAAGTACATTTTTCTTATCCTACAAATTATCTTAAATAAAAATCAAATCATACCATGGTAAGTTTATAGGTTTTATCTCCTCCTCTTCATCAGTGCCTTCCACTTTCAACTTCACATTCAGTAGTTCTGAGAAGTATTCACTTTTCACAATCTTCAATAGACCATCAGCCTCACACTTGGAGCCTGTGATGCGGAATGCTGTTGGTAGGTTCTCCTTCAGAGTCTTCATAAATATTGACCATTCTTCTTCAGGGCACACTTTTTGTACCTATTATTGATAGAAATATATTTTTTAATTAATTAAAAGTGTTTATTTATGATTTAGTCTGCTTGACAGCATTTTGATTGACTGGAAAATCATAGCATATATCATTCTCTATTTTTAAAAAAATATGTCCATATCCAATTTTATAATAATTTGTTAGTGTCAAATAGTAACAAAGAAACAAACTATAATTTTTTTTTAATAAAATTTTTGTGGAGAATTTAGTACACCTGTGAGACTATGCCATCCTCATATGGATTGTCTGAAAGTCAGTCTGTCAGTCCATCAGGGACACCTTTACCCACAGATATAGCCATTTTACATAATTATATATTATATATATATATATATATATATATATATATATATATATATATATATATATATATATATATATATATATATATATATATATATATACAAAGGAATTACAACACAGGTTTTGATAAATATCATAATAAAGCCAATTTTATGGGTTCTATCGGATAGAGTTGCTTGGGAGGATCACTTTATTTGTGATGTTTTTTGTATGTTGTCCCTTTCTGAAATACAGAAGCCTGAGTAACAATTTTTCTAAGGCCTGGTAATGTTTTGGGGTGCTATAACTCAAAGTGAGGAACCCTAATAGACGGACTCGTAAAGGTGGGGTTATTGTGACAGACAAAAATCGTCAAAATTATTATATCTAGGCCTATTACGCTTCTAAGTGTATACTCCAACTCTTCAACCTCACTTATTGTCTCTCACAATTGATTACTATTCCATTGGAATGTATGAAAATAGACCGACTCCTCATATATAGTGAACAACAATAACAACAAAATTACCTTGTAATATTCCTCGAACGCCGCATTTTCTCTGACAATATCTTCATAATGTTTACGTGTATCACCAGCAGGCTTTTCTTGAGGATTTTTTTCCTGTAAAGCACTTAAAAATGTATTAACTAATCGGACTAAATTAAAGTAATAAAAAAGTAAAATACATTCTTATTTACCTGTTCCCTACGTTCCCTTTTGCGTTGAGCGAATTTATTGACATTACGATTTCTTCTACCCATTCTTTTTAAGTACGCTCCGAGAGAAAGTAATCTTTTTTGTGATAAATTTATGAACATAAACATTCAATTAAACACATTTATTTTGACATTCGGTTTGATGACGGAAAGACGGAGTTAGGTTATGTTTAGGGATGCAGATAGGATTTACAAATATTAACAATCACTAGATTGAAACCCAATTTTTTTTTTTATTGCCGCATTCAATTTTCTATTTATAAAACTAAACTTACTATTTTATATTACGCTGAAAATATTATTAATACCAAGGATAATAAGAAAAATAAATAAAACCAAGCATTACAGTTAATTAAATTTCTTTGAGTCAATGTTATTTTTAATTTACTATTTAGTTTAAGAGATTAAATAAAAATGGAATATTTATTCTGTATTATGATATAAATTTAGACCGCGAATAAATACACACATCAAAAAAGTCTAAGTAACAGATACAAATTTCAATTTTATAATGTGTTTTCGCATTAAATCCTTAGTATTTTTTTATTTATATTATTTTTTATTGCTTTTTTGATATTAACCATAGACTTTTTTTTTTCATTTATTGTGACTTTGGCGAAAGCCATCAGCCAAAAAGTAACAATTACAAGGTAACAATATAAAATTACAAGACAAATTACAAAAATTATTATAGTTATAAATTAATTATAATATACTAAGAAAGTAAGTTAAGTAGAAAAGTATAGGTTACTATTACATATTTAAATTTCACCAATTGTTGAAGTAATATAATTAAAAATTTCTTGATACAAAATGGTATGTTTTAGTAGATCCTGCACTGAAGTAGGAATATTTTGACATTTTAATAAATCTTGACATTGACAAATAAAAAGTAACCGTTGAAGTGAGAATTTAGGACAAACAAAAAAATATGATCCAAATCAGAAAAAATGTTTTGGCAGTATTTACAGATAGAATTATCCAATAAATTAATACGTTGCAAATGTGCAGGAAATTTACAATGACCTATCCGCAATCTACTTAATGTAGTATAATATTGTCTACCAAGAAAAACATTAGATTTTTCAAACCAATATTGTAACCAGACAATTTACAGATTTTGTTAGAATCAAACCAAGTATCATTTAGTAATCATTTAGTAAAATGATATCAAAATGTGATGTAAAGTTGTAAATAAAGTTTTTAAATTGAAATATTTTAGACAGAAAGCTTCTTGAGTTCCAATGAACAATATTAATTTCCTTTAAAGATGTAATGGTCATGTTGAAAAATTAGATATGAGTATTTCCTTAATTAATTTGGATGAAATTGTATCAGAATTAGTTTGAGCTTTCTTAACTAGCTCAATAACAGTCTTAGTAATTGTGTTGAGTACAATGTCCGAGTTAATGATGTCAGTAACTAATGCCCTTTTTTGAGGAGATTTATTTTGCGTTGAACTGTTAATAGACACAGGGGTATTTGAATTAATTACAGAGTTAACCGATTTTGAAGTCACTGATGCATAAGATGTTTCGCCTAGAATTTTATCTTTGATTTGAGACAATTTCATCGATTTAGTGGGACAGCTATTAGATACTGCTACATGTTGTCCATTACAATTAACACATTTAAGATTCTCTTTGTTGATACAGGATCTATAATCATGGGCACCGGCACATATGGAACAAACTTGCTTTCTTCTGCAGGAACTGCTTCCATGACCAAATTTGTAACAAGTGAAGCATTTGAGTAGAGGTCTAATGAATTCACGCACATCCAGCCAAATATGATCATACGTTACGTGATCAGGTCGCTGCGTAGAGAGGAAAGTTACTAAAACTGTAGGAAGAGGATGAAAACTTCCATCTTCTTTCTTTTTTTTGAAACGTTTAACACCGATGATATCTACAGTAGATTTTAAGTTATTTAAAAGATCTTCCTCAGATATTTCAGTAGGAGCTCTTATAACTCCCTGAGATTCCAGCTGATTATTGGGTATCCTAGCCTGAAGTTTATGTTTCTCTAATAAATCTTTATTTAATAAAAATTCGTTAGCCTGTTTCATTGATCGAAAACATATTTTGAATGCAGTAGGACCCATAGTACGAATATAGAATACACCAGGTACAGTTCTCAGAATAGAATTGACTTGCAATAAATTTACATTGTTGCCCTCAATAGGAGACAACAGGATAAAATATTCATTTTTAGTAGTGTCAGAATATAGGTAATTTTGATCTTTAAACAGTCCTCTTTTTGAGAGAGTAAATTTAATACTCATCTTAGCATCTGGCTCTTCATCAGATATGGAAGTATTTTTTTTTCTTTTTAACTTGCCTCCGCTTGACTCGCACATATCCTCCTTAACTAAACCTTAACATAATAATGTTTGCCAAAAATCTTTAGCGTATATTTATGTTTTTTTTTATGATATATAATTATAAATTTTTATGGGTGCTGTATTAACAATGTAAGTAGTTTTTATTAATTTTTTATTAACCATAGACTTTGTACAAAAGTCGATTGCTTGAGTACCTCTGTCCCATTTGTGTTTCAACCGTGAAGCAATTGTGTTTGTATGGCTGTGTTTCGGTTTGAAGGGTGGGATATGGCGTGAATTTACTGGGTACAGAGGAATAACACCTGAGGACTCAGGAATGGCAACGCATGGGGGGTATCATGGGCGAAACAATATACTCTATTATGTCCATGGTACTGCTCATGTCTATAGGCGACGGTTACCACTTTCCATCAGGTGGACTGTCAGTTTGTTTGTCATTCTAAGTTGTATAAAAAAAATTTAAACAAAAAAAATTTTTTTATTTATTTTTTTATAATCTTAATTAACAATAACTACGAGTAAGTACTGTATGTACGTAGTACAAGGTAAGGTGTCTAATCAACTAAACTTAAATTAAAATTAAATGGTTGTATAAAAATTGCATAAATTATTACAAAATGTAGCCTCCTCTGTTATGGAGAACTTGCTGGCACCGATTTTGTAGAATCGATGAAACTATTATCTGAAACTGTTATCCTGCGGCAATTGTTCCCAATGAAATTTTAGTAAGGCCATCAGTTGTTGGGTTGTTGTCACTCTATTTAAGTCCTTTAAAACACGTCTCTGGAACATGTCCCATGTATGCTCGATGGGGTTGAGGTCTGACGATTGTGCAGGCCAAGACAATACTTGGATGTTTTCCCTTGTCAAGTACTCCCGTGTGTGCAAAGCTGTATGCGAACGCGTATTGTCATGCATCAACGTAAAATCGGAGCCAAGCGTTTGTGCGAATGGACGGACATAAGGCCTTAGAACATCCTCAACGTAATTTATAGCGTTCATGTTACCATTTACAAAAACGAGCTCAGTTCGTCTGTTCTTCGTAATAGCCGCCCATACCATAAATGTTGAGCCGTTGTATGGATGCACTTCCTAAACGCACCTCAGTGTTACAGTATTTCCAGGATGACAATACACTCTTCCCTTGTAGTATCAGTCTTGAACCCAAATCGAGACTTATCGCAAAATAAAATTTTATCCCATTGTTCCCAGGTCCATGTAATGTGTTTCCTACGCCATTCATTTCAACGAGCGCGATTCCCGTGACGTATCGGTGGGCACCTAATTGGCCATCGTGCTCGTAGGCCATACTCATGCAGTCGAGTCGCATAGTTTGGCAGCTAACAACAACACCACTTGAATTTTGTAGCCTTAAACCTATCTCTTGGGCGGTTAACATCAGCTGGTGTCTTGCAGTCAGTTGTATGTATCGATCTTGCCGTGTGGTTGTACACCTTTCTTGAACTGGGTGCTGCTCAGCAGGATCTCCCGTGTTAGTGTAACGCTGATGAAGACGGCGAATAACGCTTCTGTTGACACCAAAATACCGAGATACCTGAGATTGACTTCTTTACGCTTGCAACATCCCTACAGCTCTTTGCATTCCATCTGCGTTCAAATGACGTCGCTCCATGACGTAAAAAATATCGAAAATCCAAATTTGTTCAAAACTTTTTTCAAATTATTGTTTAAATCATAAAATTGGTACAGAATACTAAGTCTTAGTAAGAAAAGAAAATGCTATAAAATTCGAACAAATGCATTCGTTTTTGAATTTGTGAAAAAAAAAAAAAACAACTGATCCTTGATTTTTTTTACAACTAGCCAGTATGTCCTCTAGATCATTAAAGTTCACATAGGTATTACCTACTTGGTAAGAAATGTTATATTTGATTAACAATTTGAAATAGTATGTGTTGCTTAGAATTTTTTGATGTGTTTATTTTTTTAGCAAGAGCTCGAACTTGATTGATACTGTCACCTTTTTAGGGTTCCGTAATAAGACTAAACTTTTACCAAATAATAACTTTTAAAGTAAACTTTTTTTGGACGTAAAAGTGACCTCTGTTATAGTTATCTTTATCCTATTAACTAAAACTACATGAAATGAAAAAGGAAATAAAAATATGTAATTATTTAAAAATAATATATTTTTACCGATTAATAATCAAAAACAGAATTAAGAAATTCACTGCCTAAATCATTATAATCACTACCATCACTTTGATTATTTTCTTAAAGTTGTTACATATACTTCTGGAAAACAAAAAACAAAAACATTGTAATATTGAATTTTACAAGAATTGTTTATGTCAATCCTTTTCAGATTTCGAATTAAATCCTTAATCTTTTGTTTTGGTTCATCGTGTAAACCATCTGGATAACAAATAAATGAAATGCATGTAAAAGTCTTCTAAAAACTGTTACATTTTACATGTAATTATTTTTATGAGCGCTAAAAAATCAGTCGGATATCAAAATCTGAATACGTATATATCAATAATCATATAAATATATTTGTTGACGGAACAATTTCCTTGAAAATTCGTTGTTTTTTCACAAGTACTTGCTGCATGTCACTTTTATCCAACCATAATTCTTTATCATGGTAAATAACATGCCCGAACACTACTTTTAATAGATTTAGCAAGTTTAAATGCAAAATTAAGAAACAAATATGTGACGAAAGAATCAGGGATACTTAGTTTGACAAATAAAAAAGTTGTCAGTATGAAAGTTTACAAAAATGATGAGTGACACGACTCGCTGGCCAAAATCTACAATCGATATTCATTAATAATTAGATACACTAACTGATACCGGTTTTGTTAGTATGGCAACACAGAATTAAAAAAAAATATAATTTTGTAATTGTTTGTAAATACTGTTTATTATTCTTATTATTTATATTTTTTATTATAATGTGTTATTTGTTACATAATTAAAGTTGAAATAGACGAATTTTATGTGTTATTTATATCAGAAAAAATCTATATAATAACAATATTCTGTATTTCTGTAAGTTTATTTTTGTATTGAACCTGCAATTATTTATTAAAAAATATATGATAAATAAAACAAAATGAATGATATAGGTGTTATATATATGATTATTCCACAAGCGATCTAGTGTTTGTACTATTTTCCTAAATAATAAATCACTTTGAAAATTGTTTACCCAAGTTTGTTGTCAAATATCATCAGTTGATGTACTCTATGCCATTAATATAAGAGCCATTATATGTTATACATTTTTCAATGGTTCTTATCACTTATTATCACTTTTATTTAAACCTATTGTCATTATTTCGTTATCATTGGAGTCTGAGTGGAGCTGATAAGGAAACCTAATGAATTAGAAGCATTCTGTAGTTCCTTATATACTTACTGTTTTTTGTTGTTTTCATATTCAATTGTGAGTACCATTCTTTTTATTTTATTTTTTTATTTATAATAAATATTCTTCGACATATCCACTTGGCACCATCTAGTTCTAAACTAAGCAAGGCTTACTATCTGGGCTACATTATCTATTTAGCAGTGTGAGCAATTGCCCAGGCTACCCAGGCTAGGCTAAGGGCCCTACATCCCGACAAAAGTGTTCCTTATTAGTAGTTCTGTTCACATATTATAATCTTATTTTGAATTGAAAAGAATTCAATTTTAAATGTCAACAAAATTCTTATAATAATTTTTATTTAGAACTACATTCTTTTTTTTTTGCTGAAGTGGCAGTTGGCTGGTCATGTAGCTCAAAGAACTGACAACCAATAGCGCAGACAGGTTTTTAAGTGGCAACCCCATACACGTAAATGCAGTGTATGACTCTCTCCAACTAGATGAAGTAATGATCTCAAATGTGTTGTAAGGAGTCAGTGGATGCAGGTAGCTTGGGACTGCTCCTTATTGCAGTCTATGAGGGAGGCTTATGTTCAGCAGTGGACGGATAATTGCTGATATGGCAATGATAATTTTTTTTATAATTTGTATGTGGTGTCTTGTACTGTGAATAAATTAAGAATAGCATTTGCCTTTATAATATAAGTTTAACTTGTTCAACAGATTATATGCTACAATGAGTCCACCAAAAGGTTTCCAGTTTGCCATTGACCGTGGGGGTACATTCACTGATGTGTTTGCACGCTGTCCCAATGGAAAAATTCGTGTCATGAAGTTACTGTCAGTAGACCCACAGAACTATGATGACGCGCCTAGGGAGGCTATCAGGAGGATTTTACAGGAGGTATAATTTTTTAATCTCATTTTCGCTGTGGCTTCCGTATAACTAGGTTGTCCATGGTTTTCGTACCTCACAGGACATGTAAGATTCGTCAAATTGGTTTATCAGAGATACCAGCACTGCTTGCCATTGACATACATTTTGAATTTTAAGACTTTACTATTTTAAAGCAACATTCTTACATAGAGGGGAAAGGGATTGTTATGAATAGGGTTTAACAAATCTATCGCTTACTTATACTCAAGTTTTGCAAATAAAAATCTTGAATCAGTAAAAATACACCCTATCAGGTCTACATCCAAACATTTCTACCTGGAACCATTGTGGTGGAGTTCATCTCGATAAGCTTACTAATCAGTTTTTATGCTCATCTATGATTCCTTATTGACACCCCACCAGCATATACTGAGGAGTGGTTACAATTCCATTATAACACTTTAAAATTGGTTATTTGATTACAATAATTTTGTTCAATTTCGTTAATAATGGTTCTTGTAAGGCCAGTTATGTTGCGCTTTTTACTATATATATATAATATAATTGCTAATTAAATACTGGTTCATCTTATGAATAATGGTAGTTGACATCCTTAGAAAACGCCATGGACATGTTAATGCCCAGTAATTTTTCCGTATTTGCCGTATACTACTCTTCAAACCGAACCAAGCCATGCAAGCACAATTAATGTTTAACGGAAGAATTCCTAGTTGGACACGAGTACCCAAGCAGATATTAATATTTAAATAATAAATAAATTTATCTACAATTATCTCAGTTCTGCCAAGGCCATCTCGTCATCCATGACTTATTATTTATATAGAGATCATGCTACGAGTAATACGGTATGTAGGTATTAAACATTATTTATTAAGAGAAACAGGTTGATAATAAAAATGCTTGATATTGTAGTTCTCTTTATCTCGTCTTCATCAGTCGGAAAACATAAAGGCTAGATATGACAGAATTGTAAAATATAAGACAATAGAAAATCAGTATAAAAATATAAAAGGCGAATTATGATGGCCAGTAATACGCCACATCAGTTTTTAAAAATTATTGAATATAAAAAGTGCTCTGCTACCGAACTAAAACGTTAATCATAGGATACGTTGCATATAAATCTACTTACTATGAAAAATACATTGCATCTATTTTATATTGTACTTTGGAATTTTTCGAATGCAGTTTTGCCATGAATGTCAAAATTTTCATTGAGAATTTAATAAGCATTGCATGATTGATATTTTATTTCGCTTGGCTATCGATGGCTTCTAGGGAGGACCACGTGAAGGTCGACCTGACAGGGTATATTGCCAGCAATGGAATTGCTAGTCCGCGTTACTAACAATTCCTTCCCTCCCAATGGAATGCCTATTTTATTGGTTTACATTGACGTGATATCATTGCGGGTTGAAAAAAAAAACAATAACTTTCAATCTTTCATCGCACAAAATTATCATTGGTCATTGGTATTTTTGACTAAATAACGAGATTGTGGCGACAAGAGTACTGTCGGAAATCCCTGATGACCTTTATTTTTGTTTTATCACCTTGGTACGTCGTCAAAAATTTTCCCTAGGGATACAGGTTTATTTTAATGGGTGTAAATGGAATGGTAAATTTGCTTACGATATATTACGATAGGCGGGAATGGGGCCCCGTTACTAACAATCTTATTCCCCGCACTAGGGAGACAGGTATGTCAGAGCCGGCTCTGGTAGTAGGTATTTGTTAAGCTATGTATATATTATAAATTCTACTAATACTCTTCCAGAAAAACAAACACACACACACACACCCACATACACACAAACACACGCACGCACTCTACTAATTAATTTATATATTTGCACCGCTATTTATCGGAAATCTACATTACCTTAACAAACTAAGTACAATAGATGTCCTTGCGTTGGCAGCCAGGTAATCTGTAAGACAGGTAATCCCAGTACCGACATTAGTCTCTCACAGAGATTGTTTTGAATTGTAACCTATGTAGGTGTAAGTTTTATTATGTTATGGGTAAAATAAAATAAAATGATAAAAAAAAAAGTCGAAAGTGGGAATGTAAGAAGAGATTGCTCAGCGATAAGGCGATATACCTTTTGTATAATTTCTTATTACAGTTAAATATATTTACTATTTTATAAATGGTGCAATAAAGTGTAAATAAATAAATAAATGTCATCCAATGTATTTATTTCACAGGAAACCGGCAATGCTCTGGATGAAGATGGTAAAGTGAACACGTCCCTCATAGAGTCGATAAGAATGGGTACCACAGTGGCTACTAACGCGCTGCTCGAGAGGAAAGGCGCCAAAATGGCGCTTGTAATTAACAAAGGCTTCAAAGACCTGTTGTACATCGGCAATCAAGCGAGACCACACATATTTCAGCTGGTAAGTATTAACCGACTTCGAAAAAGGAGGGAGTTCTCAATACAGTGGTATTTTTTTTATGTTTGTTCCTTCATAACCCTGTCAGTTATAAATCTATTATTTATATTGTTTATTTTATTTGAAAGGATATACTTTTATATTAGTCTCATTGAAATTTGATCAAATTCGACTCAGTATTTGATTTAACAATAACTAACCACGATGGTTTCCAACCGCGTCGTGGTCGACCCGATAGGGTATATTGCTAGCAATAAAGCTGTTAGACCTCATTACTAAAAATCTTATTCCAAAATCGTTCTTATTGCGAAGTAAAATCTACTGGAAGATATGTATTTTGTATTCTAAATTAAAATATTTTTAATTTATTATGTTTATTTTAGCGCAAAAAAAAAATCAATGCCAAAAATATGTTTATTAGAGGTTAGAAGCTATCTTCTATACTTATAATAAATCTGTAGAGAGGTCAATTCTGTACATGAAATATATTTCCAAAATAACTATCAGGAGGTGATTAGTGATCGATTGTTGTCATTTTAAGATGTAAAAAAATATTCTTCATACTCCTGGGCAGGTTATAGTATAGTTTTCATCACGCTACGATCAATAGGAGCAGAGCAGTGAAGGGAAATGTTAAAAATGTCCACCCGTGCGACGCCGGGACGGGCCGCTAGTTATGAATAAGGGGAGAATAGAATTTATTTATTTATTTACTAGTACATATTTGTGTATAAGGCGAACTTAATGCTAGAAGCATTCTCTTCCAGTCAACCATAGGGAAGTGTCAGGTCAGGTCGACCTCCACGTGGTTCCCTCTGGAAACCATCGTGGTTAATTCTAGTGCAATTCATCACGATGGACTAACTGACCGGCTTTCACCGTCACCTATAATCCCTTACTGGTGCCCCACCAGCGTATACCGTTAGCGCAGGCGGGCTTACCATTCTATTATCATCCATTAAAAGAAAAAAATAAATAAAGGGTATTACTTACATGTATATAAACAAAAATATACTATATGCAACTTTAATTTTTTTTTTCAGGATATAAAGCGCCCCAGCGTGTTATATACTGAGGTGGTAGAAGTGGACTGCCGCGTCATTCCAGCATTGGAGGACAGATGTCAAATGAAGAAATCCTGGCCATCAGTCACCGGCACCACTGGAGAGAAGATTCTTATTGTCAAGGAAGTAGATGAGGAGGAGGTACGGCGTGACTTGAAGGCGTTGAAAGAGAAAGGGATAGACAGTATAGCTGTCGTCCTCGCGCATAGTTACACGTATCATGACCACGAAGTGAGAATAGGGAAAATTGCGAAAGGATTAGGTAAGTTATGTATGTACAGATTTTTTTTTTTTATATAACTTAGAATGGCAAACAAACTGACGACCCACCTGATGGAAAGTGGTAACCGTCGCCTATAGACATGAGCAGTATCATGGACATAACAGAGTATTCTATTTCGCTCACGATACCCCCCATGCGTTGCCATTCCTGAGGACTCAGATGTTATTCCTCTGTACCCAGTAAATTCACGCCATATCCCACCCTTCAAACCGAAACACAGCCATGCAAACACAACTGCTTCATGGTTGAAACACGAATGGGACAGAGGTACCCAAGCAATCGACTTTTGTACAAAGTTTAATAAATAAATGTATTATTTAACAACAGGGTTCAGCCAAGTGTCGCTGTCGCACGCAGTGACGTCGATGGTCCGCATGGTGCCGCGCGGGTTCACGGCGAGCGCGGACGCGTACCTCACGCCTCACATCAGGGACTACGTGCGCGGCTTCGCCAGCGGCTTCACCAACCACCTTGCCAACACCAACGTCTTGTTCATGCAGTCCGATGGCGGACTCACGCCTATGAATTTGTAAGTCTCTACATCTTTTCATCATATCAAGGCCTCCCCTAAGGGGGATTTTTGATTTGCCAGTAGTTGCCGCGCTTGGCAGGCAGGTTGGCAACCGCAGGTGGACCTTGCTGATGTTTTACTAGGGACGCTGCTGTCCATTTTTCGACCATTAAGTTTTCTTAGGCGCTCCTTACGACACCGAAGGTAGAGGAGGGGGCCTTTATTTATTATTTATATAAAGTAGTTAAATCCTATGACATGAGCATATAGACATGAGCAGTACCATGGACATAACAGAGTATACTGTTTCGCCTATGATACCTCCCATGCGTTGCCATTCCTGAGGACTCAGGTGTTATTTCTCTGTACTCAGTAAATTCACGCCATATCCCACCCTTTAAATCGAAACACAGCCATGCAAACACAACTGCTTCACGGTAGAAACACGTATGGGACAGAGGTACCCAAGCAATCGACTTTTGTACTAAGTCTCCCTCTGGCATATCTCAAGAGTAATGAAATATTTATGTTTTAGATTTAATGGATCCCGCGCCATTCTGTCGGGCCCCGCCGGTGGAGTGGTAGGCTACGCCATGACATCTTATCAAAAGGAGACGGGCCTTCCAGTGATTGGTAATTTGATGCTTTAAAAAAATAAATAAAAACAAACAAAAAAACTTCGTTTGGTAGTCGCTTGAAAAAGGGATTCTGGTTGTTATTTTTTTTTTTTAATATAGGAATGGAAAGGTAGGTAGGTATCTAAGCTATCGGTATGATAATATAGCAGAGTGTACTTACTGGTATTTAGTTAGTTAGTCCATTTTTTTTATTGGTAGAAAATGGAATAGTAACCCCACCTGCGCTATCGCTGGCGGGGCACCAGTGAAGGGTGATAGATGAGAATGAAAACAGGCCAGTTAGATAATATATCAGGAATTAACCATGATAGTTTCCAGGGGGAATCGCGAGGAGGTTGACTTGGTTGGGTATATTGCTAGCAATGGGATTCTCAATCTCCATTACTAACAATCCCTTTCCCCCCCAGTTAGTCCATTGTGATGGATTTGAAGAATAATGAATATAATAATGTTGTAAATAGCAGGATGCAGTAATAAAACATATATGTATTTGTGATATAAAATAATAAGTTTAGTGAAAAAATACGAGACATGTCTTATAAAAATCTGACACAGAACAAGCTTCAAAATAATACATTGTTCTAAAAAACCTCAGTGTCAACAGCCAGTATTAAAACTTTAACACGCCCTCTTAATCCTGGATGTTGACCAGCAACTGTTTGACCGCTGACTGATTGCCGCAATATATTACGATAGCGTTAATATGCCCCGTCACCTCGGAGAGTAAGACACGGACGTACACCACTTCTCTTACCGCCTCCAATAATACTATATACTCCGCCTCGGTAAACGAAGCCTTTTTCACCACTCGACAATCACGCGATATGAAATTATTCATCAGATCACGCCGTTCAGTCACATAATTTGTGGCTCCTGAGTTAATTTGCAACGAATTTTCTGTATCCGCAAGCAGTGTATATCGACAAAACACAGTAAAAAACTCTTTTCACTGCGACTTTTTTTTAAGATGCCATTTCTGTCTACACTTTCAGCACCACGGTTCCTTCTTATGATAATAAGACTGCTTCGCATTCCTTAACTCATCTTTGTCTCCTTACGCGTCACTTGTTCCGGATGTACTCGAAGCTGAAGTGCTTTTCTTCCAAGAAAACAAGCATTCATTCGATTCACCACGAGTTATCCAACGGTTTTCTTGTAATAATTTAGTCTTCACTAAACCAACTAATATTACAATTTCCGAGTGCTCACGTGCCATGGTCATGGATTCGTACTCCAATGGGAAACCTTGCAGCATAATTGCCCAAAGAAACTCATCATCGATAGTTTTATTCGTACTTGCTAACTGTAGAACATACAACAAAACTTGATCGACACACGCCTCCATATCAACAAAGTCTTCCAGTTTTATTGAACAAAGACGACGTAACGTCTTCAATCTCATACCAAGACCTTTGTCATCATATGCACCTTCCAGAGCATTCCAAACTTGATTTGCAGTTTTAGCTCTCATGAGATGAGAAAAAAAAAAAAACTTTTTCAACACAAATCAATGATTTTTCCTTGTCGTCCAGTCGTTTTCTGATTTTAGGTTACAAGCTATCATTTGCACTATATTCACAAATACATTTTCATATATTTTCAAAAGTAAAAGCATTCTGCATAACAAATTTTCAATCTACATTGTTCACGCGTCCTTTAAGTTTTTCAAAGGAGATCGGCGAATTACTCTTGTTAAATATCGTGAAAATTTTCTACTTACAGAGCTGGCCCATAACCTGTTGTAAATAGCAGGATGCAGTAATAAAACATATATGTATTTGTGATATAAAATAATAAGTTTAGTGAAAAAATACAAGACATGTCTTATAAAAATCTGACACAGAACAAGCTTCAAAATAATACATTGTTCTAAAAAACCTCAGTATCAACAGTCAGTATTAAAACAACAAATAATAATACGTCTCTGTGCTTCTGCCGGGGGTGGTCATGTTATTAATATATATATATTAATTTTTTTTATAAACTTAGAATGGCAAACAAGCTGACGGAAAGTGGTAACCGTCGCCTATAGACATGAGCAGTAGCATGAACATAACAGAGTATACTGTTTCGCCCATGATACCCCCCATGCGTTGCCATTCCTGTGGACTCAGGTGTTATTCCTCTGTACCGTGTAAATTCACGCCATATCCCACCCTTCAAACCGAAACACAGCCATGCAAACACAACTGCTTCACGGTTGAAACACGAATGGGACAGATATCGACTTTGTACAAAGTCTCCCTCTGGTCATGTTATTAATATATATATATATATATTAATATATTTTATTACCAGGTTTCGACATGGGCGGCACGTCGACGGACGTGTCTCGTTATGCGGGCGCATTGGAACACGTCCACGAGGCCACCACGGCTGGAGTCACCATACAGGCGCCGCAGCTCGGTTTGTCAGTTTGTTTACTAGCTTTTTGCCCGTGATTTTGTACTGTTAGTGTTTAATTAAAAAAAAAAAAAAAAACTATTTCCCACACGCCGAAATTATTTATTTTATTTTTATTTTTATTTTATTTTATTTTACTTTGAAAGGGAAACATACAATATCTAAAACATATAAAAAAGTATACATAACCATAACATAAATCAGTAAAGTTTCCACAATAAACTAAACTAAATAATCGAGAGCAGATGATTATTAATATTATATATGATATATTATTTAATTTTTTTTTTGTACACAGCTAATAGTACACTTTCATTGATTTGAAGGTTCACTTTGACTTGCGACGCGCGAGACCCTTGGTTCAGGGTTTTATTGCGCCTAGATGAATCTAACTAGTTAGTTTTACTGGCCAGACCGGCGGGCAGAAACCGGAGGGCCTACCATGAAATGGTTTCCGAAATTTCCGAGCCGAACGAAATACAAATTTGTTGTTAAAATTACATTATACTTACCGTTTAAAAACATTAAAAATATATTAATTATTCCTTTGGACTTTTATGATAAGATTTATCGGCGAACGAAGTGTTAAGCTCCATTTACTGGGCCGATTTAGGTATGAATAAAAACACGAAATTGAGTCCGAAACTTCGGAATTTCATTTCGTGGTAGGCCCCCAGGTCCGTAGTTGGACAGTAATTTGTTTAGCTAAATTACGACTGATTGATTTAGAGTTTATATAGACATAATACTGCTGATTTAATTGGGAATAAATGATATTGCTAGTCAGCAATAATATGTCTATATGCTAAGGTTTTTTTTTGGTGGATGTAAATGGGATGGTAATCCCGCCTGCGCTACCGGTATACGCTGGCGGAGCACCAGTGAAGGGTGATCGATGAGAATGAAAACAGGCCAGTTAGCCCATCATAATGAATTCATCAGGAATTAACCATGATAGTTTCCAGGGAGAACCGCAAGGAGGTCGATCTGGTTGGGTATATTGCTAGCAATGGGATTTTTAGTCTCCATTACTGACAATCCCTTTCCTCCCTATATGCTAGCGTTGTAACAGTATGCGTGGATCTTAGAAAAATAGGAGGTCGCTTTGCATTTTGGTGGCCAACAGACCGAGTCGTCGTCTTACGTGTAAAGGGTACTAGACGTGTCACAACACATATTTTGTTCTTTCGATAAACTATAAATAATGAAATAATTATATATAAATATATATGTTATAAAAAAAGAAAGACGAAGAAAGAAATAATTTATATAAGTACCCGCATGTCGGTATAACGATTTCAGGCCATTTCATAATACACGATGACCTCTCGATGACGGTTTTACGTGCCCTCCGAAGGGTGAAGAGTGATTATATTTGAATGGTGTGCAGACATCAACACGGTGGCGGCGGGCGGCGGGTCGATGCTGTTGTTCCGGTCGGGGCTGCTGGTGGCGGGGCCCGAGTCCGCGGGGGCGCAGCCCGGGCCTGCGTGCTACCGCAAGGGCGGCCCGCTCGCGCTCACCGACGCCAACCTGCTGCTAGGTACGTGTAGTGCACGCTGTGTCAATGTGAATGTGAAAAAGACTCCATTTTCCGCGCTTAGCCTCTCATTTGGGCCGTTGTGCGTATGAGTCGTGGCTAGTACAGCCAACCTAGCTCCGCCCAGAAGCGCAGAAGCTTCCTGGGATCTTCACAGGGAGCGACCTCACCGTTCCGAGGATTTCTAAACGTTGATGGGCCACAGCCTCACATTCCAGGATTACGTGAGCACCTGTTTCTTCGGCGTCGAAACAGCCTCGACATAGAGCGCTGTCTGTGGCTCCTATTTGTATAAATGTTTGTTTAATGCCCAATGGCCCGTTATTGTCCCTATCATTATTTTGAGGTTTTTTCTATCTAGATGTAATAAACGTTTTGATAGTCGTTGATTCAACGTAGGTACGGCCAATTTTGATTGTCTGCAATCAGTAGCCTGTATCCATCTTTGGTTTTATATGTCAGCGGATCTTTGACGAATCCATATTCGAAGTCCCAGCACACACTATGTTAGGCTACCGCCATGTTTTTTTTTTTATGGATGATAATGGAATAGTAACGTGCGCCTGCGTTCACGGTATACACTGACGGGGCACCAGCGAGGGATGATAAAGTGAGGATGGAAGCAGGTCAGTTGACCTATAGTGATGAATTCTTAAAAAAACAATCAAGATGGTTTCCAGGAGGTTTTCCATGTGGAGGTCGACCTGATAAGGCATATTGTTAGCAATGGGACCTCTAGTCCCATTACTAACAATTCCTTTCCGCCCGCTACTACCGTGTTAGGCTATCGTCAGCTTAGGCTAGCGCTATTGTAGGCTATTGTCACATTAGGTGAGCTTACCCACATACAAGAGTCTCTCCATTACCTCTTTCAAGGAAAAGTTGATATTACCTTTTCTTTCCCTCGATTCATAACTTTTTTTTTTTAATTTAACTTCATGTGTGTCTTTAGAATGTTCTTAAAAGTTGCTGCAAATAAAGAGCACTTATATGGTTATATATAGACAGTATTCATTATATCAGGTCGCCTCCTGCCCGAGTACTTCCCCAAAATATTTGGCCCGTCTGAGAACGAGCCACTGGACCGGGAAGCCACTGTGACCGCCTTCAAGAAGATGACCGAAAACATTAATAGTTTCTTAAGACAAGATGGCGGCAAAGAGGTATGTAGCTGCGTAGTCGCTAAATGTTATTTGTAGGGGGTTTCCATAGTTTTAGTTAGAAATTTTTGATTTGTAATATTTTTTTTTATGCAACTTAGAATAGCAAACAAGCTGACGGTCCACCTAATAGAAAGTGGTAACCGTCGCCTATAGACATGAGCAGTACTATGGACATAACAGAGTATACTGTTTCGCCCATGATCCCCCCCCCCCCCATGCGTTGCCATTCCATTAAAGAGTATCTAGCGAGTAATAATAATAATTTCTATTACGGATAACAAGGATCCATTTTTGTTAGTAACAATTGATTTAAACTATCTTAGTAGAAAAAAAACAAAGCAAATCATTTTATGGCCCCTATAATAATTTTGACCCACAATGGGAGGATCGGGCTATCGTATTTATTACATAATGCCCTCAGAATGCTGTTACTGCTGCCACGCAATCGGTATAAAAGAGGTACGTCTGATGGCATAGTATATATAGAGTAATATTGGCCATGTTTTATTTTCGAAAAACCGTTTAAAGCCAGGTCTACCAGAGGGAGACTTTGTACAAAAGTCGATTGCTTGGGTACTTTTGTCCTATTCCTGTTTCAACCGTGAAGCAGTTGTGTTTGCATGGCTGTGTTTCGGTTTGAAGGGTGGGATATGGCGTGAATTTACTGGGTACAGAGGAATAACACCTGAGTCCTCAGGCATGGCAACGCATGGGGGGTATCATGGGCGAAACAGTATACTCTGTTATGTCCATGGTACTGCTCATGTTTATAGGCGACGGTTACCACTTTCAATCAGGTGGGCCGTCAGCTTGTTTGCCATTCTAAGTTGTATAAAAAAAAAAAGGTCGAATCATTAATAATGCATAAAAAGTTTTTTTTTACATGCTAAAAGATCACTTTTGAATCACTTCGAATTTTGTTATTTTCTAGATGACTATGGAGGAGGTGGCGATGGGCTTCATTAACGTTGCTAACGAGGCCATGTGCAGACCGATCAGGTAATAAATCCTAACCTAAATGATCTTAAGGGGAGAAGGGATTGTTAGTAATGGGGAGGTTAGTTCCCATCGCTATCAATATACCTTTTCAAGTCGACCTCCACGCGGTTCCCCCTGGAAACCATCGTGAGTAATTTATCGTTGATATCGTCACGATGGGCTAACTGACCTGCCTTTTCATTCTCACCAATCATCTCTCACTGGTGGCCCGTCAGTGTATGGTATACTGATAGCGCAGGCGCGGTTACCATTCCATGATCATCCATCAAAAAAAAAAACCCAAATGAATTCATAATTTATTTATAATATCTATTTATTAATTAAGGAACACCAACAGTATATTGCATTATAATACATATAACAAACATTAAATACAATACAATATTAATGCACATGCCCACTAAAGGTATTCACAGCATTTGCTTTAACATAATTATACAGTATGAAATGAAGTAAACAGTTGGCGTGAATTAACTGGGTACAGAGGAATAACACCTGAGTCCTCAGGAATCGCAACGCATGGGGGGCATTATGGGTGAAACAGTATACTCTGTTATGTCCATGGTACTGCTCATGTCTATAGGCGACGGTTACCGCTTTCCATCAGGTGGACCGTCAGCTTGTTTGCCATTCTAAGTTGTATAAAAATAAAGTTATATGGAAATAAATAATACTAGACTACAAATATTTTAGAAGTTGCGTTATTAGTTATGGATCGATAATAATTATCTATTTAATAGATGAGAGGGTATTACTCTGTACCCTGTAAATTCACCGCCTTATCTCACCCTTCAAACCGAAACACAGGTGCCCAAGCAAACGACTTTTGTACGAAGTCTCCCTCTGGTAGATAGATTAAAAGATATGATATGATATGACGCCCCTGTGTCAGGGCACTGACGACGGCTCGGGGCCATGACGCGTCGCAGCACGCGTTAGCATGCTTCGGCGGCGCCGGCGGACAACACGCCTGCGCAGTCGCACGGCGGCTCGGCGCCTCGCTCGTGCTCGTGCACAAGTACGCCGGTGAGTTACATTACTAACTGTAACTGAGGTGGGGACGAAAGGGATTGTTAGTAATGTAGTCTAACTGACCCATTGCTAGCAATACATTGCTAGCAATACCATCGTGATTAATCAGGTCAATTAGCTGCTATTTTTTTTTGATGGGTGAAAATGGTATGGTAACCCCGCCTGCGCTAACGGGATACGCTGGCGGAGCACCAGTGAAGGGTGATAGATGAGAATGAAAACAGGCCAGTTAGCCCATCATGGTGAATTCATCAGGAATTAACCATGATAGTTTCCAGGGAGAACCGCGTGGAGGTCGACCTGGTTGGGTATATTGCTAGCAATGGAATTCTCAGTCAACATTACTAACAATCCCTTTCCTCCCTAATTAGCTGCTATTGACCTGCTATTTTATTATCACTTATCACTATATTCTTCACTAGTGCCCCGCCAGCGTATACTGTTAGCACAGACGGGACTACCATTCTATTATCATCCATTAAAAAAATTCGGCTATCAAAGATATGTCAAATGCGGCGCCGGTCCTTAGATACCTCACCTCAGCAGTTTTTTTTTTATATGGGTGATAATGGAATGATAACCCCGCCTGCGTTATCGGTATACGCTGGCGGGGCACCAGGGAGGGATGATAGGTAAGGATGAAAGCAGGTCAGTTAGCCCATCGTGACGAATTTCACAAGAATTAACCACGATGGTTTCCAGGGGGAACCACGTGGAGGTAGACCTGATAGGGTATATTGTTGGTAATGGGGCTGCTAGATCCCATTATGAACATTGTCTGCGCGCCGGTAGATTGTAGCGTGCGTGGTGTGCAGGCATCCTGTCCGCGTACGGCATGGCGCTGGCGCAGGCGGTGCAGGAGGAGCAGCAGGCGAGCGCGGCGCCGTACTGCCGCGACCAGTTCCCGCACCTCGACTCGCAGCTGTCGCTGCTGGCCGCCGTCGCAAGGGACAAGCTGCGCGCCCAGGTATACCTCAACAAAACAACCTCTCCAATATTATTTTATAGGGGGAGAAGTTATTGTTAATAATGGGGGGTTTTTTATTGGATGAAAATGATATGGTAACCCCGCCTGTGCTAATGGGATACGTTGACGGAGCACCAGTGAAGGGTGATCAATGAGGATGAAAACAGGCCAGTTAGCCCTCATGATGAATTCATCAGGAATTAACCATGATAGTTTCCAGGGGGAACCGCGAGAAGGTCGACTTGGTTGGATGTATTGCTAACAATGGGATTCTTAGTCTCCATTACTAATAATCCCTTTCCCCCCAATAATGGGGGTTAGTAGCCCCATTTATAGCAATATACTATATCAGGTCAACCTCCTCGTGGTTCTCCCTGGAAACCATCATGATTGATTTATTGTTAAATTCGTCACGGTGGGTTCTAACTGACCTGCTTCATTCTCACCTATCATCCTTCACTGGTGCCCCGCCGGTGTATACCGATAGCGAAGATGAGGATGCTATTCTATTATCGTCCATTAAAATATTTATTATTTATTTATTCATTAAAAATAATTATAACATTATAACAGCAAAAGCCAAATCAATGTTATAAATCTAGCGTGCTGACATACAAAGTTATAATAAATGTACTATAACCCGACTCTAGATATGTATATATATATATTGTTTTTTTTCTATTGTGCTACTAGGAAGTCGATGAAAGTCTGCACTCTAGCGCATAGAAGTATCGTTCGATAAGAAGTGCGGGTGGTGACGTACTAAAGTGAAAGTTAAATACATTTATTTATTTATTTATAAAAGACACACCAACAATATGCTCACAATAATTAAGCAGACAATATACAATGTTATTAGTAAGTAAAAGAAAAAAACTACTATTCAAAAATGCTTAAATCTATGTTTGAACAAAAAAATCTCACTCCTCCACTACCAAGCTTAAGGCCATATGAACACATCAATTAAAGGTGTATACAGCTCTCACAGATAAGCGTCAATGTACACTAACTAACAATTATACAATTAGAAAAGACCTAACTACCAATCCATATAATTAATAAGCCTAGTAAACTGCACTAAAGAATTACCAAAGATGTCGATATCATGGTCAACGTTTACGGCTTTATTATACGATGACAACGTTCTGTTGAGGGGAGAATTGGATCCTAAGTTAGTAAACACATGATTCATTCATACATACAATATCAGTCTTTAGTAAAACGAGATTAATTTTGGCAAAGATTGGCGAGATTAATTTATGATGATATGTATAATCTATGACCTTCTCCATCTCATAAAGTACGTGTATACTAAATTGCATCGTGATTGGTTAAGCCGTTAAGGCGTTATGAGCAAAATTTCCCTTATGGGGAAGGCTTATGTCCAGCAGTGGACAGTTAACGGCTGAAATAATAATAATTTGTAATTACTTGTTTTGTTTTTGTTTATTGCAGGGCTTCTCAAACTCTCAAATAGTAACAGAGCCGTACTTACATCTGCGCTATGCTGGCACTGACTGCGCCCTGATGGTCTCCCCAGTGCCTGGTGATTCGCCAACGGCCTGCCTCCATGGCGATTTCTACACTGCTTTTGTCAACAGGTAATAAATAATAATAAAAAGTTTTACTAGAGCGAGATTGTAATTCAAGTTGTCTGCTCGGGTACCTTTGTCCCATTTGTGTTTCGGTCTTCAAATATGGCTAATATATCAGTTTAAAGGGTAATAATCATCATGATTTCAGTCATTAATTGCCCACTGATATTTTAAAGAGTTCTTTACATTCTAGATACAAGAATGAGTTCGGTTTCACACTGTCAGATCGTGATGTCATTGTTGATGATATACGTGTACGGGCTGTGGCAGTGAGTCAAGTGCCTGAGGAGGTGGCGCCACCTAGCGGGAAGGGCATCAAGCCGGTTCCAGAGAAGGTAAGCGTATCACAGTACAGTATTACCACACTGTAAGGAATAACCAGTAAGCAATCTCTTCCAGGCTACCTTTGGATGGAGAGGAGTAGTTATAAACAAGTGATTATAACTACTCCTCTTCAAACCAGATATATATATATATATATATATATATATATATATATATATATATATATATATATATATATATATTTATAAATAAGTATATACATCATAGTTCCAGAGATAAGTGTATTCAGTTCAAAGAATTCTTATTAATTCTTTATATTAGTGTAAATTAGACACTTGGCAAATTAATATAGAAACATTATTAACAATCCAAAATTATATTCCAATAATTATTGTGTGATATAAAAAAAAAAAACTCGAAGCAGAACGGATTTGAACCCGCACGTCCTAGTCTAGTTCACTGTCTTAAAAATGTATATTAATTTTGTGTTTTTGCTACGCTACCGGCAATGACATCATTTTGCCCTTCTTCTTTTTGCCCAGCTTACACTCCCCTGAATCGGGCCCTGTAAACATTATATGTACTGTCCACAGACTACGAAGGTATACTTCGAGGGTGGCTACCAAGACACCGCGATATATCAGTTGGAAAAGCTACGTCCCGAGCAGCAGATCTTCGGGCCGGCCATCATCATGGACAGTTTGTCCACAATACTTATTGAACCAGGTAATGCAATAATAAATCCTGTTATATCATCCATTAAGTGTTTACTCCTAAACATAGGCCGTCCTAATAAGGGGAGTTTTGCCAGCAAATGTTACTCTATTGTTGAGCGATAGAGCAGCAGCATCCCTCCTTAAACATTACCAAAGCCTAACTGTGATTGCCAACTCGTTTGCCAAATATGGCAACTATTGACAAATCGTCACAAAAGGGGAGGCTTACGTTCAACAGTGCTCAGTTAAAGACTAATGTAATTATGATGATAGAATAACTACATGGGACAAATAAAAGAAACACTAGGTGTCATGTCGTATAGGGAGGTCAAGGATATGGCCTGGGATAGAACTGGCTGGAAGAAGAGGCATGAATTAGTTGCATCGACAAGATGAAACTCTTAAATGAAAAGACTATAGATTGTCTACGATAACATGGCACGCCCCTCCAATGTTCAAAGAATTAAAAATGTGTGAGTAAAAAAATTTACAAGGTTTCTACCAAGGAATGTAATACTTCTCTGGCCGGACCATAACTGAAGATGTTTCCTTACTAACACAAACAGAGCACCACGTCTGTATATGTTCACACACATTGAAGTAAAAAATTGTATGCGCGTGCCATGTTAATGCAGGATCTATACTTACATAATCTTTACTTCAGTTTTATAACTAATATCGTCAGGGGGAAAAGGGATTGTTAGTAATGGAGTCTAATTTCCCCATTACTATCAAATAGACCCTATCGGGTCGACCTCCAAGCGGTTCCCCCTGGAAACTATCGTGGTTTATTCTAATGGACTCTATTCCGATGGCATTCGTCACGATAGGCTAACTGACCTGCTTCCATCGGGGGGAAAGGGATTGTTAGTAATGAGATTTAACAGCCCCATTGCTAGCAATACACCCTATCAGGTCGACCTTCACGCGGTTTTCCCTGGAGACCATAGTGGTTAATTCTTGTTCAATTGATCACTATGGGCCAACTGACTTTCCTTCATCCTCACCTGTCACCCTTCATTGGTACCCCGCCAGCGTATACCGATAGCGCAGGCGGGGCTACCATTCCATCTTCACTCATTAAAAAAAAAACCTGCTTTTATTGTCACCTATCATCGCTCCTGGTGCCCCGCCAGTGTATACCGATAGCGCAGGCGGGGTTGCCATTTTATTATCACCTGTAAAAAAAAAACTAATATCATCATAAATAATCATCGTAAGAAATAAATCAATATCTATTTTCCAGATTGTCGCGCGGACATAACCAAATATGGCGATATCCGTATAACAGTGGGCACGGGACAACCAAAGCGGGTCACTACCGACCTAGATTCAATACAGTTGAGCATATTCTCACATCGGTTTATGTCCATAGCGGAACAGATGGGCAGGTAAATTGACACTTTTAATGTATTTCACATCTATTTTATTAATTTATTTATTCATTAGTACATATATGTTTACATGGCGAACTTAATGCTAGAAGCATTCTTTCCTAGTCAACCATAGGGAAGTGTGAATACACAAATGCAGTACTAGTAATAATTAATATACATACATACTAAAATTACATATAACAAATATACTTACACATATATAAAATATATTATATTATACATATATAAAATATATTATATTATACGGAAATGAGAGTAATACATAGTACTTACTGATTTTACTTATCTATCTGTCGATTCAGTACACACTAACATACTGCTAGGCATTTTTTGCGCCATTTGCATTTGATGTAACACCCTTTCTGTCTATCCTATTTAAGAGCTGCGCCCTTGTCGGTGGAGCTCTTGCCACTCACTATGATTTTCAGTGAGTCTCTTCACCTTTTGATACGACACGACACCAACTCCTTCCTTGATCTGCCTGATGCAACTATGCCTTGGTCCCCCCCTTCCCCTCCTTTCTTCTATCTTACCTTCTATTATAATGTTCATAAGTTGGTCGTGTCGTATCAAGTGTCCCAACATTTTTTCCCTTCTGTACTCAATAGTTTTTATAATTTGTCTCTTTTCTGAACCCTAAGTAGGACCTTTTCTATAATGTATGAAAATGGAATTATAACCCCATAATGAAGAGTGATTCGTGTCATAAATGTGTGTTACCAGCATAGAAAAACCACAAGAGGAAGGGTACATGGCAACACAATAACACCGCTGGCATGAATTTACAGGGTACAGAGGAATAACACCTGAGTCCTCAGGAATGGCAACGTATGGGGGGTATCATGGGCGTAACAGTATACTCTGTGATGTCCATGGTACTGCTCATGTCTATAGGCGACGGTTACCACTTTCTACCAGGTGGGCCGTCAGCTTGTTTGCCATTCTAAGTCGTATATAAAAAAAAGCTCTCTCCTTTGTAATCGCATCTCGTTGTAATGATACGTGCTCGGAGTAAAATATTAATTTCACATCGCGGTCTTTTTATTACTGCAATATCAACCAACAGCTAGAGTTTTGTCTCTTGTCTATTTTAAATTTCTGTACAGTGATTATCAGCCATTTACTGTCCACTGCCCCTAAATCTCCCCTCTAAGGGTTGCCAGTAAGTGCCACGCTGTGTAGACGGATTGGCAACCGCATTTTTTTTTATAAGTGAAAATAGAATGGTAACCCTGCCTACACTACCGGTATACGCTGGCGGGGTACCAGTGAAGGGTGATAGATGAGAATGAAAACAGGCCAGTTTGCCCATCATGATGAATTCATCAGGAATTAACCGTGATAGTTTCCAGAGGGAATCGCGTGGACGCTGACTTGGTTAGGTATATTGCTAGCAATGGGATTCTTAATCTCCATTACTAACAATCCCTTCTCCCCTGGCAACCACAGTTAGGTTTGATGATGTTTCAAGAGAGACTCACTAGTCACCTCTCGCGATACTAACTGTATAGGAAGGGATGGTTTGTTCAATGTTGGGACCACACCGCAAGTATTCAGTTTTAAATGAACATTTCTGTCAGGGTGCTGCAGCGGACGTCGATTTCTGTGAACATAAAGGAGCGGCTGGACTTCTCGTGCGCCTTGTTCGGCCCCGACGGCGGCCTGGTCTCCAACGCTCCGCACATACCCGTCCACCTCGGCGCCATGCAGGAGACTGTGCAGTATCAGGTAATTCATGAATACTAGATGCTTCCCATTATTTATTTTTTTAATGGATGACAATGGAATGGCCTGCGTTAACGGTATACACCAGTGAGGGATGATAGATGAGAATGAAAATAAGCAGGTCAATTAGCCTATCGTGATGAATACGAGGTTTGTCCGGAAAGTATTCAGTTTTTTAAAAATTTTATTTTACAATTATTCAGAACATTTTATCCCCTGTCACATAATGCACTTGTGCTGCAGCGGACGTCGATTTTTTTTATCTCATGAAATGCATAAAGGGAACAAGAAGAAGTCACACGGCCAAATCCGGCGACGGTCACCTTTTTACTCAAAAACTCACGGACAACAAGAGAGGTGTGGGCAGGGGCATTGTCGTGGTGAAGAATCGGCCCCGACGGCGGCCTGGACGAACTCGTGCCACACGAGCTTTGAGGCCGCACATCGACGTAGAATTTTCCATCAACTCGGCAATCCCCGCCATGCAACATTGTCTCGAGCCACTTGTGGACAGCATCAGGTAATGTTCTGATGAATACTAGATGCTTGCCGAGTGAATGATTACGCGCTGCTCTTCAACGCTAACGGTATACACCAGTGAGGGATGATAGATGAGAATGAAAATAAGCAGGTCAATTAGCCTATCGTGATGAATACACTTAGAATTCGGCACGATGGTTTCCAGGGGATGGTTACCAGGTAGCAATAGGGGCAATAGACCTTCTATTGCTACCTGGTTGGGTATATTGCTAGCAATAGGGCCCTTAATCTACATTACTAACAATCCCTTCCCCTCCTCCCATCGGGTTTACCCGCGAATTAGTATTAATATTTAACTCTTTATTGCAAAAATATATAAACGATTCAAGTAAAATATAAGTAACTAAAGTACAGATTAAAATACGGTGCAGTTAGGTTTTGGTGATGTTTTAAGAGGTATGCTGCTGCCCATCCCTTGACTATTAACCAGAGGGAGACTTTGTACAAAAGTCGATTGCTTGGGTACCTCTGTCCCATTCGTGTTTCAACCGTGAAGCAGTTGTGTTTGCATGGCTGTGTTTCGGTTTGAAGGGTGGGATATGGCGTGAATTTACAGGGTACAGAGGAATAACACCTGAGTCCTCAGGAATGGCAACGCATGGGGGGTATCATGGGCGAAACAGTATACTCTGTTATGTCCATGGTACTGCTCATGTCTATAGGCGACGGTTACCACTTTCCATCAGGTGGGCCGTCAGCTTGTTTGCCATTCTAAGTTGTATAAAAAAAAAAAACTTCCTTTAGTCGCCTCTTACAACACGCATGGAAAAGAAAGGGGTGGCCCATTCTACGCCGCGATTATACGGTAATTCTCCTTGTATTGCAGATGAAAGTCCGCGGTGACTCCCTGAAGCCTGGTGACGTGTTACTGGCGAATCACCCCAAAGCTGGTGGCTCTCACCTCCCCGACTTTACCGTTATCACACCCGTGTTCCACAAGTACGTATATGAAATATTTTGTTCAATTCAAATTTTCGATTGATTTTTTACTATCTAAAAAATCGATCTTATTAATAACTATATATAATGACAACAATAAGCTTTTAATTAGCTTGCTGTTGTCATTTTTATTTAATTATCAAGTTATTATAACTGTAAGGTTCCTCAAAAATAATAAATAAATAAATAATAATTTAAAAATTGGATTTAACAAGGTGGATTGTTTATCGAAATGTTTCTTTGACAGTGTTTTGTGTATTTTTTTATGCACCATAGAATGGCAAACAAGTTGACGACCCGCCTTATGAAAATTGGTAATGGTCGCCTATAAAAACGAACAGTACCATGGACGTAATAGAGTATACTGTGTCGCCTATGATACCCTTCGTGTGTTGCCGTTCCTGAGGACTAAAGGGTTACGCCTCTGTACCTTGTAATTCCATTACCATATTCCACCCTTCAAATCAAAATACAAAAAAAAGTCTATATGACTTCCGCAACGTACTTGCCTTCAGAAAGCTATTACTTCGCCCCCCCCCCCCCCACCAGGTCTGCCAGTCGTCCGATCTTCTTCGTGGCGTCGCGCGGCCACCACGCGGACATCGGCGGCCTCACGCCCGGCTCGATGCCGCCGCACTCCGTCAGCCTGGCGCAAGAGGGCGCCGCCTTCAAGTCCATGCTGCTGGTCGACGGCGGACGATTCAACGAGGGACCGCTTGTTGAACGTACGCTTGACTTTTTTAAAGTTGGAATTCAAAATTATGACTTATGGATAAGAACAGTAATAATGGGAAAACAATGGGGCAAAAGTTAAGCACTTTTGCCCACTTTTGCAGACTATTTTTTATAAAAAAAATCTATGATATTTTGTGATTTTTATAAACTCTTATTTGAAGACAGATTGTACAGCACCCATTGATGGAATGTGATAGGAACCGAAGGGAGAGGGAAACATTTTTAAAAACATTTAATATTAATAAATATGATGTGGGGATTGTTCAGAGCATAATGCATGCTCCTACTACCAAAATTGCTTTGTGCTTAAGTGAATTAGTAAGCAGTATTGTTTAGTCATAATTATAATAGTAGATAACTTATTTATTTTTATTTATTTCAAGTAAACAGTTACATAGAGGAAATTTAATAACTAAAAATATTTTAATAAAACTAGTACATTTCACAGAATCACAAAAAAAGAAAAAAAATTAATGGTCAGTCCCATTCATGATCCGTACCCGACCCAAAGGTCCCCATGACACTTGTGGCATTTCCGCGTTAGGTTGCCTACTACTAACCATACTAACCAGAACGGCGATGATAACTTGTTTAGATTTTATGGGATTGACATGTTAAAAAACAAACATCCCAAATTAAACGTAGATTAAATTCTCCGCCTTCGCTAACGGGATACGCTGGCGGAGGACCAGTGAAGGGTGATATAGATGAGAATGAAAAGAGGCCAGTTAGCCCATCATGATGAATTCATCAGGAATTAACCATGATAGTTTCCAGGGGGAACCGCGAGGAGGTCGACCTGGTTGGGTATATTGCTAGCAATGGCGTTCTCGGTCTCCATTACTAACAATCCCTTCCCCCGCCCATTTCGCTACTATTAGTATGTGTGTGACTGGCAACACCCAATGAGTTTGATGACTAATTTATTTTTATTTCAAGTAAACAGTTACCTAGACAATATATATTCTTAGTGCCGCGAAACTGCATTGCAGTTTGTCTGCAGTTTTGCGCTCTTGTACATACAAGTACTTGTAATATGGAAGGTTTTTTTTTTTGTACAACTTAGAATGACAAACAAGCTGACGGCCCACCTGATGGAAAGTGGTAACCGTCGCCTATAGACATGAGCAGTACCATGGACATAACAGAGTATACTGTATTGTAGAACTAACAATCTGCAAGTGGCCCCGGCATAGAGTAGACCACCATTTTCTTTCCCGTGAGTGCTATAAGAGGCGACTAAGGAAACTTAATGATCAAGGGATGGACAGTAGCGTCCCTCTTAAAACTTAACGGAATACCTAATTGCGGTTGCCAACCCGCCTGCTAAGCGTGGCAACTATAGACAAATCCCCCCTTATTGCGCTGATGTGATGATGATGATGATGATTGTTACATGTAAGTAATGTTACTAATTATTTATTTGGATAACTTAAAAAATATATTGCACTTTATTTAAAAACAGAACGCTGTGTGTGTGTGTGTGTGTGTGTGTGTGCGTACGTGCGTGATCGTGTGCGTTTGCGTGCGTAAGTATATAATAATAAACATCTGACAATTGTAATCCCATTAATATTTTCAGAGCTCATGAATCCTGGCAAAGAGCCTGGCTGCTCCGGCACCAGGAATCTGGCTGACAACCTGTCCGACTTGAAGGCACAAGTGGCTGCCAACCAAAGAGTAAGCATTTCACTAATAAGATTTATAACTAGACAATGTCTATACATGGAAGATATTCAAGTATAGTAGCTATATATTTATACTACTTAGAATGGCAAACAAACTGACGGCCCACCTGTTGGAAAGTGGTAACCGCCGCCTATAGACATGAGCAGTACCATGGACATAACAGAGTATACTGTTTCGCCCATGATACCCCCATGTGTTGCCATTCCTGAGGACTCGGGTGTTATTCCTCTGTACCCTGTAAATTCACTCCATATCCCATTCTTTAAACCGAAACACAGCTATGCAAACACAGCTGCTTTACGGTTGAAACACGAATGGGACAAGGTACCCAAGCAAATGACTTTTGTACAGTCTCCCTCTGGTAAAGTAGTTGTCTGTCTGTATATTAGTTCCAGCATTACACAAAAACTACTACACTAAATTAAATGTAGACCTGTTAGGGTATATTGTTAACAATGAGACTTTTGTATCCCCATTATTAACAATCCCTTTCCCCCCGTCGTATGAGTATTGGAAAGATAGAGGAAAGAAATTCTAGAGTTAGTTGTTTACGGTATAGAGGTCGTTACTATTCGTCCCTCTTTATTAACCGAACGTAATAAGTAAGTATACATATATAGAGAGATAGAAAGAGAAAAAATAGAAACTTGATATATCCCTTTCAGACCTGACTTTAAAAAATTCTTAAACCGCGCGCAATTCATTTTTACACACGAAGTTGAAATAACATGATAGCGAGATTCTAAACCAACGAATAAGAAATCATTTTAGCGGTTAGGTGGTGCAGTAGTCTCGTGCGTGCCGGCAAGATGGCTTGGCTCCATATATATAAACACACATATATAAACGCATATATATATATATATATATATATATATATATATATATATTTACTATATATATATATATTTAATATATATGATTTTATATAAAGTATATATATATATATATTTAATATATACTTTATATAAAATCAATATTCTATATGTAGCACTAAAATTTAGCTGAACTAACATTATACTATGTAATGAGGGTTGAGCGCTGATGTCTGAAATACAGGTTTTATAACCTAGTTCATATATACAAATGAATTCATCTACTTTTACTGTATTTATAATAATATGTATATATATGTATATATATATATATATATATATATATATATATATATATATATATATATATATATATATATATATATATATATATATGTATATATATATATATATATATATATATATATATATATATATATATATATATATATGTATATATATATTATTTAAGGTATTTACCATTTATAATCATTATCATATCAGATTTTTTTATTTACATTTTATTTTAATATTACATCTGGAATCAACAGCTTGTATCTTATCTTAAAAATATTATGTTTACACCATACATTAGTCAATTACAGATTCCCAATTTGTATACAAGACAATATTATGCTTATTTTTGGAGGGTAGATTAAATTAAATAGAAAAAATAATAATACAAAAGTAAAATCTATGGAGATACTTATTTGAAATCATATGTTAACTGGCCCATTGTTGGATATAGGCCGGTAGTTGCCACGCTTGGCAGGCGGTTTGGTAAACGCAGTTAGACTTTAGTGATATTTTAAGAGCGACAATGCTGCCTATCTCTAGACCATTCTTAGTCGTCTCTTCTGACATTCACAGGATAGGAAGGGATGGCGGTATTTACCAATAGGTTCTGTCAATGCTTTTTACATTTCAGGGTTATTTGATTAGTGTTATTTTGTTTAATTCCACTGCCATTAATATGTGTCTAATTGCCAACACACGAAGATTGACTACCAGAATTTCCACAGCTTCCCTTGTTAGCCATCAATCTCCGACCGCCATTTAGTTTACGCATGTTTTGTGGCATGTGTTTCGTCTCTAATCAAGGCCTTAGTTTTAGGCAAATTATTAGATCATCGGGTCCTAGTATCAGCATCAAAACTGCGTAATGGTAGCAGAATTAAACAAAATAATTCAAATAAAAAAATAACCATTGATATGGAATTTGGCAAAATAACACCTATTTCAATAAAATAATTTATTTCAGGGTATCCAGTTGGTCGGCGAACTCATAGACCAATACGGCCTGGACGTGGTGCAAGCGTACATGGCTCATATACAGAAGAACGCCGAGCTGGCTGTGCGGGACATGCTCAAGGTAAATAGTACATACATACCTGAATTTTATTTCAGACATTTCGACGTGGAACAAATGTATTGTTTATGTTTAAATGTGAAAATTGATTAGAACACTATTTGGCCGTTGGCTATTAGGAAGTAGGACATTTTCAACTTTTTTTTTTTTTATATTTTCTTTTTTTTTTTTTTTAAGAACTTCGCTCCTTATTCATAAAAGCGTCAAAGTAAAAAAAAAGTAATGTTAAACCTCTTAAAAACCTAATTTAGCTATTGAAGTGTTTTATCTTTTTCTCTTGCGCTAATATCTCAATTTAAAAGACAGAGACAAAACACTCTAATAGTTATTAAAAGAGATTTTTAGGTATTTAGTTTGTATTCGTTTTTATGAATAAGGTCCCCTTACACACACACTATAAAAAATCTTTCTATTACAGGAAATTGCCAATAATGCCTTAGCCAAAACTGGATCTACGGTGCTGAAGGCGACCGAGTATATGGATAACGGCACACCCATTGTCCTCACCGTCACTCTAGATAAGGATAACGGAAGTGCGATATGCGACTTTACGTAAGTGTTATTAGAGTTTTGAATAGTGTCAAGAAAACTATTGAGTACGTTTGAAATAATTAGGAGCATCTATGCGTGACCAACCAACTTTTACTTAGTAACCAATTAAGCAAATGTTATTAATTATTATTATATCAGCCCTTAATTGTCCACTGCTGATCATAGGCGTCCTCTTTGGGGAAGCCATTGGTTGCCAAATGTTCCCAAACGCTAAATGCCAAAATAACAATATTCTTTTTTTATATTTTGATATACATACTTAAGAGTTAAAACGTCATACTTATATTCTATCTTCGTCACTCCGTTCCTTCTGCTTATTTGATCCGGCTCGAAGGATCATAATAGTATTTAGTTTTATTTTGTGCGTAATTAAATTGCAACCTTGCCTGCTCTATCACAGTAAGGGAAAAGCAGGTTATATAGTTTATTGTGACGAATTCATCAAGAATTTATTACCACGATGGTTTCCAGGGGAAACCTCGTGGACGTGGATGTAGGTGAGGAGATATATTGTTAGTATAGAATCGCTAGTACCCGTTATTGACAATACCTTCCTCCCGATATTATTGAGTTATTACACGCTGATGGTGACTTATTTATGACGGCGCTGTCGAAGTGTGAATGAATCTTAATGATGTTTCCGGATATACTGGTGTATCTGTATTTTTTTTTAATAATTTAACCAACGTACGAAATATCATTATCTATTTATTGTTTGATTTTTATATCTTTGCTTAAATCCGGCCAGAAGGACTATAATATGATTGTATTACGACTTATTGAGATTTGACGCCGCTTTATTTATATTTTTTATTTTATTTCCAGCGGTACCGGCGTGGAAGTGTGGGGTAACCTGAACGCTCCTCGTGCGATCACACTCTCTGCCCTTATTTACTGTCTGCGATGCATGGTTGGGCACGATGTGCCTCTCAACCAGGTAATTTTACCAATGTTAATGTTTTTAAACGACCTTGAAATTAGAATTTTGTTCTGAGTTTCGTCCCATTTTTTTTTTTCACGCAATATCATCTAGTGATACGAATTGTATTTGCAATTTATAAAGTTATATCAATAAGAATAGAAGATTCATTTTTTCTCTTTTTTAAAGTGGCTCGCAATAAAAAAAAATCTTCATATTTTTACTTCTTAATATTTAAATTTTTAACCAACTTCAAAAAAAGGAGGTTCTCTATTCGGTTGTATTTTTTTATGTTTGTTACCTCATAACTCCGTCAGTTCTAAACCGATTAGGAAAATTCTTTTTTTACCTGGAAGGATATTCCATAGAAATTAAATCGGTTTATAGTAGTTTAATTTTTAGAAGAAAATAACTGGTTTTGCCATAATTGAAGTCGGTTTTATTTTGTGGAACACAATCTTTCATTCATTAGATTTTTTTTTTTAGTTTAAAATAAATGCCATGATAATAAAAGCTGTAAAAATACATTTCACTTATATTTCATTATTTTTTTTTAAATTTCTTTTTTAATGTGATATTATTCAAAATTGAATTAACTTTAATCATTAAATTGTTTCATGACCCAAGGGTTGCTTAAATCCAGTGAAAGTGATCGTCCCACCGGGGTCCATCCTGGACCCTTCAGAGGGCGCAGCCGTCGTCGGTGGGAACGTGCTCACCTCTCAGCGGATAGTAGATGTACTGCTCAAGGCATTCCAGGTGAAAATTTATTTAAAACTAGCGATACGATTCGACTTCGCACGGGTACATAGAATATTCGAAACGAATATAAAAGCCTATGTTACTTGCTCATAATATAGCTTTTTATAAGTGAAAGAATTTTTAAAATCGATTGTTTTTAAGTTTATCCATTACAAACAAACGAATAAACAATCAAATTGTTCCTGTTTATAATAGTATAGATAGATTAAACCTCTTGTTCATAAATAACGTCAAATGTCTCATAAATCTATTTTAACTATTGAACTGTTTTGTCTCTTTCTTTTACACTAAATTCCCAATTTGATAGAAAGTAACAAAACAGTGTAATAGTTAAAATAGGTTTGTAGGAAGTTTTACATTTTATTAATAAGGGTGCAATTATATTCTGAAAGGGGAGAAGGGGTTGTTCGTAATGAAGATTAGCAATTCTATTGCTACCGTACCTATCAGGTCGACCTCTACGCGGTTCTCCTGGAAACCATTGTGATTAATTAATATTTATATTATATACGTATGTTTATGTATTGAAATCAAAATTTTATATAAATGATATTTAGAATATTTTGCATTTTGTTTTATTCCTTTTTTTGTATTTATTGTATCTGACTGGCGCCATCTACCTTTCTCTCTGTACTTATCCATTCTTTATGCCAGGTGGTCTGTAAGAGATTGCTTTTAGCGATAAGGCCGCCTTTTGTATATGCACATTCTGTATAATTACTCCTTGTATACATCTCTACTATGCGCAATAAAGAGTTTATTATTATTATTATTATATATTTGTTAAATAAATATATCTTTATCTATTATTATTGATTTATTGTCGAATTCGTCACTATGGGCCAACTGACCTGCTTCTTCGTCCTCTATCATTCCTCATTTGTACCTCGCCGGTATATATCGAAAGCGTAGGCGGAGTTACCATTCCATTATCATCCATTAAAAATAAATTGTATACTTATTTAAACTTTTATTAAAATATGAAAATCGGATAGGATTCGATTTATCTTGCCAAGAGTAATAGTTGTTCCCAGACAGGCATCTTAAGGGATCTGAAGTCAAACCTAGGGTGCCATGCCATGCAATGCAATTCCGTATCTTATTTTGAAGGACAAAACGACTCGAGGTTAATTCCTCGAATTTAATTGTATTTATGTATGTACAGGTGTGTGCAGCCTCACAGGGTTGTATGAACAATTTGACGCTGGGTGAACAGAGCTGGGGGTACTATGAGACGGTGGCCGGCGGCAGCGGTGCGGTGAGTTGAGTTTCTTGATGTTTCTTGTTAGGTTTACCCTTACCCTCTTATTCATAAAAGCGTAAAATCTCTTTTGAAGTGACGGGCAGCTGCGTGTTGAAAATAATAAGCTAGGTTCGATAAATAATAAAATGTCTGTATTTTGTGAAGTTTAGAAGAGAACAGGAAAACTGTCATAAATTATTATATTTTTGTATTTTATATTTTGATTATAAAACATTAATAAAAACGACTATAGAGTTTTTACAACACAGCGTCCGTCTTAAAAAGTCATTCAAATCTAACTACGGTTGTCAATTCGTCTGCTAATCGTGGCAACTACTGGCTAAACTTCCCTTTTTTTATACAACTTAGAATGGCGAACAAGCTGACGGCCCACCTGACGGAAAGTGGGAACCGTCGCCTATAGACATGAGCAGTACCATGGACATAACAGAGTATACTGTTTCGCCCATAATACCCCCCATGCGTTGTCATTCCTGAGGACTCAGGTGTTATACCTCTGTACCCTGTAAATTCACGCCATATCCCACCCTTCAAACCGAAACAGCCATGCAAACACAACTGCTTCTCGGTAGAAACACGAGTGGGACAGAGGTACCCAAGCAAACGACTTTTGTACAAAGTCTCCCTCAGTCTTCCCTTTTGGGGAAGGACTTTGTTCAGCAGTGGACAGTTAACTGTTGGTATGATGATGACAAGTAGATGATCAATCGTAAAAATTAACACTTTGCTGACCGAGAATTCCGTCATGGTTGAAATCTTTGGAATTAGGAATGAGGAATAACACCTGAGTCCTCAGGAATGGCAACGCATGGGGGGTATCATGGGCGAAACAGTATACTCTGTTATGTCCATGCTACTGCTCATGTTTATAGGCGACGGTTACCACTTTCCATCAGGTGGGCCGTCAGCTTGTTTGCCATTCTAAGTTGCATAAAAAAAAAATTAAACTAAAATTGTGATAAAAACCTAAATACAAAGAGAAGTAATTGTTTTTGGTCATGAACGTTTTGTAATCCAAACTGTGTTGCCCGTCGTGGTAGGAGGACGTACCTACACGCTAGTGCAATGACGAGTTTACTCGTCACCGGGCAGCAACGTTTGGTTATGAAAAGACAAGTTAACTAGTCACCGGTCAGCAAAGTGTTAAAAGTAATTTCCGCGAGAATGGGAGCTAATGGGTTCCGGACGCTGGTGTTCCAGGGTCCGGGGTGGCACGGCGCCGGCGGCGTACACACTCACATGACCAACACGCGCATCACCGACCTGGAGATCGTGGAGCGACGGTACCCCATGCTCGTCACCAGGTTCTCGCTGCGGGACGGCTCCGGCGGCAGAGGTCAGTCTGTGAACCCTATAGACGGATGTTTTATTACGTTAGATACGTTTACGCTGCCACACGCATGTTTAAGAACGCCGTATATTGCTGTCTCGTTCTATTGTTCTTTTCTTGGTTTATAATGGGATACATTTGTGCTTCTGGCACAAACCATCTTTGCTCCTGTGTTTCAATTTGAAAGTTAGGATTTGACAGCGAAATTAAAGGGTACGAAGCCGTAACACTATAGTCCTCAAAAAATACCTCATTGAGGTTATTTTGTTTTCTGTGACCTTTATTTATTATTTGTTACACATAAAGATTGCATTTTTATATTTTTTATGCAACTGATAATGGTAAACAAACTAACGGCCCGCCTGATGGAAAGTGGCAATGACCGTCTGTACACATGAACGGTACCATGGACGTAACAGAGTATACCATGTGTTATACACGATATCTCTTATTAATTTCTTTTTGAACAAAGAAAGATGTACAACAGGCTAGCTTTACTCTATAATAGTTCTATTCCCATAAAACCTAAGTGGAAAGAACCATTCTTTACTCGTTCATCATTAACCCATTGTTAGCAATACCTCCTGTCAGGTCAACTACCTCGTGGTTCCCCCTGGAAACCATTGAGCTCAGTTCCAAGTGAATTCATCACGATCGGCTAACTGACTTTTCTTTCATCTGCACCTAAAATCTCTCGCTTGGGGAGAAGGGATTGTTAGTAATGGGGATTAGCAATCCCATTGCTAGCAATATACCCTATTAGACCTCCACACGGTTCTCCCTGGATACCATCATGATTGATTTATTGTTTAATTTGTCATAATGAGCCAACTGACCTACTTCATCCTCACCTATCATCTCTCCCTGGTGCCCCGCCAGTGTATACCGATAGCGCAGGCGGAGACACCAGTCCATTATCATCCCATTAAAAAATATCCCACGCTAGTGCCCCACCAGCATATACTAATAGCGCAGGTGGGATTACCATTCCAATATCATTCATTTAAAAAAAATCCTCATTACTAACTATCCCTTCTTTTTCACCATGTGGAGGTGAAACCGATGGAGGGTATATTTCTAGCTATGGATCCCCTAATCTCTTTTATTAAAGGTGGGTTTTGTTTGTAGGCAAATGGCGCGGCGGTGACGGCGTGACCAGAGAGCTGGTGTTCCGTCGCACGGTGCAGTTGTCCGTGCTCACTGAACGGCGCGCCTTCCAGCCGTACGGCATGAACGGTACGTACCACCACGTCATACTATACGAAGGCTCCTACTATTCTATATTGGTAACAGAATTATTATAATAAAGCTGTGTTATTTAAAAAAAGACGGTTGAAAATACAAATTGACTTAACATTAAGATTGTGTTCCATCGAAAAAAACTAATTCAATTGTGGTAACACCGGTTATTTGAATTTAAAAACTAAACTATACGCTACTGATTTTTATATAATTTCTATTTGACTTATCTGTAAGTATATTTTTTTAGATTAAAAAAATATTTTTCCATATCGGTTTATATTTGACAGAGTTATTTATTCATTTATTTATTTATTCATTAAAAATAATTGTAACATTATAACAGCAAAAGCCAAATCAATGTTATAAATCTAGCGTGCTAACCTACAAAGTTATAATAAATGTACTATAACCCGACTCTAGATATTTGTGAGCCGCTTCCAATATCTCTGGCAGGCCGCTACTAAATATCTCAATGATTTTTATAATATTATTTAATAACCGTACTGCGTGAGTGAACGGAGCGTGCTGAAGTAGGTTAGTTCTTACTGGCGGGACATTCAACGTGACCGGATGACGGCGCGCGCTAACATAACCATTCGGTACTCGCAGTTAGACTGTCTCTAGCACTTGTGGGTGATGCATCCATCCGCGTAACATACTCACAACACATTTTACGAGATCGAGATCTCTCCTCATCGCCAGTCTGTTGTATCCCACCATGCCTAAAACAAACAGAATCGGGTACATCAACAGATAATAAGGATAAATACCATATTCCTTTAGATATAAAAATCAACTGAATTTATTTAGTAATTTAACAAACATAGAAAAAAAAAATACATCCAAATTGGGAACCTTATTCGTTTAAAAATCGGTTGATATCTGCAAATTATTTATTTTAAATGATTCTAACATTAAGCATTTTTAAATGCATGGGCGTCACAGAGTATCCTGTGATGTTAATCTATATTGCATAAAATACATCTTGAGATCAAGTATTGCAAATTCATAATTATTATCACGTACCTATGTTTAGGTGGGGAGCCAGGTGCTAGAGGTTTGAACTTACTGCAAAGAGCCGATGGAAGATTGATCAATCTCGGTGGGAAAGCGTCCATAGAGGCATATCCTGGGGTGAGTACATAAATAAATTATAGATTTTTATTACGGATTTGTTTCCATTTTGTTTTTATGGTTAGTTGTGATATATCTTTTGACAATGAAGGCTTCATTTGTATCTTATTAATATAATAAAGTTGTAATTAGATGATGCCTGTACATGAGAAAGATTAAAGAAAAAATAATAAGGCTAGATGAATTTCTAGAGATTTTGTCCATTTGTCTGATTGTATGTTCGTTCCGGCATCACACAAAAACTACTGCACCAAATTGGATGCGGTTTTCACAGTTGTATTTCTAAATATTATATCTAACTTAAAAACTGGTATATGTCTTGTCTCGATATGCCATATAGTGATCTATTAAATTGGTTTTTCTATTTTTGAAATCCACATATACGAAGTAGTGAGCAGAAAGGTAGAATTATATAATTTAAGGATGACACTTAATATGCTCATATTGATATATAAATTTAAATTATGCTTCACCACCATCAGTTGAGCTGCATGTTCGTTTGCTTTTTGTGTTATAAAAAATATATATATTGTACATTTTTGGCTAGCCTTAACATTCAGCCAGTTTGGCAAGCAACCTTTTTACATGTCATTTCAACATTTTTAAAGGTAAATTTAGAGAAATAACGCATCAGAACCGACCCCAATATGTGTATGTTCTTATTATTTTTTTTATCACTTCTGTAACCTTATATTATTTCCAGAGGGAGACTTTGTACAAAAGTCGATTGCTTGAGTACCTCTGTCCCATTCGTGTTTCAACCGTGAAGCAATTGTGTTTGCACGGCTGTGTTTCGGTTTGAAGGGTGGGATATGGCGTGAATTTACTGGGTACAGAGGAATAACACCTCAGTCCTCAGGAATGGCAACGCATGAGGGGTATCATGGGCGAAACAGTATACTCAGTTATGTCCATGGTACTGCTCATGTCTATAGGCGACGGTTACCACTTTTCATCAGGTGGGCCGTCAGTCAGTTAGTGTTTGCCATTCTAAGTTGTATAAAAAAAAAATACTCCCACTGCATTCCTCTATATATAATTCGTGTAAAATGACGTCCCTAAACCCCGTCAATGTAATAACATTGCAGGATAAATACATAATGAATTCTCCTGGTGGCGGAGGGTATGGTCGCCCGTCGGAAGCTGTCGACCAAGGTGACGCGACGAGAAGCAACTATAGCGAGTTCTTGGAGCGTGGCAGCGTCTACGAATACAGGAGTGCCCAAGAATCTGTCTAAACACTGTATCTTATTGTAGTGAATACACTTATTGAAATTACGCGACTGAATTTTGGCATGTTTACGCGCCTAAAAAATATAGAATAGAAAACATTTGCTTTTTAATACGATGCTATTTTATGAAGTAATATAGATACTTAATTACGATAAGAAAAAGTGTTCTGCGCTTAAATATACTTTGCGTAAGTATGTGCCAAAATTACGCTAAGAAAAACTTTCGCTGCGTAAATGTATCTAATTTGCGCGTAATTCCAATACGACTAGAAACGGATTTACATATTTACTAACTAAAAATTTACTGCATAATGGCGCGATTGATAAATAGATTTGAATTAGAACAATAACTTAATATCAGTCGCTATCGAATTGTAAGTGTATGTATAAATAATAATAATAACAAACTAATAGTAAGGTTGAATGATTGAATGAATCTGAGAATGAAAGAAATAAAAACATTAGAATTGAATTATATTGTTGTTATATTTTTTTTATGTATTTTATATATTTCAGATGCTTTATTAATTATTTCTACAGTCATTGACATATTTGTCCGGAAAGTACGTATAAAAGTTTTTTAAAAATTTTATTTTACAATTATTCAGGTAAATCAATTTTATCCAAAGTGTCCCCCTAATGCACTTGTGCCAACGTGATGTTCCAAAGTCCTCTGTTGTAGGTTTCTCAGGCCCCGTCGTAGCTTTTTTTATCTCATTTATGTCCCCCAAATGCCGCCCCCGAATTGTTTTGTAAAATTTTTATTTTCGGTCACCGTAATGGAATTTTTACTCAAAAATCACGGACAACAAGAGAGGTTGATTCTGAAGAATCCAACGCGGTTTTGCCCAAATTAAGCTCTTCAGCATTTCTGACCGTTAAACGACGGTCCCCATTAACAAAGTTCGATGTTTTCGTCGGAATGATGAAATTTTTCTTGAACGCTTTCTCGGCCCTCTCTGAATCTTTTTAGCCACTTGTGGACGGGGTTCCTTCACAGCATCATCCCCATACTTCTGAGATCGGCAAAAATTTTTTCTTGCCGAGTTTCGAGATTTACGCGCTGTCAAAAATATATAAATGGCGTGACAAGCCAGTTAGCACGGCGGTGACAAGAACTAACATGGATAACATAGGAAGGGGTCCTGCGCTTATCCATTCCAGAACTCTTTTATACGAACTTTCCGGACAGACCTCGTATATAATATCAACCAACCAGTGTCCACCTCTAGTGATGTTCCATGTATACTAGGGATGTGATCCTACAACAATTGTATTGTAAAATTTTTATTTTCTGGACTAATATCAAAGGTTGATTCTGAGGCGACATTTCTGTAAACCTATCTTTCAATTTGATGTCGTAGCCGAAATTTTTATTGTTTCTATACGAACTAATTTTCTAATAGATTTAAGTCAAAAATATATAAATTTAGTTTGTAACATGGATAACATAGCCTATCCATATTGAGCTTTTAATTATTGTCTACTGGGTGAATTTTGCCAGTATTTGCCACGTTTGGCAGTGGGGGGGTAGAGCACTAATAGGTTTACAGAATTGGTCGTATACTGCATGTAGCCTCATCTATCTATTTTGCCATTTTAGGCAAATATAAATATTTACCGTTCTTGAGAATGATACCTTACAAGTGTAGTACTGTATTGGTGACGCAATATGATAATTTTTACTTCAACCTTCATATTTCGCCTCTTGTTCATTTAATGGGTACAGATCGTTGTTAATATTTTATTTATTTTAGTTTTACTATTGTTATTGTTGAAAAGTGCAATTAATTTTATAAGGATTAATGAAATAAAACAATTAAATAAATAAATAAACTGTTTTAATAATATAAAAGTATCAAGATCTCTCAAACATGTAACAATATTAATCAAACAATTATTGGGCGTCCGTTACGTATTTAGAAATTTTCATTTAATTGTAATTATTACAAATTTTTGGACAGCAATAAAGATTGTAATATGCTAAATGATTAACTGTTCCAATGAAAAGAATAACCTTAAAACGTTAATCAGGTTAATTATAACTATTACTAGAATAGATAATTTTAGTATCTTATAATTAATTAATCGTACTAACATAATACAATTGTAACTGGACTATGACTGTACACGGGAGATGTTTAAGAAAAAAATATGTAATAAAAGGCAATAGAAGCGAAAACGATACATTTTAGAAATGTTGTCTGTCTGTTTGTATTAAACGTACATTACATTACTGAATAATGCAAAAACTAATATACCAAATTAAATGCGGGTTTCACTGTTGACTTCCTGAGTCTAATTAAAAAACTGGTGTGTTTTATTTTAATACGCCATCTAGATGTGGTTTATGTCATTGGTTTTCCTACTTATAAAGTCTGCGCGTACGAAGTAGCGGGCAAACAGCTAGTATATAGTGTATTTTACCAGTGGGAGACTGTACAAAAGTCGCTTGCTTGGGTCCCATTCGTGTTTCAACCGTGAAGCAGTTGTGTTTGCATGGCTGTGTTTCGGTTTGAAGGGTGGGATATGACGTGAATTTACTGGGTACAGACGAATAACACCTGAGTCCTCAGGAATGGCAACGCATGGAGGGTATCATGGGCGAAACAGTATACTCTGTTATGTCCATGGTACTGCTCATGTCTATAGGCGACGGTTACCACTTTCCATCAGGTGGGCCGTCAGCTTGTATGCCATTCTAAGTCGTATAAAAAATAATATATATATAATACCTATATAATGTGTAAGTACAATAATTTTCCTAGTTATTAAACAATAACAATTTTTAAAATGTACAATATTTTCATTTATATTATATTATATATTTTATGTGACTGTTGTTTTTATATATCTGTTATATTAATATATTATATTAAATAAAATGACAATAGTTTTATTTTATAATATTAACATAACATTTAACTGTATATTTGTTTATGTACTCTAAATATTAATAGTTGTAGCACTTCAGCTGCCCGCTAACGAAATGCTTTCTTACTGCATTGGGTTGACTGGAAGAGATCTCTGTCAGAGATAAGTCCACATTTGCTCATAATATTTATAAATGCATTAAGTGCAATAAAGAATATAATAATAACATTCCCTCTGCTTTGCTCGCTAAATAACAACCAACTCATGGTTGGATACTCGTAAATCCATTTTATGACCAGCAAACGTCAAATCCTGTTTGCTAATATTATCTTGTATTAATTATCTTTTCAATACAGCGGTGTTGAGCTGGGAAGGATTTGTCAAACGGCCAGTTCCAATTTTGAAGTGTATTTTTTTAATAGGGAATTATTTCCACTTGTCTCTACCATTGTGCTACCAGTAGGACAAATGGAATAAATGTGGCAAAACCTTGGTAGGTACAAATGGAATTGGCCTGTCAAATTAGAAAACAGACGTAAATCAAAAGTTTAGTGTTTGAATGTGTTCTGGACACTTGTATAATATATACATAAAAATTTTTGAAATTTTTGGGTAATTTTCAACAGGCTGTATTTCAGTGAAAAATAATCGTACAGGAAATTTAAAAAAATGGTTTTGAAGCTTGAAAACTTTAGTTTTCAGATTTTTTGGAAAAAAATTTTTTTGGCCTGTCATGCAATTAAACAAAGCAGAAAATAATTTTTTTCTAAATTTTCTAGGTTTTAAATCAAATTGTATAGTTTAGTGTTTATTGAATGTGTTCTCCGAGATATCAACTTTGAATGCAAAAGCATCCTTTTCCATTCAATATATACTGGTCGCACATTTCTTTATCTGCATAAAATTTCCAATTAAGCACAGTATATATATATATATATATATATATATATATATATATATATATATATATATATATATATATATATATATATATATATATATATATTATCAAAAAAAAAATCGAAAAAAATCAAGAAAATTTTTAAGAAAAATTTTTTTTTGAAAAGTCGAAAAAAGTTTACAAAAAATTTTTTTTTCTTTTTTAAGGAAATCAAAGTTTTTGACAAAAACTTTGATTGATGATCGATTTATTAGTTACCCAAAGCATACCACGTGGAGGTTGCATCATTGGACCACGTGTGTTTATGATATGGGATTCTTCAGAAAAAATGAGACCCTAAGTATTTCGTGACTCCAAACTCATTTTCTGAAGAGTGTGTGTGTTAGTGTTGTGTAAGTAATTTTTAGAAGAAATGAGACCCCGTGGTTCGTCAGCTCCGCAGTATTTAATTCCAAACTCATTTTCTAAAGTGTGTGTGTGTGTGTTTCTCCATGTCCAAAAATTTTTTTACAAAAAATCTGAAAACTAAAGTTTTCAAGCTTCAAAACTTTTTTTAAATGGATTATTTTTCACTGAAATACATCCAAAAATTTCAAAAATTTTTATGTTCCCTTAAAGTATATATATATATATATATATATATATATATATATATATATATATATATATATATATATATATATACTTGTATAATTATTGTATAATAGGGGATCATATTAGTAGCCCCATCATTGGACCAGTGAGATAAATACTAGTGTATAAATTAAGCAATTTTTCCTCCTATATGGGTCATCCACTTTTAAAGTTGTAAATGAAATGGTAACCCATCCCACATCTATGCTATTGGTATATGCTAAGGATTACAAGTGAGGAATTAGGTCTGCCAACTGGCAAACACATATTTAGAAGCAAACTTATTATAATTATTACAAATAGTAAATTATTAAAGAGCCAAAAAAACAACCTAAAAAATAAATTAGGAATGTATCATATATTAGTATATATCAATTTATTAACGATGGTAAGTATGATATATTTTTTGTAAATATTTTTTGTAAATGTTTTTTTTTATAAATATTTTTTGTTTTGTTTCTTTATTATAATTCTTAATATATGGATTTTTTTAACCCCTGTGTGGGTGTCGTCGCATATTTCTTGTAAAATAAAGTTTTTTTCTTTCTTTCTTTCAAATAAATATGAAATTTTAATAAGCACAATATTAGTAAGCCTGTACCTCTGAATACAAGGCTATTTTATTTTATTTATTTACGAAGTCGGGTCAGTAAGACCATAGCGACAAATTTGTTAGGATTTAACCATAAAATTTTTAAGGGAGACCATGTGGAGGTCGACCTGACAGAGCTCATCCATTAAATCTACCGCCAAGAGAATTTCCTCCTATCTTCAAATTTATATCTTATTTGTCAGGCGTTATGGTCCCCGGCGGCCGCTAGCGCCTCCCTATTCTCGTAAGCCCAGAACCCATGCAGCTCCAGGAGTATCGAGACCGCAGTATGTCCGTGCCCACTATGGAGGAGGTCTTGGAGCGTGATGCGCGAGGGATGCTGCGGTCGAATCATGTCAAAGATTTCGTCTTTCACGTCATCGAAGTTGACCGGTTCCGCGCCGTGGGCGACCATTTGTTCTTGAATTGCCTGTAATGTTTACACTTAAAGAATTAATATCCAGGTGGAACCGACACCAGCGTGGAGTTAATGATAATAACAGTATTAGTTTGCGCATTAACTGCACGATTCTTTTTAAAATCATCACCGGTGTGGCAACGTCGGAATTTATCTGATAAATTAAAAAAAAAATTGAAATCAATTGTCAATATTGATGATTGATTATTCATAATTAATCAAAAAAATATCCACTGATATATTGTAGAATATCTGAAAGGACATACATCTAGTTATGTTCTAACATACTAAATTAGTAACCCGACCTTGCTTAATACGAGTTGATAGGTATACTGCTTATCAATGTTTTTAAAAAATACAAAGATCACAAAAAAAAAAATCTATTTCAATGGTGACAAAACCAATTACTATGGTCTAAAAATTAAACTTCTTAACTGATTTTGATAAAATTTGTATGGGACTAATCTATATCCTTTCAGATAAAAAAAAAGAATTTTCCAAATCGGTTTCGAACTGACGGAGTTATGAGGTGACAAACAAAAATACAACCGAATTGAATACCTCCTTCTTTTCGAAGTCGGTTGAAAATACAGCGTAATGTTATTGGCTAATATTATAACTTTCTATAGGCAAAAAAAAAAATGATTAAAATTGGTTAAGTATCTTTTACAACACAGGGGGTAAACGAGCATGCGGCTCACCTGATGATAAGTGACTACCGCCGCCCATGATCACTCATAACACCAGCGGCATTGCAGGTGTGCTGTCGGCTTTTTAAAAAGGAATATACTCTTTTCTTGAAGGTTATGTTGTCGTATCGGTTCGGAAATACTGCTGCTGGAAGTTGATTCCAAAGAGTGGTTGTGCGTAGGAGAAAATGCCTTGAACAACGCACGGTGGAGGACCGCCACTCGTCCAGATGGTTGGGATGAAATTTTAGTTTGTGGCGGGTTGTACGGTGGTGAAAATCAGCAGCAGGTATCAATCCGAACAATTCTTCAGAGCACTCCCCATGATAAATTCGGTAGAAGATGCACAGAGATGCAACATCTCTGCGCAGTTTCAGTGGGTCCAGCCGGACAGTAAGGCGCCGATCGTCAACAACTTTTGAGTTTATTCATTATAGACAGAAAAAATAACCTCTCTTTTATATATATTATAGAAAAGCAGACAAGATACCTTAAAGAAATAGTTAAGTGTGAATGCGTCCAAGTAGCCCTGTGAGTTGATATCGAGGACTCGGAACAAGTATGCCAGTGCTGCCGGCTGCCTCCTGTTCTCCAGGGCTAGCACCAAATCTAGGTACGTTTTGTAATCCATCTCTCCATCGTACGTGAGACACTGTTGGAACACCCTTTGTAAGAATGCCTGTGTCAATGTGCCTGAACCGTAGCTGAAAAGTAACCACATTTGTTATAAAAATGTGAAGCCATTAATATTTTTATAAGCAAATGGTGTGGCAAACAAGCTGACGGCCCAACTGATGAAAAGTGGTAACAGTCGCCTATGGACATGAACAGTACCATGGACATAACAGAATATAGTGTGATACCTGCGGTACACTTCATACGTTGTCATTCCTGAGAACTAAAGACAATAAACCTATTATAATTTTCACCACAGATTAAAAAGGTATAAATAGATGGTTAAATACATAATTGTTTTCTTTTTATTATTTTGTCACCTTTTTTTCGTTTTCTCATATTTTAGCGATTGGCCATTCACCCTTCCCTACAGCGGGCTAGAGGCATCTTTTCATTAACTGGGTGAGCTTTACAGTCTCTTACTTATCTGGTTTGATTTCTATTCAATTAATTATCAGGATTTGAGCGGAGTTAACATACACAGAGACATGTCTGAAAGTACATATAATGCACAATTTTTGAAGTTCTACCTCCCCCCTCCCCCTGGAAAACGATTTTAGATGCGTCAATGGATCGGGCCAAAGTTTTTCTTTAATATAATAAAACTCACCCGGCCAATTCGTTAATACTGAGCATGCCATTGTGGTCCCTGTCCAAGTTGAGGTACTGTCCGTACACGCGCAGCGCGGACGCGGCGCTGAACCAGTTCTGCTCCTGCAGCTCCATAGGAAGGTCTTCTTCTCGCAGCTATTAGAAAAAAGAAGAAGAAGGTCAATAAAAGTCGATTGCTTGAGTACCTCTGTCCCATTCGTGTTTCAACCGTGAAGCAGTTGTGTCTACATGGCTGTGTTTCGGTTTGAAGGGTGTGATATGGCGTGAATTTACTGGGTACGGAGGGTAAGTTGTATAAAAAAAAATCTACTCTAAATACTCCTTTTGAATGAAAGTGACACAGCATATATATGCTGTGTCATTTTCATTCAAAAGGAGTATTTAGAGTAAACGAAAAAGACAAAACACGTCAATATTTAAAATCGATTTGATTGACATTCGTCGTTTTAATGAATAAGGGGAAGAGAGATACCTCAAGTAAATCATCAAGGAACGAGCAACTCAGCACATCTCGTATCCTCACACGACCGACTCTCAGCGGGTCTAGGAAGAAGAGGAACTTCCTTGCTGCCGTGCACACATAGAATGAGCTGAACGAGGAATCCAGCCCGTCCAGAGCCGCCAGCGACGGCACCAACTCCGCTATATAACTTTCCAAATCCTGTAAGGTTAAAAGGATATTTAAGCAATCATAACATTAAACTAGGTTTAATCTGTGATTTCGTCCGATATTGGTCGGTAAAAATATATTTTTATTCAAGTAAACTTAGATTTAAACTAAAATTTTTGAAATTGTCTTTCGACAAATTAGTAAAAAAACTTCAGGCTGCAGCTGAAAATCAGTGCTTTGCTTTTAAGCAAAACCATCACTGAGCTGTAGCCTGTTTGGGTCACTGCGACACACATGGCGAAACCATATTTTCATATTTTATCTTTTGTTGTATATTTTGAAAAGTGTAAATAATTTGATTGTATAAACTCATTTGTAAATTTACATGTGCTATAAATGGCTCAAATAAAAAGTTCATCTATCTATCTATCTAAATTACTGCTTTTTCTACTGTACCTACTGTGACATGTGAATGTGTGTGTGTGTGTGTGTAACAGTGATTCCATATTTGTAATATTCACGGTTCTATTTAAGCTATTGTGGAGCCGATGATGTTAAGTTTTTAAGGATTTACAATTACGCATAGGTTTTTTTTATAATGAGTGATAAAGGAATGGTAACTCCGCCTGCGCTATCGGTATACGCTGGTGGGACACCAGTGAGGGATGATAGGTGAGAATGAAGAGGCCGGTCAGTTAGCCAATCGTAATGAATACTACAGGAATTCAGCACGATGGTATCTAGAGGGGACCATGTGGAGGTAGACCTGACAGGGTATATTACTAGCAATAGGTCTTCATTACTTACAATCCCCTCCCCCATTACGCATGGGTAGGTCTGATATGCAATTTGTCCTACCAAGTGACGGGACTACTAGCGTTAAGTTAGCTGGTTAACAGCAATAGGCACTCGCGCGTTGTTCACACCGATCTTTTGATGTGACCATTTACACTATAAAAATATATTCTTATGGTTCAGCTTATGGTCCAAATTTGTTTGGCTAATTGACTATTAAAATTTGTTGTTGCAAATCCTTTTATAGTAACATACTAACATGCTCAGTTAAGTATCCCTGACCAGTGACATCGTATAGAGACAGTCCGATCCTGGTCTGCTGCAGCCACACCCGTCGCATGACGTAGTTAAACAGCGACACTCCTCGGACGCGGCCCACACCACCCTCGGCTGCTTGCAGGCGCCCAAATACTTCCGCTGTAAAGTATGGTCTGAAAGAAATAGCTTAAATGTTACCAAGTTTATTCATTATATCAAATCTTAACTGTCTGGCGTTAAACATTACCATAGCACCCTGCAATTAAAAAAATTAACAAATACATGCATAAATTAGAAATATTTATATTATGTAGATTGGACTTCTATTAAAATTGCGTCTATATGACAGCGGTGTATTTAGCTGCTTTACATTGGATACATTAGAAGAATAAATATACAATGGCGGACTTATCCCATCGAGGAGTCTCTTACAATCTTTGAAAAGTTAAAAGAAAACTATAGAAATATTTGACAAAAAAATTGTACAGCTTTGTCAAAAGTCGATTGCTTGGGTACCTCTGTCCCATTCGTGTTTCTACCGTGAAGCAGTTGTGTTTGCATGGCTGTGTTTCGGTTTGAAGGGTGGAATATGGCGTGAATTTACTGGGTACAAAGGAATAACACCTGAGTCCTCAGGAATGGCAACGCATGGGGGGTATCATGGGCGAAACAGTATACTCTGTTATGTCCATGGTACTGCTCATGTCTATAGGCAATGGTTACCACTTTCCATCAGGTGGGCCGTCAGCTTGTTTACCATTCTAAGTTGTATAAAAAAAAGCTATAGATAAAACTTAAAAATCATTATAGCCGTTATGTGTCCACTGCTAACTTAGGTCTACCTCATAAACTGCCATAAGGAACAGTCATGAGCCACCTGCAATTTAATAATAAAACTTAACACTACTTAGAAATAACTAAATATATCCTTCCTTACTTATATTACAATCATAAGTAATTGTACACACCTACATATATAAATTTCTCATAACCCTTCTTTGCATGATTTTTTTTATTGGTAAAATAAATCAAGGTGATATAATTCATGTTCAAAATTAAAGGAAAAATGGTTAAAGAAATGAATGTGACAGTTATGTTTTTTTTCTGTGATGGACATTAAAAAGGCATCCAGAGACGATCAACTTAAAGTAAACTTGTTCTTTTATAGAATTTTTGGGCATGCAATGTTATAATGGAAATTTCCACCATTATGCAAAGAAAGGATGTAGGTCCCAGCATAAAATAGGCCACCCCTTACTTTTCCATCCTGTTCGTGGGTGTTGTAAGCAGTGATTAAGGGAGCTTATGGTGGAGGGATGGATAGCAGTATCCCTCTTAAAACATCACCAAAAGCCAAATTGCAGTTGCCAATCCGCCTGCCAAGTGTGGCAACTACTGGCAAAACTCCCTTTATGTGGGGAGGCTTTGTTCAGCAGTGGACAATTAACAGCTGCTATAGCAACACATATAAATATATACATATACCTATATTTGGGACCAGCTTCATCTCTGATCTTCTTAAATTGAAAATAGTCAATTGTCAGCTCATCGCTGTTAGCCATGCTATAGCTACCATTAGATTTCTCTATCAGACTCCATAGATGTTTCAATTCACTGTTATCCAGCAGTTCTTTACTTTTCTTCTGTAAAAACTGTGCTCGGGTCTCTTCTCTCAGTTTCTGTGCAAGAACTTCATCAGGACGAGGCAATTTGAAGTAGAATTTGGGTATCTTCTTGTAGGATTCTTCATCAGAATCCAATTTGGGTTTGTATAATTGTTTGAATGTTTCTATTTCTAACTTTTCACTTTCTTTTTTTGAAATACTTGCACCAGTGTCTGTAATATATAAATGTAATTAAATTAAGAATTATATATATTTAGGCATTTGTCTTAATCTTTTTTATTGAACTTAGAATGGGAAACAAACTGACAGCCTACCTGATGGAGAGTCGTAACCATCACCTATAGACATGAACAGTACATATCAGAGTATACTATGCCTCGCCCATGATACCATTCATGTGTTGCTAATCTTGAGGATTAAGGTGTTACGGCTCTGTATTCTGTAATTTCATTACCATATATAATTTAAATAAATTAAAATAAACTTTATTTCTATTTATTTAGAACAGTGCTTTGTTAATCATAAATAATAAAAAGGATTAAGAATATGATGATCAGCTTCGTTAAATATAAAAACTCATCCTAAGGCGACATTTGTAATGGGTATCGTAGCCCCCTTGCTAGCAATATCTATTCTCTATCCTCATCAGGTTGATCTCCATGCAGTTAGTATATGGTGAATATGTTATGGTAATAGTGATAATCAATAGATATGGTAACATTTTCATTTTCATTCATAATAAAAGGAAAAACTTCATGTCTGAGCTTGTGTAGACATTTGGATATTAATGGCTCATATGTAATTAAACGGAATCATCAGACTTTAATAAAATTTGGTGTATTAATGGATCACGACCTAAATTAATAGATAGGGCACTGTTTCTATTAATTAATGAGAATACAATCAGTAGTTACAAAAGGTTTCTTTTAATCAGCAATGTGATTAATACTAAGTGATAATTTAATTTCTTAATGGTTTATAATTATATATTATAATAATATATAGTTTTAAATATACAACGATAATTTAGTACATTATGGATAATAATGCCCTACCATCCAATTTTTTAATATATTTTCGCAAGCGATTTTTAAGTTCATTATTAAGCTTGACTTGCTCTTCATCCAGTGGTTTGGTCTCATTAGACACGTTGTTATTAGTTTTATCTTCAATCTTTGCCTCTTTAGGACTATCAGACATTGTTTTCTGTTATAATTTCTAAAAATAAACAATTAGATATGTTGTGATTATTTTTAGTTTGTATTGTGTTGTCATAGTGACAGCGAGAATCCGACGACGTTTGTATCTACGCAAGTAACTTTTTGCGTATAATTGAAAGATGTATATATTATTATTGTTATTAATTACAATAAAACGAAAAATATTTCTTAATTAGAAAAATATTTGTTTCATCTTTATGTTATCTATTTTGGTGTTATAATTTTTTAATAAAGTCATCAAGGACGAGTAAATTTGAATTAGATTGTGTGGTAATAGAACGACGAAACTAAATACGGTTCAGATGTCGCTATTTGTGCACATATACTTTCACTACTTACCAATAGATGACGCTAAATTGTTTAGTAACACTGGTGTAGATATTAAAATCTCGTTGATGTCTTTAATGTGAAAGAAAGGTGATTTTATAAATTATTTTTATTACAAATGCTAAAATATTTATTTATTTATTTTTATTTTAAAGCTATCTCCTTTATACCACATGATTATATACAAATAATTAAAATACTGTAAAATACGTAGTTTTTAAGCATGAAACCAAGAAATGGTCTTTAAATCAAAAAGACAATGCTTATAAATACAATCCTAGAGAGAGTCGCCAGATGCCAGCAGTATTTATCGTCTCTTGTCGTTATGGTAAACGTAATATTTGAAATGCTCACGTTTCGCTTTTTCTTCGTCTTAGCCTTTACTTTGTTATTAACTTAAGATTTTGTACCATAAAAAAATGCAAACTGCCATCGCCACGTTCGCCATCGTTATTTTGGTTTTTAAAACTAAATTATTGTACCAATTTTGATAAAATTTCTATGGGACAAATTTGAAATATATCGTATCAATTACAACAAAGTACAAAAAAGTACAAATCGGTTTATAAATGATGAAGTTATGAAATAACAAACATTACAATACACAACCTTCACCTTCTTGAATCTTCACCTTTTTGAAGTCAGTTAAAAATTAAACATTATTTAGAGCTAAAATTTGTCTATAAAAGTACATATACATTGCGTCTTCTATATAAGACCATAACTATGCTCTAGTTTTATTTAGGCCAGTGAATATCATCGTAATGCAAGTTTTCCACGGCATTTATCAGCAATGTGTCCCAATGACCACAAAATGTGGTTAATTTTCTTATTTACAATCTAATATTACACCTTGAACGTGACGCAGTTAATGTAAGTGAAACTAATCTATTGAAGCGTACATAGACATAGAGAGAATGGAGTAGTCATCCTTAATGATAATATATTAATATTTTTTTACATTAGTAAAAATAAGTTTGTAACTCTATTTATTATATTTGTGTTATCTTTTGTGTTATCTTTTGTGATATCTTTTACAATCATCATCCTCATCATCATATTAGCTGTTGGCTGTCCACTGCTGAACATACACCATTAGGAATGTTTTGACAGTAGTTAACGCACTTGGCGGGCACGTTGGTAACCGCGGTTTTAATTACCATAGGAATGCAAAAACAAGTTCGTAAGTTTATTTAGACTTAATTTTTAACATAAATACAGTTTACGTGACTTGCCTTTTTAAATTGTTCCTCGAGTGACACTTCCAGTGAAGCGTTAATTCTCTGTTGGTGATATACTGAACGCAGGCGCAGAAGTTTGTGGTCGCATGTTGCTTTCTTCTCCGCCCTACACTTAAGTTTTCACCAGTTTAAGTTACAGGAAAGATTAACTTTTTCGCACCTGTTGTTTTTATTGGCAACTTATTTTTTTATACATGTTGAAAACTTTTACTTGAAACTTATATGAGTAATAATTATTTATTTATTTACAGGAAAATCAGGACTATCTTGATCTCAATCACCTGCTGAGCCCTGATTTTCCTGTACAGTTTAGGATCACAAACCAAGCCACTAATAGGTTTTCATAAATAACGATTTATTTATCAACATGTTGAAATCTTTTACGAAGTGAAACTTATATTAGTAATAACTATTTAATATATATATATATATTGCTCGTTTCATGTTAAATTTAATAAGTTTTCATAGAGGATAATTAAGTTAAAATTTTCTTACAATTATAAAATCATCGTCGTCATCAGACGTTAACTGTCTATTGTTTAACATAGACCTTTATTGGCGACTCCGTATAGGCAAACACAGTGTTACAACGCCCCACTAGATAGAACGACGATTGCAGGGAGTGTAGAGTTAAACTCCCCTAAAGAAATAAGAAATCATCGAAATAAAAGTAATGTATCGTTTATTTTTTTTTTCTCAAAAACGTATCAGCCTGCATTAGAATAGTAGTGTCGTAGTGAAAAGCCTATTATTTGTTCACATCCACAAAAGTATAAGGTTTTCGTAATAATAGTTTAGGAGAAAATAAATAAAGAATGCAACATTTCGGGTACTAACGAAAAATTTATAAAAATGCAAATTTCTCGAAAACTATACATTTTTGCAGAACATACATGGGGGTGTTTAGAGAAGCCCTTGGATCCCTCTATCGATGGTTTTCGTTTGGATCACATGAAACCCGACACCCTGTATATAAAATAAAAAAAAGACGTTTTTAATTCGACTGTATATTTGTGAATTTATTGATTTCTGATTTTTTTTAATATATATTTCTACTTATTATTCGTTATAATTTTTGTAAAAATCTAAGTCTTTTGAGATACGAGGTACACTACACCGTTGTACACGACCCCAACATGTTGGTGTCTAACACTTAACAAAAACAACTGAGGTGGTTTTATGGGAGTACGAATTAATGGACTTTCAATTAATTTCAATGGGGAAAATAAAATTAATAAAAATTAATTAGTGATTAATAAAAATTAAATAGTTTTTAATAAAAATTAATTAGTTTTAATAAAAATTAATTAGTTTTTAATAAAAATTAATTAGTTTTTAATAAAAAATAATTAGTTTTTAATAAAATATAATTAGTAATTAATAAAAAATAAAAATTAATAAAAAATTAATAAATTAATTAAAAATTAGTAATTAATAAAAAACAATTAGTAATTAATAAAAATAATAATAAATAAAAAATAATTAGTAATTAATAAAAATTAATTATTAATTAATAAAAATTAATTAGTTATTAATAAAAATTAATTATTTATTAATAAAAATTAATTAGTTATTAATAAAAAATTTATTAGTAATTAATAAAAATTAATTAGTAATTAATAAAAATTAATTAGTAATTAATAAAAATTAATTAGTAATTAATAAAAATTAATTAGTAATTAATAAAATTAATTAGTAATTAATAAAAATTAATTAGTAATTAATAAAAATTAATAAATTAATAAAAATAATTAGTAATTAATAAAAATTCATTAAATTAATAAAAATTCATTAAAATGAAAATAAATTAAATTATTAAAAATTAATTAAATTAAAAAATTAATTAGTAATTAATAAAAATTAATAATTTAATATAAATTAATTAGTAATTATATAATAAGTAATTAATAAAAATTAATAAGTAATTAATAAAAATTAATAATAATTAATAAAAATTAATAAGTAATTAATAAAAATTAATAAGTAATTAATAAATATTAATTAGCAATTAATAAAAAATAATTAAAATTAATAAAGATTAATTAGTAAATAATAAAGTTAATTAGTAATTAATAAAAATTAGATAGTAATTAATAAAAATTAATTATTAATACAAAAATTAATTATTAACTAATAAAAATTAATCAATTATTAATAAAAATTAATTAGTAATTACAAAAATTAATTAGTAACTAAAAAATTTAATTAATAATTAATAAAAATTAATTAGTAATTACAAAATTTATTAGTAACTAATAAAAAATAATTAATAATTTATAAAAATTAATTAGTAATTAATAAAAAATAATTAGTAATTTATTAAGATTAATTAGTAATTAATAGAAATTGATTAGTAATTAATAAAAAAATTAGTAACTCATAAAAAATAATTAGTTATTAATAAATAATTAATTAGTAATGTATAAAAATTAATAAAATTAATAATATAAAATTTATAAAAAATAATTAGTAATTAATAAATACGTAATAATTAATCAATAATTAATCACATTATTGTAATTAATGAATATGTGTTAATTAATTATTAATCAATTACTTAATTAGGTAATTATTAATTAAACAATTAGTTATTAATAATAATTAATCACTAATGATTTTTAATTAATTGTTAATTAATCAAAATTAATTAGATATTATTAATTAATTTGTTATTAATAATCAATTAATAATTAATAAATAATTAACAATTAATAATTATCAATTAATTAATTAGTGATTTTTATTATTTATTAACTAATTAACGAGTAATGGAGGGATTGGATTTTTAGTAATGCAGACTACTTTTTGCTTAGCAGGCCGACCTCCACGTGATTTCCCCTTGAAACTATCGTGTGGAATTCCAGGTGTGTTCTGTGGATGTGGACCTGTCTTTTCATTCTCATCTATCAACCTTCACTGTTTCTCGCCAGCGTATACCGTTAGCTCAGGTAGGGTTACCATTAATATAATAATGTAATATAAATAATAATAATGTAGGGTAATTCCACTGTTATATCTCAACGTTTAAACTGATATACACCTATGCGAGCATAGCTGCTTTACGGCAATCAAGAGTGGGATAGAAATACCAAAGCAGATGACTTTTGTACAAAGTCGCTCCCTTGTACTTCGAATACACAGTATTCGGACACAGGTTTCAAAAATTTGCGGTATTTAAATATTGGTCACGTGTTTATATTGTTCTATATTGTTTATTGTTTTATACTTTCATTTCAGCAGTCTCTTTGTGATTATTATCGATGCTAAAAAGAAAACTGTAAATTAAGCTAAGGATCCCAAATAAACATTTTTATTTATTTATTATTATAATTGTTCACTGCTGTCTTCCCCATAAAGGGAGTTTTACCAATAGTTACCACGCTTGGCAGGCGGATTTAGAGATGTTTTAAGAGGGACACTGTTGCCCATCCCTCTACTATTATACTTAATAAAAAATAAATTAAAAGGTACTCCTTCTTACGACGAAAGGTGCTGCTTCTTACGACGTCCAAAGGAAAGGAAGGGGTAGCTTATTTTATACCGGAATCACACGGACAGTTTCACTATTAATTTTTCTTTAATTAGTAAACGAAAATTGACTGAATATTTATTATGTACATTAAAAATAAGCTTTAGAAATAATTTGGAACATAATTTAAGTGTTTGGAACATAATTTGAATACCCAAACAAGTTCTCGAGTAGTTTTATTTTAATGGTTGGAAATGGAATGGTAATCCGGTCTGCGCTATCAATATACACTGATGGGGCACCAGTAAGTGATAATAGCTGAGAATGAAAGCAGAATTAGTCAATCGAGCTAATTTAACAAGAATTAACTACGATGGTTTCCAGAAAGAATCGCGTGGAGGTCGACCTAATGGAGTGTATTGCCAGCAATAAGGCTTTTGGATCCTATTACTGACACACCCTTTTTTTCGGCATTCGAGTTGTCTAAGTTCTCAGACTTGAGGCAAGATTTCAAGAAAGAACACTAGAAAAGTCTAATGGTAAGCACATCACTACCATAAAGTAATATTTTGTTATTAGGGATGGTAAACAAAAAGTAAAATGGTAGTTACCGTCAATATACAATGTCATGAACTACGTGATGGACAATTAATACGTCCATATAGATTAACACAGATTATAAATGTGAAAGTGTGTTAAGATAAACGTTTAGTTAAGATAAACTAACACGATGATATGTAACTGACTCACTGCTCTGCCGTTATTCAGTTTATTATATAATTAGTACTGGGGGGGGGGGGGGAGGGGGAGAGGATACTTTACGAGGGTAATTTCCAAGTAAACAAATTGTTGATAAACAAATTCTTAAAGGATACATTTTTAGATCGGTCCCATAGAGACTTTATCAAAATATGTTTCATAGTTTAGTTTCTAAACCAAAATAACTGTTTTTTTTTTTCTAATCTAAATAATTTATTTGGACACGATTGTATCCGATTTTTTTGTAGAACATGTTAAATTATGTATGTTATCTACCTAATTGTTATTACTTCATAGAACTTATTGTTATTGTTATTTCTCTCGTATTCTTTCACGTAACCTCTTATATTTCTAACTCTACCATCAGAACACATCTTTGTGATAGCTTTAAGTTACAAATATTATAAAATCTAGGTATGTATACTGTGTCTATGGTTTAAAGGTGTTATCACTTTTCATCAGGTATGTCGACTTGATTGTTATTCTAAGTATAATAAAAAAAAATAAGGGTAGACTATCAATTCCATGAGATAAGAAAGATACATTTATATATGTTGGTTTCGATTGCTGATAAAGTAAATAAACATACTATAATTTTCACGTGACGTCTATCAAATCACCAATGCACCACAGCACCGTTACGCCGATAGCTATTGCTTCATCATTATGCCCACATGGTTGCACCTAAACAGAGTAATGACTTTGCAATTGTGCTAAACAATAAGTAAATTTAACGCTCTCACAAAAACATGACGCTAATGCAAAACACGGTATCTCACTCATCAAGGCATTTCATTTTTTTTTTATTACATAATTTCTGTAAGAGGCGAAACCGATTTATACGTATGACAAAAGGCGAGGTAACGAAACGCAAGCGTAAACCGGCCGTTGAGTGCGCGGGCGCAACGCAGACCTACCAAGCAAGTTTCCTCTTGCTCAGTTATGCGCGAGACGTCGATGGGGTAGGACGTGTCGCCCTCGAACTAAAAGTGTCAAAATTAATCGCCGAGCGTTCGGAAACAGTGTTATTTATTGTGCATAATTATTTTTGCGTGTTATTAATAAAGTTTGAATGAAAAAAACATTGTGTTCTGTGGACGATGGACGATTAAACGCTTTATTCAGCGCACGGATTCTGTAAAGGTGAGCGCTATGCGGCCGAGTTGAGAAGGGCTCTATTTCTATAAGCTAGTTTGGTGGTTGACTTCTTTTCAAAAGGGTTGACTTGTGGACTTTTGCAAGGCGAATCGCATTCTCTGTTGGGTCCATTTGTCAACATTATTGTGCAATTCAATTTGAATTTTGATGGGATATTGTGACCTTTGTTTTGTAAGACGGCGTGTTTCGTTGTTGTTTTTCATCTGGTCAATCTCTCCGGCCTTGTAATGCTCTGTGGAAGTGTGGAATGTCAATTCCAAATGGTTAATCGTGGACCCCAATTAACTCAGTATACGTTTATATTTGTATATAAATGGTTAAATTGAAATAAACGTTAAATTATTAAGTAAGTTTATTAACAATATTACCTTTTTGTAATTTAATGTTTATATTATTATAGGTATTTAAAACAAAATAGATAAAGTTAGGCACTATCTCTTATTTACTTATGTATCGATGTTTTTTATTTAGTAACAGTACATTTTATACTACCCACATATTTTATTAGCGCACTATAGAATATACAACCTTATTACATCTATATACTAAATATAATGTGTACAAATTTAACAATTAACTAGATAGTATGACCATGACTCTTAACTTTACCACCATTAAGGGTACAATTAAAATAAACAAGTTTTTCCACGTGACCGAAAAAAAACGGTCGAGTGATAGTTTACATCCAATACATCGAATTTTTAATTAGTTGCCATTTATACGATCAGTAAAGTTTAATGGTAATTTATAGACATGGCCAGAGTTCTTAGGTCAATTTGGATTTGGAACTTTTCTATATTAAGAAATCTTATATATAATATAGCTTAGCAAGATTATCATATATACATACATTATATTAATTTATTTAAATACTAGTTTTCGCCCACTACTTTGTACGCGTAGATTTCAGAATTAGGAAAATCAAAATTCTTTTTTTGAAAATAGTATTCAATTTAGTGCAGCAGTTTTTGGGTGATGCCGGAACGAATGTGTGTATACGTTAGACATTATTTATAAAAAATATTGTTTTGGCTTCTATTGCTCTTATTATATACTCGTTTTTTTTTTAAATATCTCCCATGTACAGACATCGTTTAGTTAGAATTTTATTATATTACTAAGATAGACAACTTCATTCGCGTGGAAGTCGAGGTCTGTATTTTATCATTCGTTGGACAGATTGTGATAAAATATATACTTATACACACCAAGTAGGATTAGTTTTTGCTCATTTATTTTCTAGTAATGACTAGGAGTGGATAATATATTGCAATATCTATATATTTCATTTACAATATCTATATACAAGGCCAATAATGAATATGTTAAAGTCTGGTATCCAAAAATAATACTAGATAACATTATTTTAACATATTCGAAAATAGATATCTGTTCGATATGGGCGATATAATGTCCTGAGGAGCATAATACATAGATATCGGATTGGTATGCATATTATCCATGTCTAGTGAATTTACTGGGTACACAGGAATAACACCTGAGTCCTCAGGAATGGCAACGCATGGGGGGTATCGTGGGCGAAACAGTATACTCTGTTATGTGCATGGTACTGCTGATGTCTATAGCTTGTTTGTCATTTTAAGTAGTATAAAAAAAAAGGTATAAATACATCGATATCAATTAATTGTATTGAAAAAACTGTATCTCTAAAAAAAATGAAAATTAATCTATAAAAATTATTTATATTGTTCTTTCGAAATAATCGAAAACATCTCGCGAAAAATAAATAAAATACTCTTAATTAGCCACCGACTTGCATTTGATGGTTAAATTTACGTACCAACTTTCTAATTGTTTCTACGCAATATAAAATTAATGTTGGTTTGGACAATTTTAATTAACTTCTACCATAGAAGCATATTTATTTTTAATTAATCGCGCTTTTAAGACATTTTAGGAACGATTAAATTATAATTGTTTTTTTTTTATGTAACTTGGTATGGCAAGCATGCTGACTGTACATCTGTTGCAAAGTGGTAAATATTATTTAAAGATATGACTGTTTATAAAGACGGCAAAGAAATATAATTCTTGCCGTCTTTATAAACAGAATATAAAGAAAAAAAGAATTTGATTAAATTATAAATAATTTAATCAAATTCTTATAACATACAGCCTGTTTAAAATTAATACATAGTCAAATTAATTATCAACTTATTTACTTACATAATCTATAATTCATAATATAGGGATAATATTTATATCATTATGTGATACATTCACATTTCCCATATTTAGAACTAACAAAATTTTTCATCGTGCCTCCCACCAAACTGTTTATAATTACTCCTCTCCATCCAAAGGTTGCCTGGAAGAGATCGCTCTTAGCGATAAGGTCGCCCATTGTTTTCTCATTGTGATTATTTCTTGTAATTATTTATATTTATAATAAGTTTACTATTGTAATCTTTTGGAGGAAACAATATATATATATATATATATATATATATATATATATATATATATATATATATATATATATATATATATATATATATATATATATATATATATATATATATATATAACTAATATATTTCTTAGAATCACAAAAAGAAATAGACTGTTCATGGTTCACATTGGATATCTTGGAATATACTGCAATGCCTTTAGTATTCATAGAGTACTTTGAATTTACACTGCTAATTTCATCCATTACACTGAAAATTAGGTTCCGGCATAGAATGGGCCACCTCTTCCTTTCTCGTGGGTGTCGTAATAGCGTTCCTCTTAAAACACCACTAAAGTCTAACTGCGGTAGTCAAACCGGCTGCCAAGCGTGGCAAGTCTTAGCAAAACCCCCAATAGGGTAAAGCCTATGTTCAGCAGTGGACAATTGAACAGCTGATATGATGATACAGAAAGTACAGTCTTCATCAATAAAGTATTTATTTATTTATTTTAAAAGACGACTAGAATAATAAACCTATAGTTACATCGTGCATAAGAATTCCGTTGCTTTCATTTGGAACGGAATCCTAAAAATGCTGTAGACTGTAGATTCTACCATTTGTTCCGGAGAATTGCACCAGTTTGCAATTATGTCTGTATTTCTTAGAAAGGTCACCGCATCAGGTTTCCTGCATAGCATTTTTTAGTACCTAGACCGCGTCTTCCATGTGGAATTTCTGTACCCTGTAAGATCATGCCATATCCCACCCTTCAAACCGAAACACAGCCATGCAAACACAACTGCTTCACGGTAGAAACACGTGGGACAGAGGTACCCAAGCAATCGACTTTTGTACAAAGTCTCCCTCTGGTAATACCGTGGTAGTAACCGGTAAGTGGTTGTTAGGGATGGGTAATATATGAGCAACTAGTATAGCAATTTATGTTAAAATTTTGGATAACAAACGTTTAACATATTCGAAAATAGATATCTGACCAATGTGTATTAAAAATGTGTGATGATCCATTAAAGTTATATTTTATATAGATATTGGATTGGTTTTATTACATTTGTACGCACCAGAACCCAAGTGTATAGCTTATTTGTCACCTCATGTTCCATTCTTCATAGTTTTGCTAATATTGCAATTGTCTAAATATACGATAAAGAGATGATTTGATGATGACTGAGGTGATGATAATATAATTGATGGTGGAACATGATACACAATATCCCTCCTTTGCATAATGGTGGAAATTTCCATCATAACATATTCAATGCCCAAAAATTATATAAAAGAACAAGTTCACTTTAAGTAGATCGTGTCTGGATACCTTTTTAATGTCCATTGCAGAAAAAAAAAACAAAGCTGTTAAATTTATTTTTTTAACCATTTTTCCTTTAATTTTGAACATGAATTATATCACCTTGATTTAGTTCACCAATAAAAAAAAATCATGCAAAGAAGGGTTAAATTAAAACCGTTATTTAAAAATGACATACATATGTTTTTCACATATTTTTCACCATATCTGCCCTTCATACGCTTTCTGTTTTTACCTAATGGTCAGCTGGTAGAGAATACCATATGGCATTAAGCTCGCCACTTGTACAAAGTTCTATTGTGCAATAAAGAATAAATAAATAAATACACACTTCTTTTGGGAAGTCAAATGGTTTCAATTCATGTAATAAAATACATGAATTAAAACCATTTTTTTTTCTTTATACAACTTAGAATGGTAAACAAGCTGACGGCCCACCTTATGGAAAGTAGTAACCGTCGCCTATAGACATGAGCAGTACCATGGACATAACAGAGTATACTGTTTCGCCCATGATACCCCCCATGCGTTGCCATTCCTGAGGACTCAAATGTTATTGCTATGTACCCAGTAAATTCACGCCATATGCTTTAAAATCGGTCAAAAACAAGTAAATACTTGATAGTTACGCGTGCACATGCACAATGTATTATTATGAATGTTGCGTGTTGAAACGACGTAAGCGTATCTCACCTACATACTCGGTGTGTGTATCGATTATTCATAGAAATGAATTAGTCACAAATTGGCATGTCTGTTTGCGCTTCTGTCTATGGAGGTGATACCAGGAAATAAGAATTTGTATGCAGGTGGCATTATGTTTTATTATAAATACCTAGCTAATAATACATTTTTTTTTATTGGATGAAAATGGTATGGTAACCCCGCCTGCGCTAATGGGATACGCTGGTGGAGCATCAGTGAAGGGTGATAGATGAGAATGAAAACAGGCCAGTTAGCCCATCATGATGAATTCATCAGGAATTAATCATGATAGTTTCCAGGAAGAACCGCGAGGAGGTCCACCTGGTTGGGTATATTGCTAGCAATGGGATTCTCAGTCTTCATTACTAACAATCCCCCCCTTCCGCTAATAATACATTGAAATGGGAAGTTTAGAATTATAGTGGTACAGTTTTTTTTTTTATATGATGATAATGGAATGCTAATCTCGCTATTTAAGCCGGTGCGTTTTTTTGCTTGATAATTTTCTTGTTTTAAACAATTGGTTAACGGACAGTATTTTT